AGGAGTAAAAAAAAAAGTTAATAAAGAAGGGTAAAATAGATATATATAAATATATACATATATTACATGGTGTACTTACAAATACTACCAACTACTGCACCAACAATTGTACCCGTCTTATTTCCAGATGAATTGTTGTTAGAGGGTGCAGCAGCTCGAGTCACACCTCCAATGACAGTAGGCGCGGCAGGTTCATCGTCCGAGTCTGTATCGGAATCATCTGTAGATTTGGTAGTGGTAGCCTTGTTTCCTGTGGTCGATTTGTTTGATTTATTAGAGCCTCCTGATGAAGTGGCCGATGCAGGTGTATTAGGTAGGACTGGCGTATTAGGTGTAGTATGTGCCGTAGGTGAATCTGTAGTAGCAGGAGGTGCTGGAGGAGGAGGTGGAGGTGGTGTTGAGGAATCTGTAGTTGGATCAGCTGGCTTTTGTGTTGTGGTAGGTGCTACTGCAGCCTTTTCAGTAGTGCTTGGGGGTGGTGGTGGAGGAGGAGGCGGTGGTGGTGGTGGTGCGGTTGTTGTTACAGCATGATGAGTTGTGGGTGGGGGAGCTTGTGACGTTGTAGCTGGAGGAGCAGCAGCAGTAGAAGATGGTTTAGAAGGAGCAGGCGATACTTCCTTTGAAGAGGCTGGAGATGAGGATGTATCTGAAGCTGATTTATCTCCTGCTCCCGTTATATGATCTATGGCATGAGTAACGCTACTTAATAATTGTGATTCGATACCATGGAATGCTTGGAATATTATGAGTGTAGCAAAGAGAATATAATAAAATCTCATTTTTTCATATAAACAAAGAAAAATAAAATATAAAAAAAAAATTACAAAAAGAAAAAGAAAAGCGTATTGAACATCCTGAACTAAATTTTTCAAGATTTTTATTTTTCTAATTTTGGTTTTTTCAAAAGCTCCTGTCTTTCTTCTTCTTTTTCTCGGTCTGTTTTACGAGGAATAAATGATTCACTTGCAATCGCAATTGATTTATCCAATTTGCGGTTTGGTTGAGAAATGACTTGCTTTGATCTGCCAATAATGGCAATATTTTTTGTGCTTGGGATTCTTAAATAGTCTTCCTCGCAAACATAACCAGCCTGATTCACGGCGATCTCTTTGACGTAATTAGTATAAGCTCGATATTTACCCAATGTTTCGGATTGAGGAAGTGATAATGATTTTGTGCCATCGAGACCATAGAAACAACAAGGAATTACTATGAATCTAATACACAATAAAAAATAAACTTTAATACATATCACCGTCTTAAAAACATATAAACTCTCAATCCTCCTTACTTGCAGTCCACTCCTGATTTTGAAGCAATGATTGGAATCCTGCATTCATAAACGATCATATTAATAAACCAGTCCTGATACTTATTTTCATTTTATTACCATGGTACTAGTTCGTCTGCATGGTTGCCAATTAACCATTCGGTATTCGGATAGCTAATTTGTGCTGGATAGAGTGCTTCCACTAGTACAAAATCAGTAAATCATCCCCTTTATGCTTTCTTCTTTTTTTTCTTTATTCACCTCTAAGCATATCCTTTTTATCTTTACATAAGGCGGGCCATATTTTACGATCGGCAATATCAATACCGTAACCTTCATAGCTTTCACTCACTAATAAAAAGGTCAATAAACCATTTCCACAACCTAACTCTACAAATGTTTGTTTTCTTTTTACAAGGTGACATGTTAAATTGAATGATTTACACAAAAAAAAAAACCATGCTTTCCAAACCTGTTTGTCTTAGCCTCTTCCTGTTTCCATAAACAAAGCAAATAACTGGCAATGGCCAGATCTTCAAAAACAAACTTTTTAGGGTCAGTTTTTTCAGTCCAATTACTAACACATAAATTAATTTACGGGTTTCTCTTTTTAAATAGTGGATACTCACGCTACTAGTTCCGGACCATATTTTGATTTGATATATTGATACATTGACTGATAGGTTTCTTTTGACACCAAGACGTCATGTTGGGCTTTTTTGGTATATCCCAGTCTTGTTTGGATACACCATTTGAACAATTTGTGTAGAATTGCTTTCAATGCATATTGCTAAAAATTAAAAATAACGAGAGAGAGAGAGCGCGCGCGTCGTTAAGACAAAATATAAACGTGGGAGAGAGGAAATGACATGAAATTACCATTTTTGGATCGGATACAGCTGCTTCAGAGGATTCACAAGGAATGATCTCTAATCTTAATGTCCCTTTTTCTTCACTGACGCCAAAAAAAGAAAGTTAATTACTTTTGCGATCATCCCTATTTGTTTATTTTACCTGAATTCCTCACTTAATCCTGAATCGTACACAAAACTATACGCCTTGACCTGTCAAAGGTAGAGGGTGATTGTATTAAAAAACTATCGTGCCTAATCATCTTTTTTCTTTTCGTATCTACCTTTGGATAATAAAAGGGTAATGTTGAACCTTCTGCTAGTAATGGTCTATAAATGACTCTTCCTTCCTTGTCTGTTACAATGTTAACAAAAAAAATCTTGATTCCCTCTTTCTCCTAATGTTACCATTTTCAAAATACTCGACTTGTTCAGTTAATACAGGATCCTTTGACTTGCGTTTAGGAATTAACTCCCGCACAATTGTCTCGATTGGTCCCTGAAAATCTCCCAGGTGATCGTCTGCGTCTATTTGAGTGGTTGATTTAATATCCGCCTTTTCAATGGGTGGAATGACAAGCTGTGGTTCTGTAGTCCAACGTCTCTAAATTGTTCCGTTAACTCAAAAACTCTTGTGAAACCATACAATTTAAAATTACAATGGTACCCCAAAAAGCGTCTCTTGCTACTGGCACGACTTGTTCTGCTACAATATACCAGTTGTCCTTGGTCGATGCTTTAGGCTCTTCAAAATGTAATGCGGGAGAAAATTGTTGAAACAAGGTTTGCGGATCCACTTCTGTTGTTTTCGTGTCCTTTTTACCCTTGGTGTTTTTTGACATTATAATAAAAAAAAAAGAATGCAGAACAAAAATGAAAAAGAAAAAAAAAAGCCACGATAATAATTTTATCTGGTAAAGTACTTGTTTGAACAACCGCCTTTTTTGTTATTCTTTTCAACCTTTTCAACCTTTTAAATGAGTCAAGCGCCGTTAGCAGAAATCTACCGCTCAGTATCTGGAATTATTGTACGTCGTTTACCCCTGAAAGAAACGGGTCTAAGTGGACTAGGCTTCAAAGATACCCGACGTAAACCCACCGAGAAACTTTATTTGTTGGTAAAAAAACCGCGCAAGAATCACGCTTGGCAGTTTCCTCAAGGCGGACAGGAAAAGAACGAAACAGCCGCTGAAGCAGCGTTACGTGAATTAAGAGAAGAATGTGGGTCAGACCTCAAGGTCAACCTTGTGGATAATTCGGCTATCGGTGTATACCAATACAAATTTCCTGCAAAGTTTGTTGCCAGTCGTAAGCGTAAAGATGGGTCGATTGGAGCCAAGGTAATTACAATCACTGGGTGATGCATGAAAGAGATAACTAATAGATTTCATTCCAGGTGTCTTTTTTCAGAGCTGACTGGATTTCGGGACAATGTCAACCGGATGGCGAAGAAATCATTGATTTTGCATGGTTAACTCAACAGGAATTAACAGAGTATATCGATGATGAATACAAGGAAGCCATCAAGCCATTTTTATTATAATAATTTATGTTGCCCCTTTTCAGATCGATTTTCTCCCGTCATTTTGGCAGTTTTGGCTCCAAATTGAATAGCTCTTTTCCAATTACGACTTGCGTTGATCAAACCTAGTCTTCTAGCCACATGTCGTAATAAAATCTTTTCTCCAATACCTCGATTATATCGTAAATCCATCTTTAATTCGATGGGTTGTCTGCATAACCAGTTTACAACATCCGTGCTTAAGAATGGAAACCTCACTTCTTTTCCATGATCTGACATGATACGATCATCCCGCCCCAAGTTTCGATTGGATATTCTGTCCACATCTAATTGTGTCTAAATTGATTTGATTACTATCAAATCCTTATTTCTAGAACAAAATAAGCCTTTACCTCCTGTATTAATTTCTCCCAGCTTCCTTGTCGGAATGCTTCACGATGTCTGGAATATCCTCCCAATTGTTCATCTGCACCTAATCCCGAAATAAGGACACGCGCATGGCTCTCGTATTCTTCCGAGCCATGAATCACACCTTTACCCCGGGATGCAAACCAGAATGCCATAGCAATACTCAAATCCATCACTGTATCTAACGGATACATACGGTCAATGATTCTTTGCTTATATTCCATCGCTTCTGGATAAGGTACGTTGATCTCTACAAAATTCCATGTTCTCTCTGGAGAAATCCGTCTATGTATTAAAGCATTTTTTAAAACAAGGCGACACAGATCATCCCCCATCCAAGTGAAGGTTACCTTAATTCTTCCACACCGGCTCTGCCAGTTAATCGATCTGGTGTATCGTAAATTGAGCGAACAGCTGGCTCCTCTATGACAGGCTTAATCTCTTCTTCCAGCTGTTTGTTCTTTTTATTCTTCTTTGCCTTGACTTTTTGTGATTTAGCCTTTTCGATACGAGGATTTTCAAAAGCGACGTTTAATAGATCAATAGATTCCGTCAAGGGCAAATGTTGATCGGCTAAAGCTGCTAAACAGATACAATCCAAACCGCCCGAGAATAAGATGGCTACTCTAGCCTGTCCCTTTGAACTATTTTTCATTTTAAATTCATTATCTTTAAGTTTTTCTCGTCTGACTTACTCTAAATAAGGAACATCGGCCACTCTATTTTTGACAGACTTGTTTAATTCAGATGTAAATTCCTTAATGGCTGTATTCATTGATTCGTCTATCTCCGGGTCTTCATCCTCGTTTTCTATAGATGCAAGGTTGGATGGTATTGTTTCATTGAGTCTAGGAAAAGGAAAAGTCTACGAAATATACAGGGTAAGCTATTAACCTCGGATAGCATTTATGTCGCTTACGAGGTTGCCATTTTGCAATGTTTCTAGTCTATCTTGAGGATCATGATAGGTCCAAGGATATAACTTTATGGATTTGTTACAAGCGACTAGTTCAGAACCCGTGCTTTGCAAATCAATACAGTAGATACCATGCGCAGGCACTTCTTCCCACTCCTGATCTGCCTTGGCGACCGAACTCAACATGAAGGCGTGCGTTTCTGATTTCTGCCATAATAAAGATCGACGGCCCAAACAATCTCGAGCAAACCAAACCTTGTTGGTGGCGGCCTTGTAAAAGACAAAGGCAAAAGGGCCTTCAATCGTTGAAAATAAGGAGAGTAATTCCACTTCTGACTCTGCCTTTTCCAACTGAGCCATCAAGACTTCCGTATCATTCTGTCCAAATCCTACCTATGCCACACACAAAATAGTAAGTTTCGATGTAACACAATTTTTTTTTTTTTTTTTTTTTTTTTTGGGTGTGTGCTTTACTTGGACACCACCAAAGATTTCACCGTTCCAACAAAGCACATCGCCTGTAGCAGGGTTAAATCGCGGTTGAGGAACAACTTCTGGACCACGTAAATGAAGTACAGTCGAAAAGAATTGTAACGTTAATTCCTCTTGATCGCAGGAACAATGCACTTGTTTCAAGTTTTGTGCATCAGGACCTGAAACAGTGGAATGTCAATACAAAAGTCGATCCCTTTCATTTATAGAATAAGTGCATTTTACCTCGTCTTGTATTCAATTCCTTTAGTATTTCCCACTCTTCTTCATTCACAGGTCTGTCTTTATTTGACAGGGAAAATAGAATGCCGCACATGGATGAACTTAGAGAGAGAGAAAAAAAAAAGAGTTGTCACCGAAAAAAAAAAAAGAAACCTGTGCCTTTCACTTTTTTCTTTTTCTACTTTAATAATTGCGATCCATGAGCGACTTCGAAGAAGAGTGTGATTTCCAGGCACCCATCAATGTACCAGTAGATATATACACCAGGAAAAGAAACCGATGTCAAATTGAAGACGATAAATACGTAGAAACTGAGCAAGATCTGACGGAAGTATCAACTTGCAGTTTATGTCAGACTTGTTGGACAAACAATGGTGCTCACGGCATTGTTGGTTTGAAATGCGGTCATGTATTTGGTAGAAGGTAATTTCAACTATTTATTCCCACTAAAAAAACAAGAGGGTGCTCACACGGATAAAAAAAGTTGCATAGTACAACATATGCGTGATGCCACAGCTCAGAAAACGCCTGCCAAATGCCCCACATGCGAGTAAGTCCTATCATTGAAATCATGCAAGAAGATGTTAACGTTTAAAGCACATAGCAATCCACTCGCCAAATCAGAACCTCGACGCATATGGCCCAATAAAGTGCTACCTTGTGATGAGACTGACTTAATCGATCTTCGAAAGCAACATGCCGAAGCCGATCTGATCATTCAGGGTTTAAAAGAAGCCAATGAAGCCATCCAGCTACAAATAGATAAGGCTATATTCGATCACTTAGTTTTACAAGCAGAAGACAGGTCCAATAGAATAATCAGTCCCAGTCAAATCATGCAAATGTCACAGCCTTCCATATTTGTGCATCAACGCTCATTTTCAAAGAAAAACGAGGTAAAAATAATAAAAAGGTACAAATATTTTACAGGCATATATCAAAAATAAACTCATATTTGAATATGTACATAGAAATACCGTGTCATGGATGTGGATCCAATGGGGGATAGAGCAGTGGTCTCTGTGTGGAAAGAGCAAAAATATGGAATTAGGAAAATGAACTTGTATGACATTACATCGACTGAATTTATACCAAATCATAGCGGCATAATCAAGGATTTAAAGTACAGTACGGAGGACATGGTGCTCTCCACTGGTCTTGATAAAACGCTGAAATTAACCTCATTACAATCAAACCAAGTAGTGTTAAGGTAAAATGAAAAGAATCTCTGCATTCTTTTTTTTTTTTTTTTTTGTACTCACGCAAAAAAAAAAAAAAAAAAACTAGTTATCAACTTGGTGCTCCCGGATGGTCTTGTGCTTCAAGTGAAGCAAATCCCAGTATCGTGTACTGTGGTCTCACAAGTAATACAGTTTTAGTTTTTGATATACGGAATACAAAGGAGTTTGTACACAAGTTAATCGAACCTTGTGTGCCGAAGATATTTTCTCCCATTCATTCAATTATGGAGGTCATGACAGAGGATGTGCCTTTGCTCCTGTGTTCAAATTTATCACATACTTATGGTTGGAACACAAGCACGGAGGAATATGAGTATGTGCCACTCCAACAATCAGTAGAATATGAAAACAACCTTACAGACCGTACGTTTCCTCTTTGTAATGACTTTTTTTTTTTGTATCACAAAAATAATAATCTTGCCTCAACCTATCTAACCAACCTACATATCCAAAAATAGAGTATAAAAGCTTTAGCATGGCAAACAGGGATGGATGCTTACTTTCTTCTCTGCGGAATAAGACTTCAACACGATATGAAGTAAGTCATTTTGATACTTCACTTCAATTGCAGTCAGATTGGCATTATGATGATATCAATCATAAACAAACTTCATTATCTCGGAACACACTTTTTAAAAGTGGTGAACAAACATTCATTTGTTTCTCAGATAATGATACGGTAAGCCAAAAAAAAAGAGAAAAAAAAAGAAAGTGTGTGATTTTTTATTTTATCTTGTTTTACTTATTTTGTTTCCTTGATAAAACGGTTGGCAGGTAAAAATAAGAGACAAAACAATGGAAGTGCAAAGGATTAAAGCAAAAGGACCGGTAGCAGACATCAAGTACATTGAAGAGGGACAAGTGCTGACTATTTTGACTGAAGATGAACTTTGTCTGTACAAATTTGCACCACCCGAAATAATCCAATGATAGAGCTTAGTTTTGTGAATAGAGTTTTATTTGATTGTTCTGAGTGTCATCACACACTTCTATTTCACATGTATATTCTTTGTGCACTGCTTCTGTCATGATAGGATCGACTGAAGAGAGACCTGTCAAGACCAAGAAAAAATTAAAATAAAAGTATAGCACATACAAGCAAAAACCATTCTTTTGTTCGATACTCTTATCAGTATACTGCTACAATGGATTGAAAGGAAGGGGCTGAAGTGGGAGCGGCGGTGAACCGATGGTTACACGTTGGTAGTTGTCTCCCCCCCCCCCCTGATTAAGGATAATTCAGACAAAAGGGATATTTGAACACAAAGTGATATTCTCCAATACCACGGTTTCCCTTCCGCAATTATGAGGAGTAACTAGCCTTATTAGAGCGGAATTCGTTTTTACAAATATAAGGGTCGTACACAATTATCCTATCACTCTTTTTCTTTGAACCCAAAAATACTTTTTATTCTCACTCTTTCTTTCTTTCTTTCTACTTTTTTTTCTTTACTTACATTATGGAGTATTATAATTTACTTTTGAAAAAGATTGAGCAGATCGAAAAGCCAGAGAAATATGGCCCTGTGCTTGGTGCCATTGCCGCAACAGGTCTTGCTGCTTATGTTGTCAAGCGTGTGCTTTCCAAGTCCAAGGATGATAAATTTGCCAAAGGTTTGGAAGCTATTCCTACTCCTAGAGGCGCCATTCCTTATCTCGGTAAGAAAATACTTAATCAAAAAAGCTAATATGCATTTATACTGATATTTATTCAAAAGGCCATATTCCTTATATGGGTGAAATGCCCGCCCACAAGATCACCAAATGGCATCAAGAGTTAGGCCCTATCATCAGAGTCAAGATGGGTGTTCAAGATTGGATTTTTGTCAGTGAGCCTCAAGTTGCTCATGAACTTTTTGCAACACAAGGTGCTGTGACATCAGGCCGTCCATATATTACTTTTGGTAATGGTATTAGTGGAGAAGGTGACAGGTAAAAAGCAAAGTTTCCATTAGGCATTTATTATTTTAGAAATTCATCTCCCGCTCTCCCCCTTTTTGATAATTAGAGGTATTGTGTTTACAGATTATGGTAAAAAGTGGAAGAACGCACGTACAGCTATTTTAAACATTCTTTCACCCAAGTCTGTTGCGGGATTTGACACTGTTTTACAACGTGAAGCAGACAACTGTATTCATCATTTGCTGGAACAAACAGATTTACACGGTAGCGTCAACCCTCTCATGTTTATGCGTTGCTCATCCATCAATGTTATTTTGGCTGCTGGTTACGGTCTCAAGGGCGTTTCTTCCCCCGAGGATCCTCGTTTCAAGGAAATCATTGAGGTTGTCGAACTCGGTCTTCACTACACTAGTGTTGTGGGTGATTTCAGTTCGTATTTCCCCATCTTGTCCTTCTTGGATGTCATTTTTAAAAAGGAGCAAAAGATGAGAGATTTTTTGCGTGATTTAAGTAACCCCTTGTTCAACAAGTTACTCAAGCAAGCCCGTGAAAGTGAGCAAGACAGTTTGGTAAAGAAGTTGGATTTGATCAAGGATGAATACGAGATTGATGAGAGAAACCTCAGAGTGATTATGAGTAAATTATCCCCTTCTATCACGCAAGATAATTCTCCTAACCACTTCTTTATTCGTAGGTGAGGTTTTGATTGCTGGTGGTGACACAGTGTCAATTACTACCAGTTGGACATTTGCCATCTTGGTGCACCACCCTGATGTTCAAAAGAAACTTGCCGATGAAGTCGATGCTTTTATCACTAAACATCAACGTACACCCAACTTTGAAGATCGTGCCGAATTCCCTTACTATAACGCCGTTCAAAAGGAAGCCATGCGCTACCGTCCTCCCGTCTACTTTGGTGTCCCTCGTAAATCCAACAGTGATGGTAAGTTTTATCAAAGTGTAAAAAAAAAAAGAGAAAAAAATAAACTAACAGGGCATGTGTGTTTAAAAAGTTGTGTACAAGAATTATATTATTCCTGAGGGAGCTACTATGGTAACCAATATCCATACTTTACATAACGACCCCAATACTTTCCCCGAACCCGACAAATTCATGCCCGAGCGTTTCATGAACGATACACGATCCATGTATACCTCTGGTAATGGTAATGTCAATGATCGTGATCACTTTGTCTTTGGTTGGGGTCGACGTATCTGCCCTGGTATCTACTTGGTAAGAGTATTTTGTGATGTATGTGTATCTGTGTACTAACTATGTTTAAATTTAGGCTGAGAATGAGCTTTTCAACTCCATCACACGTGTCATGGCTCAAACTCGTATTGAACCTCTTATTGGACCCAAGGGCGAAAAGATCTATCCCGACTTGAACGATTTCAAGGATGGCGGCAGTGTCTTATTGCCGGCTCCGTTCAAGATCCGTTTTGTCCGACGTGAGGATCGTGTTGTCATTGGAAGCAGTCAAACCTAAGGGACGTTAGAGAGTTTTTGGGGGGATTGATTTATCATATTAAAAAGCATATTTTATCATTTTAACATCCTGGATTTTTATGAAGACATTGTGGGGGTGGATGTGGGGGCTAAAATCTTTAAAAAGATATTTAAAAACTGTTGTTTGTATAAACATCATTGTAAACCAAAAAGTAATTATGCTTATTTTTTCCTCCCAGGACCATACACATATGACAAACCCCTTGCATGAAAAGATGAGTAATCAGCATTTGATTGGGTTATTCTGTAACTAATAAAAAAAAAGTCGCACAAAGTAAAGCAGAAACTCGGTTTAATCCAATAAAATACGACATCATGACGACAGGGAAAAAACATGTATTTAAGCAAACATAAATTGAGGATGGAAAAAATGGAAAAAAAATCAATCTCTTTCTTCTCTTACAATAAAAAAAAAATGTCAACTTTCAAACCGACGATACCTGCCAAGCCCGAGTCTTTCTCCATCATTGCACCTGGTGTTAGCCCTGAGGCTGCTTTATTATCGGATCACTTATTAAGCAAAAATCATAAAGAGTTTCATTGCTTCTTTAACGAAAAAAAGTTTCACAAGTAAGAGTTTAACACACATTTCTATTTTTTTCAAAAAAAAAAAAAAAAAAAAAAAAGCACGCCTTATTTATCACTTTCATTTAGCCATTTAATTCATCATCTTTTGGCTGCTTATTCACTTGGTGCCAGTAAAGAAAAAATCCAACAAATCTTTGATGAACACGCCAGTTATCAAAAACCTGCACCGCCCCTTCTAGCTATCACCTTAACCCGTGAGAACTATAAAGATTACCTTGGTCAAGCAGATGCTTATACCAGTTTCCTCCACTTCTTCCAGTCCGAAATTGAAAAAAACGGTCATATTGATACCATTCGTCGTTGGGTTTGGACAGGTGACATGCTGGCTCGTACTGTGGGTGGTGCTTACCATCCTTTAATTCATATCGGTTACAGTCTCGAATTTGATATCCCGGGTATCGCTGCTGAGGGGTTAGCCATGGCTGCATGCACAGAACCTTCCTTGGCCACACTGATTCCACTTCAACCCGAAATCCAAACAGCACTGTTACCAACACAAGCGCAAATGTATGCCGAAAATGCTACTTCCACTGCTCGGGGTTACATGACGCAGTTTGTCGATCAACTCTCCACACAATTAAACACGCGTCTGGGTATTGCTGAAAAGGTGGTTTCGCCTTCTGCTACACGTAGTATGGATACCAATGAAGTGCCTGGATTTTTGAAAGAAAATACCTTATTCCCCATTATCAATGCGATTCGTAAAGACCCCATCTTTGACGATGTTGTAAAGCCCACGGATATGGTACGATCCCAGATTATTTTAAAAAACAAGGTAGCTACAGACCGTATTCGAGAGTATGTAGATCAATGGCCATTGGAAGAAAACAGCAAGGATATTCAAACCAAGTTCAAGGACTTATATACGATGGTCGTCACTGCGTTAGGTTCTGCCGGTCTTCGCGCTAATCATGCTGTAAAAGTCGATTTTTTCATCATGCATGCTTTGACGTCTTCTGAATTTATCCATCAATATATTTCCAAAGTGGCTCCCTCCGAGGCTGTAAGTTTATTACGTGCTCATTTAGCTTCAACGTTGGTGTATTACATTGCAGGTGGAAGACCCGTATTGAATGTGGATGATTTACTCGCTTACAAGATCAAGGAACAAGGAAATAACCCTTGGTTGGGTGTGATGGATCAATCTTTGGATTGTATGGAACCTCATGTGATTAAAGTGGTACGTGCGTGCGCAGTGGGTCAGATTATTTATGGACCCCAACAAGACCCTCGCTTGAATGAAGTATGGCTCAAAGTGGCTCATATGGCCATCGAAAGCAAAGGTCAATGGGAATTCTCGGGTTTGGGATTTGAGGAAACTTGGAAATAGCTTGACTCGGAAGGAGTTATGTCATGTTGCGCATTTCTATAATATAATATTTGCCTAAATATCTTTAAAAATAAAAAGCATATATTCTCATTCTAATTACCATCAGTTTTTTGTTTTTTTTTTCTGGCACACAATTGAAGATGCACTCTACCAGACCAAAGACGAGCGGCACAAGATCATCATAAACAAAAACTAGTTTGCCGTTACCGCCATAGTAGATTGCGTTTGAGATGTTTTTCAACTTATGGATATGACACCGAGTCAAAAAAACACATGGATTTCTAAGAAAGTTTAGGGATGTCCTGCTTATTAACGGTCCTTGAAGATGGAAAACACGTAATAGATAAATATATTTAATAATTATGGTAAAAAATTCTGATTGGATTTACAAAAGACTTAGACGGTATGTACCTAGCGCATCTGAAGTTTATTTAATCCAGCTTGTTTCGTCGTTATAATAAGTACTATATTATAAAAGGTATTCTAATGAATACCATTCTTATTGTCTAGTGACACAATCCCAGTATATCACAAGACCTTACATTTAATCCAAGTTATTGTGTAACTGTGACATCTTACAACACATAAATGTTGATCAGGAATATGCAGCTCATAATCCCTTGACCGTAGTTAAGGTTTAAAGTTAATATGAAGATTATAAACATAAACGACGAACATACATTACATAAATGATACATTCTCTATTATGTGACCATAAAGTTATCGGTAGTTATACATAATACGGTATTATATTGATTTCAGAAGAAGTCATAGACCATGATTACTAGATGACGCATTGTATAAAAAAACGTTTCTACTTTATTTTATATATTTTTTTCCTTGAACCTTCAGGTTCATTTCAGCGGTTTATCTTATCTTTCTTATAATTTTCGCTCTTATTGAACCTTGATATCACTTCTGTTCCATCATCTAAAGTAATTTTTTCATACTTGGAGCTAATCGATCTATTAGCAGTATAGATTGTTGGACTTGTGATAATATTGGCAGGTAATGTGGGTGGATTGGTGGATGAAGGAAGTAATGTGCCTGCTACCCAGTCTGGATTACATAATTTACCATTTAATTCAACTTTGTCAGAACATTGGAATACATCTCCAAGTAATCGTTGCTTTGAAAACGGTAAAATTTGAAAAAAGTGAAAAGTGTCGTGTACGTTCCCAGTGATAACTGCTGATTGTAGAATGCTTCATTTGACAAGTTTGCAAATTTACCACAATTTATCTTCAACTGCATTAACTGACGAAACCACGAGACCAAGTCATTTGAAAACGTATTCAAATTATTTGGGAGGGAGAGATCAAGTCAGACTGTAAATAGCTGTGACCAGACTGTAAATAGCTGCGATTGGACTATAAATAGCAGTATTAACAAGTGTATTTACATACAAACCAGGGCCAACTAACTACAAATAGCAAATATTTGCCTGTATTCCGAACAACTGCATACCATGGATTTCAACAAACTTTTAACCTTTAAGATTTCCTGAATTAATCATGTCATCAAGAGTGCATTTGCACTCAGCAGCAAGTTTGAATTGCCTGATAAAGTTTAGCATTATCAACAGCTACCTTGGCAGCTTCAGTGTGACATGTATCAACAATTTTTGGCAATTTACACACAATTCTTCCGTCTACTTTGCAACCGATTGTATGTTGCTTGTTGTTGTTTTTATGGCATTTGACAGCAGTGGTGGTTTCAGCTACAGTTTCACCCCATTTAATAGATAATTTCTTGTCGTTGCCAAATAAAAGTTCAAGAACTTGACTCCAAAGACAAGTAATATGCTTCTTCGTAATTATGACATTTCAACTCCTAAATAAATAAGTATTAATAATAATACTAATAATAATAAAAAAGGAGTAAAAAGCAAAGGAAAGAAGGGCTACCTTTATGATTTTTTTTCAATTTTAACAATGTGTCATCAGATAATTTTTACAAATGCTTATGAACATTTGATTTAAGATGACGGTTCAAATAATTCCACTGGCTACTTGTAAAAAATTTTCTTTGCCCAGTCTCTTTTTGGTTGCTGAGATCGAGTATTCCATTCAAACAAAATCCACAAAGAGCTTGTTCTTCAGTAGAAAATAATTGATATTTTACAAATAGTCTTTTTCCATACGACTTAAGTATAGAGCTTATGGATCTCTTGTTTCAAATTCTACCGATTTCCAAAGCAGTTATCACTGGGAAGGGACGCGACACTTTTCCCTTAAAGAAAACAATACCATCGCCTTTTACAACATCCTATTGATACATATATATGTCATCATATCAGTTTAATATATGAAAAGTACATGTATCTCGTACATTATTTACTTGTGATGGAGGGAAATTTGATGTATGTGCACTCCTTGAAGATGAAGCTTTGTTTTTCTCAAACAATTTTTGCAATTTTGCGTAGTACTGCTGGCGATCGTTGTAAAGTAACCAAAATTCATTAACCTCTTGTGAACGTATTATCTACATGAAAGGAAAGTTAAATATCAAATGAACCGACTTTACTATCCAAATCAAGTTAATATTACAGGCGCATTGTTGTCGATTTGTTCTTTCAACCAGTTTGTTGTTAATATATCTGCGGCATCAACATCAAAAAGTGAGTCTTGTAGATCCTTTTTGAATTTCATTGCAACTTGGTCTCTGGACATCCCTTTGCAAAAGTTTTTATAATAGAAAGAATATTCAAATTCATTTCTAGATTTTCTTATATATAGTATAGAGCTTGGGTAGGAGTGAACGTGGGCTGTCATTTTGTAGAGTAAAGTAAAGAAAAACGCGTCCCGATTCTTGAAACATGCATATACTTTTCAGACATTCAGATTACCCGGAGCTTGCTCCCGGAAATGTCTAGGTCCACTTACAGGAATTCTGTCCAGAAGACCAGCAGGCCAGTATGTTTGCATCTATTTAAAATGTATCCCTGCTATTCACAGTTCGTGAGTTCCAGAAACTCAAGAACTCTGCCTAGGAGATCGCCCACCTATAGCAAAGACTAGCCGCAGCTGCAATATCACAATATATCTTTTCAAATTAACTTCTTTTCAAAGAAACAAGAGTCACTATTAAACTAACCTTTTTACGTGATCAGGTACTTTCATACGATAAAAGAAGTATGTTAAGGGAAAAGAAAAGGATAAGAATAACGTGTGTGAACCAGCTTTATTAATATATAAACAAGCTTATGTCAGGATGATTTCATTTGTCTATTTTATCAGCCATAATGTTTGAGCCTTTACTTAAAATAGAAACATTGGCAAAACCCCCCAAGCAAGTCAGAGTTTGGTAATTGTCTATCTGCGTTCCAGTAGTAGCTTGTAATGACAGCGAAGCAGATTTTATGGAAAACAGAAATCGATCATCCCATGAAGTTTAGATGATATGGCATGTCAATCGACGTGTAGACCATCGCGTGATTCTAAAAAATACGTTTATTTGAAAAAAAAAATACGTTTGAAAAAATACGGAGTTCTAGACATTTCCGGTAAAAGTGGAAACTGAAAATTGAAGAAGAAAACTCTGAACAAAGTACTGTTCTTTACATAATACAGTGCATATACGGCGTTACTTTTATTGACGCACCTATTCCACCCACCCAAATGAATACTGTATATTAATATCTTTTTGTTTTAAAACAATATCACCAAGGCCGATTTGTACTCACAGTGGTAATAACCAAAAAATAAACCGACAAATCAAAATCTGTTAAGCAATTAAAAAGTATTAATGGAAGTGTATGTATGTGGTTAAAAAACCAATTTAAATAAAAATACTATTGCTCATCTCCTTTACAATAATTTTCCATATTGTTGACATCTAAACAGACGAAATTTCACGAGTATTAATACTTATGACTATTCTTTCATATGGTTACCATTTCAAAAATTAAAATGATCATCCTATGTCAATGGACGTTTCTTGTTACATTAAGTTAGATCTAAGAGCAGGTAGGTGTCATCATTCATCACAAAATGAATAACGACACAATAATTTTTAAATAGGGCTACGCATGGTTTAATTCGTAGTATAAGAATTATATCATTATTGGTGATTAATTGTAGCAGTCCGTAGATATAGATTTTCACAAATAATAACACCATCAAAAGGAAAGAGTAACCAATAATTAATCCATAAGTTACTTTTCGCCTAAATTCTAATCAACTACGGCTACAAACAAAACACTGCAAAAGGATCCATCTGTTTGGAAGGGAAGATTATTTGGCATATGTACTTCTATGTCAGGACTGCTTTGGTTTTGTTTTAGGCAGAGAGATTGATGTAAAGTTACACACATATCACAAACATAATTATCTGTAATCCCCGCACTCTTTGGGTTGGTTGGTTTTTCCTATTCTGTACGCTGTATTTGTACAAGTCTATCATGCAGGCTTAGGGTCTCTTACCTCATTATGTTTATGAAACAAGTATATGATTTGAGTGTCCTAATACATACAAATTAAACTGTTATGACTTGGGCAATTGAAGTGATATAATGTCGCGTATTTCTGTAATATAAATATTTGTCCAAAGATCTTAAAAAATAAAAAATAAATATATTTACAGGGTTGCTATTAAAGATAAGATATATATATATGTGTGTGTGTGTGAGTGGAGCTAGGGGAAGTAGGGGTAAAGAAGAGTTATTTTTCTTCTTGTATTAAGTTATTCAAGGTGTTTGCTCTGAGAGATCTTCTAGGAGAAGAAGGATCGGTTCGTAAATTGCGATTTTTAATCTGGCTGGGTTCTTCACTTTTTCGTCTTCTAACGACGTCATTGCGATGCCGTTGGTCGTTGGAAGAGATATCACTATGACTGACGCTTCTAACACCCCAATATTTCCTCTTGTATTTTCCTGAACCGATGGTGCGTTCTTCCAATTCATCAGGAATGACGACCATACCTGCAGCGACACTAACTCTTCTACCGGAAGGATTGATGATGGGTCTATCGGGTAACATGCTGGAAGGTAAGCGTTGATTTTGTTGATCCTCGTCCGTATCCCAAGGCAAGCTTTCCTCATAAGCTTGTTGATTATTTCGCTGTAATTCCTCTTCCATGACCAACCAATGTTCACGATTTTCTGCCAACGTTTTTAATAGTTCATCTGATTTTGGGAATAAAGCGGCGAATATTTCGAAATAAGGACTGACGACGAAATCGCCAAAGCGTAATCCAATGGTGGTTTGACTGGTTGCATTTCTATCCATATTAGGAGAAACCTCTAAGCCATTTTCTCTCTCGGCGTCTCCCTGACGAAAGAATTCTTCGCAGACCAGATTGGACCAGCTGAGACAGATGGGCCATGGTCTGAGCGCATTGGAAATATCAGCTGCGTGCAAGATGATCTGGCAGAGAATCAATCGTTGTTGAGGCTCCATGATATAATTCGGTGGCGTATAAATGATTTTGTCAATGCCATTCACGTTCATGGTGGTCGTCACCAGATCAATACCCGATAGATGGTGATGACGTTTAGTTTCATCAGGCTCTTCTTCTTCCTCTTCCTCTTCGGGACTAGCTGGTAAAATAGGCATTGTTTTTAAGCACAGTGGAATCATGTCTTCTTCAAAATAAGACTTTTTACGGAAATACGAGATGGCACTTTTAGCTCCTTGACTCGAAAAGATGTCTTTTACTTGAACATCCCCTTCTCCATCACTCTCACTATGTTCTTCTTCTATGGGTGTTACAATCTCTACTTTTTTATTCTCGGGAATAGTAGATAAAGGTCTATGCTGACAGCAAGGGTGTTGCATTGGCGATCCAGAAGCACTTTCTTCTTCCTCTTCTTCTTCTGTTGTGGTGGGTAAGGAAGGTTGATGTGGGAATGAGCGCTTACCATCTTCCGTATGAGATGAAGCATCCGAGATGATTTCCAACAGATTAGCTAAATTCTCTTGTAATTCATAATGGAAAATCATATCGGTTGCTAAAATCATTTTGATTATGGAAGTACGCAATTCTGGCTCCGTCGTAGGTAACCCTAATAATCCACTGGCCGATTCCAAATGGCGTAATAGTTTATGTCGACTGAGTAGATCCATGGTGATTGTGCAGGAGTAACTCTCCAACACGGATTTGTTACTGTATCGTACGGCTAGATCCGTCTTTAGGTTGACTTGGTAGTTATTGTTCATTCCAGGCTATGTTCATATGATTAGTACTGTAAGTGTGTATATGTGTGTGTGTGAAGAAGAGAGATACTCACATGGCCGATATCATGACATAATCCAGCGATGAGCAATGCAGCCATGTCTATACGCGAGAGATAGGTGGCGACATCATATTGACAAAGCATATGATACAAAACAATGGCGACGTCGACTGCATGATAAAACGAATGATACGCGTTAGGCAAGTAACCATGATCCACATCAATCAGGAAATCCAGGAATTCAGAGGGGGAGATACCGATCGACTCGCATAATCCAAGTCGTTCTGTAAAACCAAGTATAAACCCGTATAATTCTGCACGAGACTTGTCCAGCACGGTAAAGTCGTTTAAGTCTTTCACAATGTACTTGGGATCAAGCACCTTGATCATGCACTATTTGAAAAAAAAAAAGTGTCATTCTTTTTATGCCTGTTTAATAAACACGCATGCTTTCACTTACTCGTTCAATGACAAAAAGATCCTCAGATGATAAAGTGTTGTGCCGTAAGATGAGCATCGTGAGGGAGTCGAGTAATTATTTTTTTAGGGAGAAGGAAAGAAAACGAGAATTTTTTTTTTCTGTTCTAAAAATTGCCTTTATAAAAAAACCCGACAAAACTCACAGCCACTAAAGTTTAGACATCATGCGAATCCACGGTAAAAAAAAAAAAAAAAAAAAAAAAAAAAAATGGAGATGAAACCTAAAAAGGCAATTTCTTTATTGTGTTTCATATCTTACTGGTATCATGGATACCATAACTTTCATCTGTAGGTGACCACATATTTGAGGTAACGTATTCCAAAATCTTTCCATTATCAGCACTTGACTTTAAACGTTGGTCTGTAGCCAATCCTTTATCTAGCGCTTCTTGACACACAGCAGTAGCCACAATACCAGACACCTCGCGAATACGTTTTAACGAAGGATAAAGCCAGCCTTCCGCAATCTCTTCTTCCGTCAGAGAGTCAGCTAATGCCTTGGAACTAGCATAAATCATTTCATTTGAGATATACTTTGGTCTAGCCAACACAGAGCCTAAACCCAACCCGGGAAAGATGTACATGTTATTGCCTTGTCCAGGATATTTAATCTCGCCTGTCGATTCAATCTTATAAGGAGGGAATGCAGTACCACTGGCAAAGATCACTCGGTTGTCGGTAGCAACCATCGCTTCTTCAAAGCTACATTCCGCTTGCGTAGCGGGATTCGATAACGAAAACACGATAGGTTGTTTATTCAACTCGCCAAACCGAGACAAGACTTCATGGCTAAATGCTCCACGCGTAGAAGAGAGACCAATCAGACTAATAAGAAAAAAAAACTGTGTGTGAGTTGAAATCAGTCGAGATGACGTTGTTGAACACTTGTTCTTACACTGTAGGTTGCACATAATTAATAATGTCCATGAGTGCCTTGTACTGTTGTCCCTCATTATCCTGGCGTGCATAATACACCTTATGCTGAGCCAAACGATCGCCCCGATCAGCAGTAACAAGACCCTAATTAATCATAAAAAGAGAGTGTCAATATTTTTTTTTTCTGTGTATGATATGCAGGGGAAAAGGGTGCTTACTTTGGAATCAACAATCCAGAACACCTTTTTGGCTTCCTCTTCCGACATTTTGTGTTCAATCTGGAAATAACTTTGGATTTGTCGTGCAACGCCAATAGCAGCCGATCCGGCACCATAAAATACAATTCGGTGGTCTTGCGGAGCTACATCATTTTCTCGTGCGGTCTTTCGAATAGCGTTCATGACACCCGAAAGAATCACAGCACCTGTGCCTTGAATATCATCATTGAAGCATAGCATTTTGTCTTGATATTTTTCCAACAGTCCAAAGGCATGCTCGGAAGACCAATCTTCGAACTGGATTAACATGTCGGGATATACTGTCTGAAGTGCCTTCAATACATCATCCACCGTTTTATAGAACTTGTTTTGCTTATTAATATCTTTGTAATTAAAACAATTTATCAAGTTTATTTTACCTCCTCATCGGCTGGTCGCTTTTGTCGAAGACCAATGTAGAATTCATCATTTAACAAGCTTTCGTTATTGGTGCCCAAATCCAGAATGATAGGCAAAGTACGACGAGGATCGATACCAGCACAGGCAACATACAATTGAAGTTTACCGATAGGAATACCGATACCGTTGGTACCGAGATCTCCCAAACCCAAGATACGTGAACCATCGGAAATTACACAAATTTCAGGTGAGAAGTCTTCATCTGTACGGTAGTTACGAATTGTCTGACACAACTCTGGTAAGGAAGCCTTGGTCAAGTAAAGTCCATCAGGGACACCAGGGGCAGCTAAGAACGGATAGATAGTGGAATACTCTAGACAGGCTGTGCCCACGGTCGGAGTGTAGATCACGGGAGCCAATTCCTAAAAGCCTGTTTGGTTAGTCATTGCAAATTACTCAACCATTACTACTAACCTCGAGTTCATCCATCACGATTTTGTAGAATAAACGCACATTATTGGTACGTAGTTGGGCCATCAAGATGTACTTTTCTAACAAGTTGGGCTTGGACCGAAGCACACGTAGAGCACGCTTCTTTTGAATTGACAACGTTTCTACTCGAGCAGGTAAAAGACCGTTCAAGCCAAGACTTTGACGCTTAGAGTAATCCATGGCGGTACCTATACCGTGCGGAGTTAGTTGCTTATCAGAAAGAAGGCAACAGGACATTTTTTTTTTCTTTTACCTTCGTTGGAATAACCAGAGCGAGAGATCACATCATGGTGAGTGGTAGTTGTATTGACAACTTTTGTAGTACTACTAGTGGTAGTAGAAGAAGAGAATTGACGGCGAAGAAAGTTCATGATAATAATAAGATAATGAAAAGAAAAGGTAGAACAAAAGCATCCCACCTTTTTATATGCAACTGATCTAATAGATTACGCGATGATATTTATCACGAGCTTTGTAAGAAAACGAGATGATTCATAAAATGATTGGCAAACGGTACAAGTTGAATCACAATGTATGAATCGATCAAATGCTCGCATGCCATTTGCCTATTCCCTTAAAAGTGGTCACATGATACTTTTGAACGCACATGCTTTCTCACCCTTTTTTTTTTTTTTTTTTTGTTTATGCCGCAATTATGTTTATTTTTATTTTACTTAATCAACTTCTTCCATTGATGCCCATTCTTCATAGGATGACACGAATGGACGTGTGGGTAAAGCTGATGAGGATATCCTTTCCCTGGTGTTATTAGTTTCCTCTACGCGGGCTGTCGATCTCCACTCTTGGTAGGGTGGCGCTATAGCAGAAATCCACGTATCGGAGTCCACTGCTTGTGCTCGATCAATAATATCTTCTAAGGGGACTAATAAATGATGGGGTAGTCTAGATGATGATGTTATATCCTCCTCTTCTTCTTCTTCATCATCTTCTTCATCTTGTCCATAAGCAGGCTGTCGACTAACGGTGGCATCTCGAGTCAATATCACAAATGTAAAATCTCCCATCGTAACTTACCATACTGGACAGGAAGTCTTGATATTTAACCAGCGACTGATGCAAGCTCCATGAAATTTATGATGGCAGGGTAAATCAAAAATCTCCAAGGTTGTACCAAACGTATCTTGACAAATAATACATTCTTCATCGACATCTATCACAGAGTCTAAATATTACATCTATAAAAAGTGCCATCTAACGTACCGGGATCTGTTGATATCAAGACGTTTTTATTCAAATTGGCCAGGATGTGCTGAATAGAGGGCGTGGTGGTTGTTTCGATACTATTTAAAAAAGAGTGAGTTTGAAAAGAGATTAAATGGTGCAACCCGTGTTATATCTAAATTACTCTTGAGTATAATCGGATAAAATATCTGCAAGATTATCCAGAAAGCTTCGTTGGTGGTAATTGTCCAAGCCATCGCCTTCTTCTGATTCCTCGTCGGACCGATTGCTGTACATTGTGCTGTTGGGGGGTGAGGTGGGGGAGGAGTTAAATTTAGCATGAAGTATACAATGATTAATCATAGAAAACTCACTCTAGTAAACGACCTATTCGTGCAAAGGGTAGTTGGAATATGCTGGTGGTTGTTTCGTTATTATTATTTTCTCGCTGTTCAAACAAGATATTATAAGCGACGATATCATCCACCACTTCCTCTTCTTCTTCGGTCTCTTCAGCCATCATGGATTCCACAATAAATTCGTTTAGACTAGCTGTTTGTCCCATCATCCTTGTTGAACTTGTGATATTTCTGGCCATGGGATGATTGTAAATGGATGATAATTGTTCATATAAACATCGTTCCTCCAGCATTTCTTCGTCATCATCGTCGTCATCATCTTCTCCTTCATGTATAACTATTTTATTATGTTTTTTTTTCGTGAATTAGTTTTTCTATCCTTCAACAATATAATATATAGGGTTCGAATTATTCGCTTTTACAAAAAAAATCTAGTTCTCTATTGAAATCTCCTCCGTCCATTGCATTATCTTCTATCACTGTAGGTATCTTATTTTTTGTCAATAAGAGCACCCCCTTTATTTACTAAAACACTCACCTCTTCAATGTAATTACACCCACACACCGAACATGCTGCCATGGGTGTCAGAACAACTCCTCTTCTTTCTTCGCAATCGTGACAATAAAAAGTACCAGACATTTCAACAAAAAAAAAAAGAAGAGAGAAAAAAGGTTAAAATGTAATCATAATAAAAAGGAGAGCAATAAAGGTCACTGTGGATCACGTGTCCTTAAGGGGTTCCCTTCAGGAGGAGTGGGGTGCGGTTCACGAAACATCCCATGCGGTCCGTGTGTGGGCGGCCCATTTGCCATTAGACTTATTTGGCTTGTTAGCCCCCCCCCCCCATTAGTGACGCTTATAAACAGCCCAAATGAAACCAAAAGAATGGTATATGTACCACAATTGACTTTTACGACCCAGCTGCTGTTGAAAAGAAGATGCCCGTACCCCATCATGATCGGACTGAACCTTTTGCCCGAGTCTTTTTAAGCAGGAATTTGTATCAACTCTGAGTTGCAATTGCCCTCCATATCATGCTTATTTAGGAACCTGAAGTTAACTTGACTTTCCTATTTGTTACCAGTGGGATTAAAACACTCTTCATTTATTTATTTAATTTTTAGTCGCAATAAAAACCACTCATTACTGTTGTAGCTTTTTTGTGATGGGAGTACCACTTATTAATACTATAATAAAAATTAAAGTAATTGGATGAGAATAATAAAATGTTGGGTAAAGGAAGAATATCTACATATCAAAAATTTATCAAATCGGATCTCCTATTATACTCGTAAGTATGTGTTTAATTATAGTAAACATTACTTGTTTGGCATTGGATGGCAGTTGCTAACCATGAGCTTTAACGGGGCAACCAACCATGATCTAGTTACTGTGCCTAGAAACATATTTTCTGTTTCAATTTCATCTACTTGAAATCGCAGTAAGGGCGCTTATAATTATTCGGGTTTTTCTGCTTATTCATCATTCAGAACCTTTAGCCTCTTTCAAACCGAATAAGCATGTATACATGAATACACAAAATGAAAAAGAGATAACAATGATAAAGGTTGATTGGCTATGGTGTCAGAATACTGGCCAATTATAATCTTTGCTCGTGATCGGAGTGTGCAGTTGTCAGGCGTCCCAGGTTGAGGAGGGGGAAAAAAGAATTTTTTTTTATGCTCTTTTTTTTTATACACACATATTTTTTTATTAACGGGAATGGAAGACACTACATTGAAACGAAAAAGAGGAACGAGTATTCAACCCCGTTGGTACAACCAAGCATATTTACTATTTTTAGCGCTACGTCAACATCCAGAAAATAGTCTACCTCGTATACAACTTATTGATGCTGCGATTGAATTAGACAAAAAGATTGGTGTCGAGTTACAATTACCCAGAGTCTTTCGAGGCAAAGTGAGTATCTGAATTACTTATACATTTTTAAAAAACGCGTCCAGAGGGAACACCTACTGATAAATCCATGTTCTTTTTCTTTTTATTTTCTTTTTTTTCATATGAAGACGCCAAAAAACTCCGCGTCTGCCACGTTGACAAACAATAGTGATCGTTACTTTATCGCCTTCAAACCAGAAGGTTCTAAATCCACGCATTTCAAACTCGCTTACACCCCTGGAAATGTTGGGGATGCTGTCAAAGAATACAACAGTTGGTGCACTAAACTTGTAGAACACGATTGGCCTTTTTGCTTTGGTGTGCCTAAACAACAGATCGAACCTCACTATCATACTCCAGTTTCGCATACCGATGATTCCGATTCGATAGATGCCATGGATAAAGACCTTGTACACCTTAAGTTGCATGATCAATCACCCTCGGAAATTCAGCCTGCGGTAGATAGCTCGATTATCAGTCAAAACGAGGAAGATAAGGCTGATACAGTAACCATAAAAACAGCGGAAATTACAGACGACACAAAGATGAATAAGGATATGGAAGATGATTCGGAAACAGAGGAAGGGGATCATACTATGGAGGATCCAGATACAAGTAGTAATATAGGTACACCAGATCCAAATCAAAGTGTGAATACGGTAGACACGAGTAACATCACAGATACGCCAAATGCAGATCAAAATACAGATATATCAGTGGCAGATCCAAGTACAGATACACCAGTGGCAGATCAAAGTACAAATACACCAGTGGTAGAACAAAATACAGATACACTAATGACAGATCAAGGTAAAAATACACCAGTGACAGATCAAAGTGCAAATACACCAGTGGCAGATCAAAGTGCAAATACACCAGTGGCAGATCAAAGTGCAAATATATCAGATGCGGATGACTCAAATACAAATAGTACAGATGCAGGCAGAAAACTAAATGTGCAGGTGTATATCGAACATATGGACACACAAGACGAAAGCACCAAACCAACACGACCAAAGAAACAGCCGATTCCACCAGAACCATTTATTACACTGGAACAACTTGACCTGAGCAACATCCCACAGAGTTGGCGTGATATTGTTCGAGTGGCTCCATCAAGGATCCCGTTTGGAGGTAATGGATTATTTGCGAAACGTAAACTTCCTTATAATACTCCGATTGGATTTTATTTTGGAGTGCCCATGACAGAAGACGAATTTGATTCGCTCAAAGACCGAGTGGGAAGATCCAGCGAATATTCCATCATGTACCGTCGTACAGTACTAGACGCGACAGATGACGAAGGACAACCCATCACAGATGAAGACAGCCCACGGTTCTGTCCATTTCATTACATGAACGAAACGTCATCACAAAAGACAGCTTCAGTGGCATTTGTGGAGGGAGCGATTGTGAATCAAATCATCTGTTGGACTAAAAAAGACATTGAGGAAGGAGAAGAATTACTCGTGTGGTACGGTAAAGATGTGCATCGTTATTGGACAGAAGAAGAAGAAGAAGCCAATCGAAAGAAGGAACACAAGGAAAGTAAAGTGGAAAAAACACGTCTGGTACAAGAGCGAAAGATGGATCGATTACTTCAACGCCAGGAAAGGGAAAGAGCTTTACAGGAGAAAAAGAAACGTAAAGAATTAATGAAGCTGGATAAATTAGAACAGGAACGTATAAAGAAATTAAAAAGACAGGAGAACAAAAAGACCAAGAAAGTGGTTGTGCAGGAAGAGGAATTGTTAGTGCCTGAAAAAGGTCAATTGATTATCGTGGATGAATCTGGTGCTTTTTTCTCACAGGATGAATTGGACCAACAGCGACTTTGTACCACACAACCCATGAAGGACATCATTCTCGTCAACTACAGCGAATAAAAAAAAAAGGAAAAAAAAAATATATATATATAGTCTTTTTTTATTAACATGGGGATCAGGTATATTAATGTCATTGCCATGTGGGTTTGGGTGACATGGGAGGAGAATCAAGAGATGCCAGTGGATAACGACTCTTGAGTGAAGTCGTGATTCTCTTTAAAAGCGACTTCTTTTTCAGCCTACTGGGATCCGTGGCAAATGGTATAAAGGCACTGATTCTTAACAGTTCGATAACAGCATTACAGGCTGGATCCAATAAATTCGGATGATAACACTGCTGTCGTTGATACGAGCTTAATAACTGATGTCTTATTTCATATGGAATATTAATTTCTTGCGTTGCATCCGTCAGTATGAATGTTTGAAGGATAATTTCGAATTTATTCTTGAGTGTTTCAAACAAAAGAATCTCTTTGCTGTCTTCGGGCTGATGCTTATAATCAAATTCACCGTCAAAGTAGGCACTGCATCTTTCCTTGTAATCCATGACAGCTTGATAAAACATCAAGTTTTCATTACAGTATGTTTGTTTCAAATATTCAGAGAAATCAAACAAACTAAACGGACTCGATGTTTTATCAGATAGCACCATCTCCAGTGTCAAGCCATCAGGCGTTTCAAATACGGATCCAAACCCATGCACGATATCTGAGAACACAACCATTTTTTAATTATTAAGAAAAGAAGAGAAAACCCTTAATTTTTTTTTTTTTTTTTTTTTTTTTTTCACAATTAATGTGGGGGAGGACAGTAAAATCACATGCATCCAATCAGAGAGGATCGGTACCTTATTTAAATGTGTAGATACTTTGCTCAGAAATTATTGGCACACTTCAGGAAACTAAATTGTACAGTCCCCGGATTTCATTTTCACAAGTGCTTAATACTTTGTGTAGCCACCTTTAGTTTCCATCACAGCCTTACACCAAGAGTTCATACTTGCAACCAATTTTTCTATAAATGACTTAGGGTAGCACTCATCACGAAGAACTGCTTTTAAATAATGGCTATTTTGGATGTGATATCTACAGCCCCCTACGCGTCTCTTCAAGTTAGCCCAGACGTGCTTAATTTTATTGAATGTCTAGATGATATCTCTCTTCTTCTTTTCTGATCACCCTGCCATCACTATCTTGAACGTTGAACTTAGACTCATCTATCTAAATGACGTTCTGGTGTCCAATTCATTTTATTTTAGCTTAAGAAAGTCTTCTTTGCACCCGAAACCGTTTATGGTTGCATACTTGCTCAAAGTCTGTCGTTTTATGTCAATTCCAGCGGTCTTCTTTGTCAGTTACAAATGGCATAAGTGGCTCTTGCCTAAAGCTGCGTACAACTGTACGTTGATCTCTTTTAAGCAACTTAAATTAATCTCCTTTACATTTACCTCGTTTCATTGGGTCGTCTTCGCTACTGCCTCGACGGAAGTCTTGAGTCTTTGGAAAATATGTAAGCCTGGGGAAATATATGTATGTTTGAATCAATAACTTTGTGGGTCTATTTACAGATGTTTCCATTATAAGTGAAGGCTGAAACATTATGGGTGATTAAATAATCAATTATATCATCCTGACATAAACCAGTTCTTGTTTATCAGTCTATAAATAAAACGCGTTCACACACTTTTCTCTTCCCTTTTCTTCTCAATCTTTTAATAATACTTATTTCTCTTCTCTTTTTTTTTTCTGTATAAAAGTGATCCCTATTGTAAAAAGGTTAGTACATAATGGCTTTTGTTTTTTCAAAAACGCTATAATATTACAGGTCTCTTAGGGACAGCCAAATTTTCTTAGGGACAGCCATTTTTCTTAGGGACAGCCAGGGTGCGCGTAGTCGTAATGTTGGGATTATGATACTTTTATAGACATCAAGAGGCCAATATAACTTAACAGCTTGAAACATATACACATTTATTACAACCAACATAGTTTAAACCAGTATATGTGTTTTACGGCTTACTTTCAGCTTCTCGTTTGGACTTTATCTTAATATTTCTGCGTAAGATTAAGATCAAACGAGCTCAAAGGCGAAAGAGTGATGATAGAATTGTGATTTTTACATTGTTTTTGATTGTATATCCTGGTTCCCCAGGTCTACAGAACATCCAAATCAGAGATCTTACGTTGCGACTACGTACACTTTGGCTGTCCCTAAGGAAAATTTGGCTGTCCCTAAGAAAAGCGTATAAAAATTCTCCCGTTAAAGGTATATACTTTTATAATATGGATTGCATGACCCGCTTAAATATCGTAAATGACAGATCTACTAGATATAAAATCATATTGTTGAATTTATATCTTGATGGGTTGGAAGAAACCCCTTTCCTATCAAACCCAAAAATATAAAAAAGATAAACTTCATAATAAGTAGTTATTAGAATACTCGTGCTCCCGTGTCACTATATGAGACATGAACGTTACCTTGAAGCCAACTCTAACAAGCGGAATTCAGATATCACCAGATGGAAGACTAGAGTACAGATATAGTGCCCGGACAATTATGCTAAATATGATCAGGATCAATTGATTCATATCAGCAGAGTTTTTAAGTCTATTTATACCCTAATAAGCATCTTCATTTATCTCGTTATTTTATAAGTTTATTTTTGATCATTCACCACGAAATTGCTTAAAGTACCTCTGACAAAAACAACGAAATTATTGCTGATAGAATTGAAAACAGCAGCAAAAAAAGCTACAACAAGATTGGATCTGCCCTCTCCAAAAGCATTGTGACATATGGAAAGATTATATAAATTAAAATAGGATTTCTTCAATATGAGCTTACAAAATATTCCATTTTAAGATTTTAGAGTTATATATATATTATTCACAAATGTTGTGGTGATATAATGGAAAACCCCTTCAAGATCGCTAAAGAAAACACTGCTGTATGCTTCTTTGATTCTACTGGAAATCGTCTATTTTTCCAAAAGTTTCTCTCTCTTGAGTTCACTTTTAACAGCAGACGAATATTTCTCAATAGGATTGTTTTAGGAGAGCATGGAGGGAAATGTATACAACCGTAGTCACAACTGGTGATACAACGTTCGATGTATTTTGAGGTATGAATTGGAGCATTGTTAATGACAATACAAGGTCCTTTAAACTATTCATAATTATCTAAGACGTCTAAGGAACATTTGACGAAGCGAATAGTAAGGCCTGTTATTACACCCCTTCCAACTTTAGCAACGAGGTCATTACTGCCTAATCCTCTCTTCTTAAATAATGTTGTGGATCGGCGCAGCTGGATATTTACAATCACGACCCACCTTTTTTCCATTATTTAGCTCTAAGACATCTGATGATTCTTTTTTAACACAATTTAAGCCGTACGCCTATTAACCACCCAACTGCTTTGCTGTTTGTCCAGGAATCATAAATATTTCATTAACTAAGAACCAGCCGTTGTTATTTGACAGCGTTATCATGTTTCATATATGAACGAAATTTTTGTTTTTATTTTTGTATTTTATTGGGCTTTTGTGATATTTTCAGGTGGTTTACAGTCCAAATCCTCATCATACTTAGTTATGAAATGGATAGAATCTGCTTCAGTATCTAATAGCTATTTTGAGGAGCATATTTTCGCTTTGATCCACAACTTCATCTTATTACCATTTCCGTAGATAAAGCGTTTTACGCTCATTTTACTTCAAATGTACGCAGAAGTTAAGTGAGCACTTGTGAAAATAAAATTCGGGGACTGTGAATTCTAAAAATAACTCCGTGCAATTTAGTTTCCTGAAGTGTGCTGAAAAAGTGTAAAAAAAAAAAAACTTTTATATTTTGGTGTTTTTAGGTCTTCCTTTCATACCAAATATAAAATAATCAAATTATGGCCCGTACCACACTGCGTACAACACTACGTAAAAAAGTGGTGATTGTGGGTGATGGTGCGTGTGGAAAGACAAGTTGTCTGATTGTCTATCAAAACGGCAAGTTTCCCGAGGTAAAAAGCGAGACTTGACATGTATTGATAAGATATTAAACTTAGTGTAGAAATACTTGCCGACAGTTTTCGAAAATTACATCTCTCGAGTGGATTTGGATCATAAAACAGTGGAACTAGCCTTATGGGATACAGCAGGGCAGGAGGACTATGATCGATTACGCCCACTCTCTTACTTTGAAACTGACGTTGTTGTAATATGCTATGCTGTCGATAACCAAAACTCCTTTCAAAATGTTAGGGACAAGGTAAAAATTAGACTTTACAGTTCGGGAGACATATGGACTTATGTTTAACTTATAGTGGCTGCCCGAGGTCAAACACTATTGTGGAAATAATGTGTCGTTAGTATTAGCTGGTCTCAAAATCGATTTACGTTCGGAATCCAACAAAACCATCAGTCAACAACAGGTACACAACCATAGTCACACGCCTATCAAAGTGAACTTATTCTGTATATATAGGGCATCAAGTTAGCAAAAGAGATTGGAGCAAAGTATGGTGAATGTAGCGCAAAAGCTAATATAGCTGTCAAGGATGTGATCCGACTTGCTGCGCGTGTCGCTGTAAAGCCTAAAAAACTTTTAAAAAGAAGAAATCTTCATTGTAATATCCTTTAAACCAATCACCATTTTTTTTTTTTTTTTTAGATTGTATATACATATATATTTTTAACTTATGCCCTTTTTATTTATATTCCCTTTTCTTTTTACAACTTCTTATCCCCCCTATATATGATATATGCCCACTCTATATAAAATTTAATAAATATTGATACAATTACGACAGATTAAAAAAAACAAGGTGATACAATCGGCTTACATCCGACATCCGAAAGCCACGATATTTCTTAGCGCGCGTGTTAAAGGGAGATGATTATTATTAGTAGATTATATATTATGGTAAAAAGAAAAGGAGAAGGTATGCTTTCAGTTATTAGTAGTAGTATTGGTTGTGGTGGTGTTATTATTGCTGTTGACAAGAGAGAGTCGAATGGCTTCCATGACGAGTACATCTTCAAGATCCATATCTGCAAATGAATCATAAATCGTATTATTACTGCCATTATCATGACGCAATGAAAATGTTGGTTGCCTCGTTCGTCGTCGTTCTCCATTATTCAATTGCACTCGTCTCCTGCGTGTCGTACCCACAGATGATGCACGTCTTTCCTCCAACATTTCTTCCCATCTTGGTCTCACTGTGTCTATATTCCACACAAATTATCAGCATTTATCTCTTTACACATACACTCACAAGCACTTACCTACAAGCACCACGTCAGGATCCGTGGGCTCTACTCTCCATTTTCTGCGGTCCATTTCATCATTCTTTTTAAACAGATCGGATCGTCTCTTTTTGAATGACTAGTATCACACTCAGTACCCTTTCTACATACTATAAAAAAGAGGTGCTTACCGTGTAGTGCTTGCTCCAGACGGGAGGAATATACAACACGCCAAAATTAGGTTGCACACAAAAGGGGCAAACTGCTGGCACAAGCGGAGAAGACGAAGATCGCCGGAGTTGTAAAAAGCATTCAGTGCAAATCGACTTATCACAACACCGTGTTCGGTTCATTTTAGAAGGATAAAACTAATCAATTAAGGTGAGTACATATACAAAGGATACTTATAGAATGAAATATACCAGGAAACATATAGGGCATTCAGTTTCGTAGGACATGTCGTTATCCATACAAATATCATTGGATCCTGATAACGAGATTAAATATCCTTAATTTGTGACCCCACATTTTTTTTTTCTTTTTTTTTTTTTTTTTACCTTGATAAAAAGGTGCTAATTGCCCTTTGCGAATCAAGGCTCGAACAATTTGTGCATCGTAATCCGTGTCGCTACTGTAAATACCATAAGGGTTCAACGTACCATAGTCTAGACTCGAAGAAGGTCCTATATGCATTACTCTGGAACACGTAGTTCCCATTGTTGTTGTTATTCTGAGTTTATGTGAGAGAAAAAAAAGAAAAAGAAAAAAAAAACCTGGGAAATGGTGTTCAAGTAGTCACACTATTTTTTTTTCTAATCAAATCTAGATCACACATTGAATTGGCTAAGCATCTGTATGTGTGTATGCAGAGTAAACACGACAACACCGGGCATAATGATTTCATTACGTGTGCATATCTGAAACTGGTACACCATGTTAATGATTACTTTTCCATTAAAAACCTGTTTGCCTCATGCACAAAGCATCATTGTCCACTCATCCACTCTGATTACACACTCTCACAGCATCAATAGCGTTCCTCTAGCAATCGATCCATACTCGCTTAATTGACTGCCTTTCCCACGTGGATATATTTACTGGTTGATCTCCAATGCTGAATATGATTGGTCAAATTTGTCACTCGCTTCGTTATAAATATTAAGAACTGCTGTCAAACACAGGGCCATTCTAATCTTTTTAAAAAGTTTATAGTCAATTGAATCCGTATTGATATATGGTCCTATTTTATTCATCAACAATACTTTTTTAACCTTTTACTTTTATTATATGTCATGCCTAAAAAAAAGTTGAAATGTTGGCGAAACCTAGAAATTGAAAATCACGAGAAATATCGCTGGTAAATCTCGAGTGTTCTTGCAGCTCTTGCATACCGTTTTATCTGCTTGAGATATTTTATTGAATGATAAAAAAGGTGGTTTTTTATTACACATAATTCTACCCTTTAGCGATTACAATAACATCACCTAAAATTATACTTAGATCACATTTAACACCAGTCATGAGTTTATACCGCAAGATAAATTTGATGCAAATACACGGTCAAGTCTTTGATATGGTGCTTAGTAAAAACAGGAATGATATTCATTTACCATTATGTACCATAAAAGAGTAAATAGTACTTGTACAGCTTTGCGGTAGAGAACAAATTGTTGTAGATTGGAGTTTGCCTGCATCGAAATATTTCTTTGTTTTGACTTTGGTAACATTGTGGTTCGACGATTCCCTTCAGCAGTTATAAATACCAACAAAACTAAAAGTTGTCCTGTTTTATCAGCTGATGAAAAGAGTGAACTCAGCTATTATTTAAATGATAGAATACTATGGAGAAAATCATTAGTTGATTAAATTTGTCGACAGACACTTTCCAGTCCTGAGCTTGATTTTTCTAACGAGTTTACCTTCTATAAGTTGAAAAGCTTGGATTTTAAAGAGCTTTTATCGTGAACAACTCACTATCTTGATAGTTCTTTAGATGATACGTCACAACTAACAAGTTTTGTTATAGGAATCTCGCTAGCATATGTTTGGAAGCGCCTGAGTGTGATGCCCGAAAATATAATCAATTTCAAGTGCAAATAATCAAGAACTGCCCTCCGTTCAAAAATTTCTTAGATACACGAAAGAAAAATGACTCATATTTATCATGAGCCGAGATAAACATGCATGTATCATTCACTTAAGCCTCAGTTGTTGCGAGGTGGAATTTTCATGCTGTAAAAGCGAGAACATGGTTTTCTTTGCTCAAGCCTATGTTGCAATAAAAAAAAATTGGGACAAGAAATTAAGATTTTTGCCTATCTAAGCTGATAGCGCGAACATTACATGCTCAAAATGAGGTGTAATACTACAAGAGATAGTAATATTCCGTGATTCTATTCATGAACTTATGGCTTATTATAGCACGGTGTCTATGAAGAACGTTAAGGTGCAAACGTCAATTTGAAACTCATCATGGCGTGTGTGCGAGTCTGCGTCTTATTTTTAACACCCAGGTATGCCCGTTTTTTTTTTTTTTTTTTTTTTTTTTTTTCCACCTTTCTCTTCTTTTTTACTTTTTTAAAGCATACATGAGCGAACGTAGTCTTTCACCAATCAATGATATGCATCGTAGGTCACTATCACGCTCACCATTAAGTGGAAGACGTGGTCGCTCGTACTCACCACGCTCCAGAAGTTCCAGTTCACGCTCATATTCTCGGTCCCGTTCCCGTTCAAGATCTTACTCACGTCATCGTAGGTCTCGTTCACGCTCAAGATCACCTTACAGACGCTCAAGAAGTAGGAGTTACCATGGCCGATACTATTCTCGCTCACCACCTCCTTCACACCACAGAAGATCCCCTCCACCCTCGCGTCGTTACAGGTCAAGATCTCCACCTCCAAGACGTAGATTTATCAATAAGGATTGTCGAGTATACGTAGGTAATTTACCTTTTGAAGTGACTTGGCATCAACTGAAAGAGTTTATGAAAGAGGGTAAAAACAAAACAAAAACAAACAAAAAAAAAACTTTTTGAAACTAACGCAATAAATAACACTCAGCTGGCCAAGTTGCTCATGTCGATGTTTTGAAGTTGCCTAATGGCAGATCCAAAGGATGCGGGTAAAACTAGAGAACTTGGGTATAGAATAAGTTTCTAATGCCAGTCAAAAAAAAAAAAATAGTGTAGTAGAATACCGTTACCCTGAAGACGCAAAGCGCGCCATTCATATCATGAATAAAGCAGAGTTCATGGGTAGACCTGTCTTTGTTCGAGAGGTAAACAGATCTACATGTATTGTGAAGTCAAGGATTACTCAAGAAAATATAGGATCGTGAATACGAGCACACAGGACCACCAAAAGATCCCCGAGATGCGCCAGACGACTGTAGACTTCATGTTAGCAATGTTCGTATATGCATATTTGGTATATTGAGTGATCTTTTTTTTTTTTTTTTTAACACGAAAATTTAGTTACCACTTGCTGCAAGTTGGCAGGATATGAAGGATTTATTTAGAAAGGCGGGTCGTGTTTTGCACACAGATATTCATACGGATATAGGTTCTAGAAGACCTAATGGTAACGGCACAGTTATTTATGACTGTTCTAGAACTGCTCGGGCTGCCATCGGTATTAAAAGCAATTTCAAGAATGAAATAATGCGTATTTTTTAATTTTTTTTTTTTATATGGTAATAGATATGTTTAATGGATATGAATGGCAAGGACATAAGTTGGGAGTAACAGAAGGACGTCAATTAGATAAACTTGGGGATGTTACGAGACATACTACATCTGTCGAAAGTATTCGCAGAGACTGTATACCGCCATTGAATCACAGACCTCCTCCAGAAATCCTTTATAAATCTGAACAATCTTTAAACATCTATCCTCCAGTTATCACACCTCCCGTTTCAGCTATACCTACACCTGTGTCTACAGTAGATCCTGTTCCATACCAAAGTGTCTATCGATATGGTGGTCCAGAAACGATAGCACCACCACCTCCGCATTTACCTCCTCCACCACCCATGTATACACATATGAGTCTAGTAGGCGGACCAGCTGCTAACTTACCAACACACGGCCACAATCAAATATTTGTAAATAATGTAAGTTTACACATAATGCTTAAATAGGCCGATATGTATGAGTGTGGGATATTGATGAATGTGTCATTTGTAGCTGCCTTTCTCTACAACATGGCAAGATTTAATCGACTTATTTAGACATGTGGGACCTGTTGTTAGATCTGAGATATTAACCATGAATGGACATCCAAAGGGATCAGGGTTTGTTAGATTTGAGGATGCAATGACTTGTGAGAGGGCGATTGGTAAGTGTGTAATGAAAGAGATATTTATTTATATTGATGCAACCTTTAGAAAAATTCCATGGTTATGTGTATGGTGGACGTCATTTGGATATTCGACTTGATAAATATTCCACAACTGCATAAGTAGTAGTAATAATAAAAAATAGTTGACATATTTATACGCTGGTTGTGGGTAAAGGAATGGGCTCATGGATCTATTTTTTTTTTTTTTCATTTAGTTTGTAATCATATCACTTTAATCTTTGTATTTACCGTTTGTGAAATATCCAGCCAACTATGAAGACTATTGATTCTAGGATCCTGTGGGTTTGGTGCCGTATCCTTTTTCCACAAAACGAATTCTTCGATGGTTTTATCAGATTTGATCCAAGTGGATTTTTCCTCTGTCTCATCATCCTCATTGTTGATATCGTCGTAGTCGTCAGAAAGTTTCTTCTCCCAAACGTTTCCAATTGTATTGTTGGTCAATTGAACAGGCGTTCCTATTAATTTTCTACCCAACATGATTGTTTCAAGCTGATCATTATTTTTCTCAACACTAAAGTACTCCTTGGTGTTAATGGGACCTTCACGATCAATGCCGAAAGGGAATAAATGAATGCCAGTGTTGCTCATCAGGACAATATGGCTTTTTTTTCCTTCTTTTTTTTTTTGCTGGCTAAAAAGGAGCAATGTTTATGTGACTGCAATAAACATCCGTGATTGATAAAATCGGACTTGATGCATTGAGGACAATGCTCTAAAGTAAGGTAAAATCGAGAGGATAGACCACTTTTGTTACTGATGTCGCGAATGATATATATTTATATAACTTTGATTAATTTTGGTTATAAAGGAAATGGCTTGGGTCATTGAAAATAAAACAAACAACTTCAGGGCCACTTATGATTATATGGATGATGTTCCTGCGGTCCCAATTGATACGAAAAAGAAGGTTTGTTGGAACCAATACGAAAGTACAACCAGTCTCAATCATGGCATAATGAATTACGTGATTATTTGTAATAAAGTGTTTGCTGTATTAACATTTAAAGAAGATAGTGTTTAAGGGTTTATCGCATCTAACAAACAACTAAACAAAAGGGATACTAACAGTAAAGGGATGAGTATAACCTCTACACAAACAAAGGTTTGTAATAAAGGCTCCGTTACCATGGTAGAAACTTTTCAAAAGTACTATCTGTCAAAATCTTTGTAAGTTGCTACAGGTGCTAAATTAAGTGTACAATTTTGCCATGGATATTGAAAGTACCACTGGCCATTTTACAGCGTCAGTGCTGTAGAGGTTCATCGGTCGTAAGTCTGAGTCTATAGTGATAAAAGCGTAAAAGCAGTCAACCAAGTGTCCAAACCCCGATTGGGTTATTCTACGTCACGCAACCTAAAGGTAAAAATGATGGAAAATTTCTTTTTCTTCTGTTTCTTGTTCTCTAACATAGATTAATTCGCTTCGAACTTCAAGAAAAAGAGATCGTTTTTAGCATATACATGAATTCTACCCAATCCCAGGCCTCTACCAATCCCAAACCCGTCTTGCATGGTGTAAGAATTAAACAAAGAAAAGTAAGTCGAACATCATCTTTTAGTGTAAGGAAGACCATCTAAAGTTTTTCATCGTTTATTCAGGGTGTTCAAAAAGCAAACGCTAAGCACGAGCCTGAGAGTATGTATATATTGAATTGTAATCCTGTAGCTTGTTGCTAACTTGTCTTTCCTCTCCCTAGTTTTCAGAGATCAATTACTCGCTCAATTAAAGACTGTTAAAGGTGGTGATCTTGAAGCCATCTCTGCCAAACTTGACATTCTTGGAAACACACTCGAATATCGTAAATACGGTGATTCACTTTTCGAAATTCTTATTACTGGTGGTATTTTAGGTAAGTCAAGATAGAAAGTAAAATAGATGGGAGGTGGAAAAAAAAATATTTATCAGATATAAATAGAACCTGGAGGAATTATTGATGATGATGCTGAGCGAAGCCCTTTCTGCTTATTTGCAGCAGAAGATGATGCCTCCGTGATTAAGAAGTATGTTGAAGTTTTCAACAAATTAATTCGTCGTTATAAATACTTGCAAAGAATCTTTGGAGAGACTCTTCAAAACATTTTGCAATTTATCAACAAGTGGCAACCCGAGGAAAACTCCAAGTTGGCTAAGTCTACCGGTTTCTTTATCTGTAACCAACTTGTACCTTCCTCCGTATTAAAGGTGCTCCTTCAAGATTATCTCGTTAAGGATGGTCATGCCATTGACTTTGTTACCACTGTTTTCCGTACTGTTTTGGATACTCAAAACATCGAGCAATTAGGTCGCTCTTTAGCCAGTGAAGGTTTGAACTCTCGTATCATCGATTTCTTCCCTCCCAACAAGCGTGATGAAGACTGTCTCGTTCGTCATTTCGAAGCCGAGGACATGAAGGAGTTGGTTGAATACTACCGTAGAAACAAGAAGAACTCTATGAAGGGTAGTCTCTTGAATGAATTGTCTGAACTCTTATTGGGTGATTCTACTGATGCTGAGGTTGTCAGTTTCATCAAGGGTAACATGAAGGAAGCTAGTCTTACCGAAGCTGATGTTATTCCCATCATTTGGCAATCCATGATCAACACTGTTGATTTAATGGGTGCTCGTGCTGATCAAATTGAATCTCACGTGTTGCGTGCTATTGGTCAATGGACCAAGGTCTTAGAATCTTTCTCCACTTCTCCCAAGACTGAAATTGTTCTCTTGCAAAAGGTTCAATCTACTTGTTATGAAGATGTCAAGTTGACCAAATTCTTCCATCGTATCGTTCAAACCCTTTATAAGAACGATGTCCTTTCTGATAATGCTATTCTTTATTGGAACGACAAGGCTCATCTTGCTCAAGGTAAAACTCTCTTCTTGAAGCAGTTGGAACCTTTTGTTGCTTGGTTAAGAGATAACGAAAGCAGCGATGAGGATGAAGATTAATCTCTACTTTATACATATTACTTCTCCCCCTATCCATCACCCCCACAACCTTTTCTATATAGTTTTTATTTCTCTTCATTTTTCCCCTTTTCTTTGTCAACTATTTCCTCTTTTTTTCTAAATAAAAATAAATATTTTTTTTTAGCCTAATTTTTTCTTTAGTGGCATTATTTAATACTAGTGAACCCCGAGTTCTTGATCTTGTTATGTCAAAATTAAAGCTGATATCGTGACACAACCACATATGTTAAAAACCACACCACTTTTTTAATTTTAAGTGTATCAGATCACACCTGATGGCTAATCCTCGCTTTACTTTACATCGCAGTGTCTCACTAAGCAATAAATCTCATTCGATATGTGTCGTCCGATTCCATGTCCTAGAGAAAAATAACTTATAAGGAAGCCGATAAATCTTATTTAGCTTTCACACAAATTGCTGCTCCATTTATACATATACAGATTGTTTATACTAAGGAATACTTGTTATTTAGATTGTCTCTTCATTTGTGTTAAGCTTGTCTGACTTGAAAGATATTACAATGTATTCTAAACGAAGTGTGTCTTGCGCTCGCTGTATAACACATAGACAGATGCGTGGTACGCTGAAGAGGCGTCTGCTTATTGGACTGAAAATCACCGTGAACCACTGGAGAGCGTCTCTCGTGTGATACAAAGATGCCGACGTCATTTTGAGTATTGCTTTTTATGTGCATCAAGAACGCGTGATTATCAATTTAGATACTCCTATTAGCTTTCCCAGTTCATTTTTTTTTTTCCTTTTTCTTCATTTAACTTTTGAAAATATGAGTAAGTAACCTATTATTCTAACTTTTATGCAGCATCTTTTTTTAATAACGTTTGTGTTAGCCGTACCTGAAAATCCCTCCAAAGCACTTGAAGCCCAGTTAGCCCACCGACCTGATGTCCAGGATTTGGTTGATAGAAATATTATGAAAGGTATTTCCAAGAGACTTAGAGAGGGGAAAGGACATTACGTGTAACTCGTATTATTACAGACCCTAAAGTCGCACCAGCAATCCAGCAACATCGTGACGAGCTGGAAAAACGCAAAATTGAAGATGCTCTTCGTCATAAAATTGATCATAGACCAACAGCTGAGGCCCTTGTTGAGCAAAATATCTTGAAAGGTAAATACAAATATATCCATTTTTCTTCTTTTGTTTATGGTGTTTCAAGCTTTTTTTTTTTTTTTTTGTAAACACATATCATAAGGTCAGTTTGCATTAACATTATCTTAGACACAAAAGTTGCACCTGCTCTTCAAAGAAATCAGGTAGAGTTGGAAAGAAGCTTATTGCAGGATGCCTTGGAGCATAAGATCCAGGAAAGACCTGACACTTCCGAGCTTATCGAAAAGGGAATTTTAACAGGTAATACGAAAAAAAAAAGTGAAAAATATGCAACTGTTGTTAAAAAAGAAAAAATTATCTGTTAGAGGATGAAGTTCCTAAATAAAGAAACGCAATTTGATGACGCTTGCTCTGTCCATTATTCCCACGCTCTTTTGAATCTTTCTTATAAGTGTGTGTGTGTACTGCAAATTAAATTTTAAACATTCAAAATAAACACCTTTAAAATAAACTTGACGACTATCTTTTTCTTTTCTTCTTCTTCTTTACTTTATTTATTTTCGGATCAAATGATTTCTAGAATCCTTCGATCTCGTTCTATTGTCCATGCACTAAAGCACTCTGGAAATAAGGGGCTCAGCGTACGTTGTCTCTCTACTTTTGATAAGCATCGTTCCGTATTTGATGCTCTTGGCCTTGATAAAACTAATAACAAAGGTGTATTTGATGGCGAATGGAAAGGATCTGGTAACATTGTACCTTCTTACAATCCTGTCAATAACGAAATCATTGCCGAAGTTATCACTGTAAGTTGTACTTTTTCTTTTTTTCTCCCACGGTAAATTTCCCACGTATTTATGTTTATATAGGGTACTCCTGATGATTTAAATACTGCCTTCGAGAAAGTAGCAGAGGCTCAAAAGATTTGGAGAGAGGTATGTTTACACATAGTACGTGAATATGTCTTTGCTAAAGGTTTATTCTTTCCTTTCATAATTAGATGCCTATTCCCAAACGTGGTCATGTTATGTTGACTATGAGAAACGCGCTAGTAGAAAACTTGCAACCTTTAGGAGAACTGGTTGCTCTTGAAATGGGAAAGATTTTGCCCGAAGGTATCGGAGAGGTTCAAGAATACATTGATGTCTTGGAGTATGCACTAGGATTATCTCGCTCAATGCAAGGTGCTATTATCCCATCCGAAAGACCTGGACATGCCATGTTGGAAACATGGAACCCACTGGGTACTGTTGGTATCATCAGTGCGTTCAACTTCCCAGGTAATATTCAGTCATATTCACGTATTTCGCTGAACGTCCTACTAATATTTTCCCTTTAAACAGTTGCTGTTTATGGATGGAATTGTGCTATTGCCCTTATCACAGGTAACGGTACTGTTTGGAAACCTGCTCCTACTACCTCTCTTGTCTCTATTGCTGTCACTCGTATCATTGCCAAGGCTTTGAAGCAACACGATATTCCTACTTCACTTTGTGCTCTGGTTACTGGAGGAACCGATGTCGGTGAAGCCATGACTCACGATAAAAGAGCTCACGTACTTTCTTTTACTGGATCTACCAAGGTTGGTAGAGAGGTAGGCAAAGTAGTTCAGGGTAGATTTGGTAAATCCATTCTTGAACTTGGTGGTAACAATGCTATTATTGTTACTGACGATTGTGATCTTGACTTGGCTGCAAGAGCTATTTTATTTGCTGCTGTTGGTACTGCTGGTCAACGTTGTACCACCACGCGTCGTCTGATTGTCCAAGAAACTGTTTACGATACTTTGATAGAAAGATTGAAAAAGGCATACACTCAAGTTAAAGTCGGAGACCCTATGGATAAAGGTGTCTTGTGTGGTCCCCTCCATACAAAAGAAGCAGTAGAGATCTACAAGAAAGCTTTGGAACGTGTTAAGGCTGAAGGTGGTGAGATCATTGTCGGTGGTCGAGTGATTGATAGTGGACCTTTGAAGGACGGTAACTTTGTCGAGCCCACCATGACCCGTGTACGTCCTGACATGGAGGTTGTCCAAAATGAAGCTTTCGTTCCCATTCTTCACACAATGACATACAAGGTAAGAAAATAATAATAATAGACAATCTACGTTGATTACTGATATCCTCTATATTTTTAGACCTTGGATGAAGCAATTGCAATCAATAATAATGTAGCTCAAGGTTTGTCCAGCTCCATCTTTACAAGCAACCCATCTACCATCTTCAAATGGATTGGTCCTTCTGGCTCCGACTGTGGTATTATCAATGTAAATATTCCCACCAATGGTGCGGAAATTGGTGGTGCATTCGGCGGTGAGAAAGAGACTGGAGGAGGACGTGAGAGCGGTAGCGATAGCTGGAAACAATATTGTAGACGAGGAACATGTACCATCAATTACTCTGGTGCACTTCCTTTAGCCCAGGGTATCAACTTTGGGTAAACCATTCCCATAGGTTGTCTTGTGTAAAATTATTAAATAAAATTGACCGTGATGCTTGTAATGAACGTTTACAACTGCACAACCAGGCGTCGTAAATAAATTAAGTTTTCATAAGTCAAGTATTTTAGATGATAACAAAAATTTATTTTTGAATTAATAACGTGTATTTAACAAGTGATATATGAACAAGGGGGGAGGAGGGGGAAAAATTATGAATGTATGCTACACTGATTAGAAACCAGTGAATCTGGCAGCACCACCACAAGGCTTAGTAGAGATGATAGCATCATCTAACTCTTCTTCGGTGATGTTGGGATAGACCTTACGATAAAAGTCGTTCTTGATAGCAGAGATCAAGTTGGCAACGTTATCTTCAGTGGTCAAATGGACAGTACTTCCACCCCAACCAGCACCACTAAGTCTTGAACCGAAAGAACCGTTTTTGCGAGCAATTTCACAGACTTGATCAATCTCGGGACAAGAGCACATGAACAAATCACGACAAGAGTCTTGAGAAGCATTCATGAGGTCACCTAAAACCTTTAAGCTAGAGTCGGAAGACTCACAGGCCTTATGGAATTCAATGACACGAGAAGCCTCAGAAAGAACATGCTTGGTACGTTGAACAAGACGGAAATAATCAGTTTCAACAGGGAAACGAGTCATGTACTTTTCATTGAGCTCGTTGACAGAGATATCAAGCATGTCAGAAACTTCTTGAAGGGTATAACCGTTACCATTGGTGTTGTCACTGGGGAATTGTTCAATGGCCTTAGAAAGGAGGTCAGAGAACTTTTCAACTTCGTTAAGGGTAGAATCCTTGTAGTAAAGATCATAAACTTCCTTGAGAGAATCAACAGAGGGTAAGTTAAGAACCTTGGAGAGATAGAGAGCCGCCATGCGGGTTTCGACAACACGGAGGTTATAGTTACGAGGAGCAGTGACAAACTTATCGGCGGTAACCAAGGTGTTGGCAATGATGAAGGCTAACTTGGGAGAAGTCTTGGGCAAAGGAACAAGAGAGGTATGCAACTTGGGGACAAATTCAACATGGAGAGCATAATCCTTTTCAGAGAGGACAGAAGCACTTTGATCCATACCACCAGAGTTGACACCGACGTTACGTTCAGCAACAATGGCAATTTCAGTGAGTTCGGTCTTTGAAATGGTCAATTCATTTGCAGTGACCACGGCAAGGGCGGATGCACAAACGAATGCAGCAGAAGAGGAAAGTCCACCACCAGCGGGAACAGTACCGTCAACGAGCAAGAAGAGACCCTTGGGCTTATCCAATTGGAACTTTTCGAGCATACCCTAATAACAATAACCATTGTCAATACCAAAAAAAAACCCCTTTTTTTAAGCCTTCAAGTTTAAATAATTACCTTATAACCACACTTGAAGTAGTTGGACCATTCCAACATGGATGAATCGATAGTAACAACCTTTTCCTTACCCTCATAGTCGAATTCTCTGGTGGGGTACTTGGCATTGTTGGAGTTAGCAACGCGAACCTTTGTGTCATCTTCAGTGGTGGCACCGACAATGATTACATCACGCTCAATAGCCATAGGAAGGACACCGAAACCACAGTAATCGATATGCTCACCGATCAAGTTGACACGACCGGGAGAACGAACGACAAACTCGGCCTTGCGACCATGTGTGTTTTCAAATTGTTCAATAAGTTTGTTGTAACGCTCACTGGGAAAATGTGGAAAAATAAGTTTTATGCAGGCATATCGTCTAAAATAATAAAAGATAAACTTACCCTTGCTTAGCGAGAGCAGTGGGATCGTAGATTTGGTCGAGAGAATCAAAAGAGGGAACAGGAGAAGCCATTTTTTAAATAATAAGTAAATGAATAGTAAAAAAAAAAAAATTAAAATATTTATGGAAGGAAAACCCCCTTTTATACAAGAACTCATCCAAGTAAATTCCGAGCTAGAGGCGGGGTGTGACTTTTTTGCTTTCATAATCAGGTTTGTGTCACCCGTTCAAAGCCAGCCATTTCCCATTCCATGGGATGATATTTTAATCTTCCCTTTCTTTTTGCGCGGGATATTCGCATGGGTAGCATTTCACGGTGCGTTATTGCTACTTACAAACCTGACATTTGATCCGAGTGTATCTTGAGAGTATTTCTTCTGTATAACAGTTTATACCTGGCATATTATATGAATTGAATGATAAAATATACCCTTTCAAAGCTACGTGTCAAAATGTAACTAAATCTATTTAGACTCGCTTTTCAGACTTTGTTACCAGAAGAAGAGATATAATCCCACAATCAACTAACCCTTCCGCAGTCCTTCATGTGAAATTCATGAATACACCATGGTATAATTATAACAGGTTAGTTTACATCTTGATAGCCGATAGCATCTAAAATCATAACATATATGCACTAAACGGGGATACATTGGCTTATATAATCAAGTGTCTGAGTACAATAAACCTTAAATTATCTAAAGGCCCCAAATGTACTCACATAGCTGCAGTGACCAATATCATATTACTCTTAGGTACCAGCTGTCAGTTCCCAAAGAAAAGTATTTCTTATACTCATATCTAATAACCTTGTGTTTTATAGACTTTCGGAATTTGTAAAAGATAACTCTTATCAGTAAATATGACAAGGTTTCTCTGGTTGTTTTTCTGTTCAAAAAGTTAGATAACCACACTTTTTACAGAGCGCAATGAATTTGCAGACTGATCGTATAAAGTTTCTGTCACACATATTTACTTAGAATGATCGATGGCAATATTTAATATCAGACCTGTGGCTATTTTTTCGCCCAGTTTTTCCAGCTTATGCCAGAATTATGGGATTTTCAGTTGGCAATTTATAACTGATGTTAAATAATTAGAGTTCTGAAAGCTGCAATGGTGCATACCACAGATATTCTCATGATGGGAGTTTCCATTTAACTTTGAAGTAAGTGTACATATAACTTGTTTTCTCCGCTAATTTGATAAAATATGACGTATCATGAAGACGTTGTTGAGAAGCACACAAAGCTTCTACTTATTTTCCATAGTTTTCCTAGAAAACTTCCTTTAGATGCATCTTTTTTTTTTGTCGGCGTCCAGTGAGAGTTAACAAATGCCCTCACGGTATCACAAGAAAGGAGTATCAGGGTTACTTGAAAATTATTATTTTTTGTGGGGAGATATTCAGAGCACGAAGTACCCAATCAGGCTGGCGAAGGTCATTGGTTTCATTCTCGGTCATGCTTTTTGCCGCGGTGTGTAGAAACTTTTTCTTGATTTTTTTAATAATTAATCTCTTCACAGACAGTAGAGGCTAAAAACCCGTGTTCATTTTCTCTTTCTCTTGTTGGGTAGATACATGTGCAGTAACAAAGTCTACTTATAATACAAAGTCATTACTCGATCGGCCATTTATCTCTTTTCGTACCCATACCGTTCTTCCAATTCAAGCACATCTCAAGCATTAACAAGCTCCAACTCCTACAGTTGACAGGGTAAATTAATACGCCTTTTTTCTTTCTCCCTTCTTAAAACGTATTAGTCGCTAACTTTGTATGCGTAATTCAGAGCGAGTATTTTTTCGAGAATTATATACAAAATCAATACCAAATGAATAGTAACAATCGCCACATTAGCAACAATAGTAGTAATTCGCAGCATTGGATGATGCCGCCAGGTAAGCTAGTGACGGAATGAACAGACACTTCATCTGTAATGTGAATCTAACAAGCTATTAAGAGCATGGACCCGAATCGTTCAACTATATGGTTTCGAGACCACCTGGTTCTGTGTTACCGATGTCCCCTCTTCAACTACAACACCCTTCAAATCCAATAATGCAACCACCGCAACATGAACAAGAATTATCTGCTTCACCACCAGCGCAGGCGCTCGATTATGATCATCCTAGATTTCATAAAGGTGGGAACCGGGCTGTGATTCCATCTAAAAGAGCAGCGCAGAATCGAGCAGCACAGAAAGCGTTTCGTCAGAGAAGAGAGCAATACATTAAGGATTTGGAGATAAAAGCCAAAGAGATGGAGGATTGGCAGAATGAATTGGATAGATTGCGGAAGGAAAATGGGGACTTACGCGACCGAGTCTCGACATTGGAACATCAAGTAACAGTATTGACAGGTGGTGATCCAAGCAAAATACCACCTGAGCCTATCCGCAAACCACCGCCCACTGTTGATATAGTAACAAATGATCCAGAACCAGAACCAGCTGTCGATAAAACGGTAGATAGATCCATGTCTCTTCCAATTCCAGCAATTATAAACGATAAAGATGAAAGTGTACGTCGAGAAAGCGAATCGGTGCCAAATACTGCTTTATCTGAACAACGGATTGATAGCGAATCTCGACCACGTCACGATCAAGATCATAGTTCACAACAAGAAGGCTCGTTCGCGCCTGTACCTTTAAGGGCACCGAATCAAGCGGGATACGAATCTTCATCATACCATCCCAGGGATCACATAGTCAATCCAATGGAAAATGAACATGCAATCGAAAGCAGCAGTAAAAGACGTAAGCTTAAAGAGCCTTTGAATCCGTCCCATAACGTTATTCAGACGCCGGTGACACCGTCCCAAAACACTATTTTCAAAGACTCCATGCCACAAACTAGTCCATCCAGCGCAGTTTTATTACCAATTCAAAATCAATCACCTCGGCCACATCAACTACCTCAACTATCTCAATTGCCTCAGCAGAATCAATCAAATCCACAACAGCAACATCATCCACATCATCATCAACAACAGCAACAACAGCAACAACAACAGCAACAACAGCAACAACAACAACAACAAAAACAACAACAACAGCAACCACAGCAACAGCACCAACAACAGCAGCAGCAGCAGCATCCGGGTGTACCGAGCGACTATTGGGGTAATAACAACATGCAAGTGGGTGATTTTGATTTGGATTTCGATTTTGATCCGTTTTTCGAGGATGAATTTGGCCCGACACTTACCAGTAACAATGATTTCCTGCCGAATGCAAATAGCGGGCAGGTATTGGATGATCTATTTGCAATGTTACAGACAAGACAAAGACCTCAAATTCCAATCGTGCCAGGCGATGATAACTCGGATTTTCCTAATAATAATAATAATAGTAATAATTTATTGTAGTCCTACGTATGCATATATCTCTTTATTGTACTCATTTACATATTTCATTTCCCCCATACACCCCTAATACGCCTATAAAAAAAATTGTAAATTCCCCTCATTTTTAAGCATCTCCGTCTCTACGGCGATTTAAAATAAACAAGCTTCTTGAATGTCCCAGAAAAAGAAAAACCTTGGAAAATCTGGGAAACGGGACGTTTATGTCACATGCCGCTTTCTCCACAACTTTTTACCATTTACAGTGTTTCTACTCTCAAATCCCACATCTTTAAACTTGACGGTACATTACTCAAAAATAAAATGGGACATTCAACCATTCCAATCAGAACTTCATTTGGAACATACTGTCGTCTTAGCTTTCTTTTTTACGTGAGGGCAGTTACAACGAGTTATTCCCGTAATTTTTTTTTTTTTAATAAGAGATACTGGATTGTTAAGCATAATTGTAAAACATAATCAACTTGCTTGAAATTAAAAATTCATTTTTATAATTTTTTATTTCATTTATTTTTTTAAAAAGAAAACTTGCTCAATGTGATGGGCGTTTTCTCTTACGAGAATGATCGAACGCCTGGGATGAGAGCCAGGTGGTGGGTGGCATTGGTGGATTGTGGTAGCTGTGTTCGGCTGCCTTGACCATTGAGGACTCTGCCTTCTTTCCTGTTTGAAGGGCAATGTTCTGTTTAAATAAAATATAAAAGTAAGTTTAAAATACACAACGTGGCTGTTTAAATCAATTCTTACTTTCAGTTGTAAAAAACTGAAAACGATGTGCGGGAGTCATTATAATTCTCCCGCAATTTTTTACGATGTCGCCTTTAAAACCTTGACCATCCTATATTAAGGAGACATCAAATCCATAAAGTTGATAAATGCATCATCTCCTTGACAGATGATGCCACGCCTTAACCACTTGATTATTTTTTACCGCACCGAATTACTGGGAACGCAGTCTGAAATCCCTATTCGAAAATAGACGACCAAGTACCAAAATGGGAAGGGTGTGGAAAATCGAAAGATGTCAACAGAAATATGCTAGACTTGGTCAATCCTTGATACCGTTAGTGTTAACACGTTCGGTATGATTATTAAAGTATTTAATTACGGTACATTATACATTGGTGTAATTATAAATTGTTTATTATGATAATTATAGCTTAATGAATAATGATGACCGCTCTCTGAGCTATATGCTCGGACATGTATTTTAACAGTTTACTTGATAAGTATGTCGTTCACCGTTCGTTTGTCATTTTTGGGGTAAAATTCTCTTGCATACATATATTCTACAAGACAACTCATTTCATCTGTGAAATCTATAAGCATGTAAACTGTATTAGTACGGGGTAAATCACTGTTCAAGGTTTAATAAATACCAAGGCTATTTCCAGGATTACACGAGCAGCGTCGAGTCAACGGTTCTTCGGCAGGGCAATGTTCATACGTGCTATGTTTGTATCCAATGTCATTAAAAAAATGAATCTCATCTTTTTTGAGATACAAGGCAGCGAAAATCGAATGAATAGGAGCATCCCCCCATCTAAAAAAATACAATGTTTTTAGACACAAAAAAGAGATTTGATTTGCCAAATTCCTGCCATACCTTTCATAAAAGAATCCACCTGTGCTATCAAGTGCAGCGAATAATTCTTTATACGCCTCTGTGTGCCATAAATCCAACCTAGCAATCTCGAAGTTTGTCCAAAAATGACACCCATTATAATATTCACCCTCATTATCCGACAAAAAGTTAAAGATGCTATCTCTGTATGCATTCTTGAAGTGAATCTTTCCATTTTTGGTCGAGAGCTTTGCGAATAGTTTTATTGAATCCCACAATGAAGGAATCGTACCGGAGTGCTCCTTAAATGATATGTTGAAAGCTGTATATATATATATATATAAAGATGTCATGTTGTCAGCTATTGCTACAAATCTTTGTGATTTATCTTACCGTATTTTTTGTTATTCTGTTTCATATACAAAAATGGGTCATAGTCTAGATCACAGTAGTATCTTACATCGGGCTCAACTCTCCAATAATACTCCAAATTAAGACTCAACACAAGTGGATGTCTCCAAAAGAATCCGCTAACGTAAAGAAAGGTTTACATCTGAGTTCTAAACGCAGTTTTCCATTATTGTTATTGTTACCTTTGAAATCTGCACATGTGTCGATAGCTTTCACTTGATCCGTACGGTAGATCTTTCATGATCTCACGTCTTTCTGACGCATAAGATTGATCAACCCAATCTGGATATCCCCACATGGATCCATCTACCAACCCATAATGAGTCTGACTCGAGGCTGCTTTTGTTGTCGCGTCGATAAATTCCTGTGAAAATGGCTCCTCATTCAAAAATACCCAAGGATAATTGAATTTCTTGTTGAATCTTTGCTCTAATTTTTTGAAAAAAAAAGTTACTATACAATCTTTGTGTGTTTGAGCAATGATAAATTCTTACCAACATCATTCATTGATTGTAGCATACCAAACAGTTCACTGTTACGTACAAGTACGATAAATGCAGCAGCCTGTCTTTCCGTGCTGTTTGTTGCGGGAGGCAAGTCTACTTTCATTTTGAAGGCATATTGAGATGGATTAATGACATAGGAATCCGGTTGCCTGTTGTCGCCGTGGTCATTGTTTAAAATTGCGTCCTCCATTTTATGTGGAAACATTGAACCAGTTGTTGACAGGGAAACTGGTTTATATGAGCTGCGTCCTATTAGGTAAAACGCTGCACCCAAAATATAGGTAACAATTCCTATTTGAAATAAAAAAAATGAATATCTACGCACTCCCATTCTTATTCCGATGTAGAAAAGAAAAAGAAAAAAGTAAATGATTTTTTTTTTATAAATGTGCCCTTTGTTATTAAGCTAAAAGAAAAAAAGTAGACTAGAGTATAAATGTATGCGGGATGTGTATTGTAAAAAATCAATATGTTTATATTAAGTTTTATGCTTACATTTATCCATATATATCACAATAAAGTTTTCCCTCCCAGAATTACAATGTTTGTATGTGCACTTGTGTTTATTATGATTACGGATGAGATTGAACATTCCCTTTAAAACCATAATGTATGTCAATGTCTGATTTTTATGCCTTTGGGTGTTTTATACATATTTTATCTTTATTCATTCTTTCTGAATTTTTTTTCTTATTTCTCCTCTTTTTCTCTCTTTCTTTTATCTATCAGTTGGTATTTGTATTCCCCAAAACGACATCAGAATGGTGCATTTGCAAGATAATCCATTTCATGCTGATTCGGTTGCATCGCCCAACGCCAAAACATCCTATCAACGTCGCCGATTTTACAAGTTATCCATCCGTGTGGCATTGATTTGTGTACTTTCAACCGTATGTTACTTTGTGGGACGAAGTGTGCACTGGGACTCATTCTCTGAAGTTTACGGGTTTGATCCCAGAGATGTCGATTTTGTTCAGTACTTTTGTAACCAGCCTTTTAATTTAGCTTCGGATAATGCGTACGATCAGCTACAAGAAGAAGTAGAGCCAATTGAACCCATTGCGGTAGAACATGCAAGAACCAGGTATCTGAGACCCGAAACTCCAGCCGACACATTCATTCCAAAAGGCGTATGGGACAACCTTCCAGTAAAAGGAGCATACTACATGGTAGTGCGAAACGAGAAACTACAAGATGCAAGAGCAGTTATCAAAAGTATGGAAGATCATATGGTCAATGGTACACGGTACCCTTGGGTAATCTTGAACAATCAGCATTTTACCAAAGAATTTCGAACCTATATTAAAAAGGTAACAACAGCACCTGTCTTCTTTGGTAAAATTGACTTGGAAGCATGGGAGTATCCACATTGGATTGATGTTCCTCAAGCTGAATACTTGATGTTGAACCAAGAAATGAATATGGTACACAAAGGATCAAGTTTGTCGTATCATCAAATGTTGAGGTACCACGCTGGTTTCTTTTTTCATCATCCTTTGCTACAGGATGTTGAATATACATGGCGTGTAGAGCCTGGAGCTGATTACAGTTGTGAGATGAATGATGATAAGTTTTTGAAGATGAAGGAAGACAAGAAGAAATTAGGTACAGCAAAACAAAATAAAAAAATGTCGTCAATAAATCACTAACGTGTGCATAAAAAGGGTTTGTGCTTACTATGCGAGAAGCATCAGCTTCAATTCCTACACTTTGGACACGGGTCAATGAATTTAGAGAATTATACCCACAACATATTTTACCACCAAATACCACCATATACCCTTGGATTTACGATATGGAAGAAGACTATTACAATTTCTGTCATTTCTGGTCCAATTTCCAGCTGGCGGATTTATCTTTTTTTCGATCGGAAGCCTATCAGAAATATTTTGAATACCTTGACAGTACTGGTAACTTTTTTTACGAAAGGTTAGTGTTTGTTGTTTGTTTGTTTTGTTTCTGGTTTATTATCCTCCGGAAATTTTTTATGAATAATGTTATTTTTAATTAGGTGGAGTGATGCTCCCGTCCAAACAATTGCTGCAGCTCTCTTTTTGAAGAAGGAAGAAATTCAGTTTTTCAACGAGATTGGATATACCCACTCCATTGCCACGCATTGCCCATACAGCGAGTCACTTTTGAGAAAATGCAGCTGCGATGTCACAACGAATTATGGCAAGTATTTGTGTATATATTTTTGTAAACAATGTTTTTTTATTAATGTAGCCTAAATTTGGGTCTTTGCAGATTTTTATCAAGACAGTTGTACAAAAGATTTATTAAGGCTGATTGATCCTCAAACTGTTGTAGCCATGACAAAATTCGTCAAATCAAAGAAAATTGAAGTCCCATCTCGTATTGAATCACCACCTTGATAGACAATATGTCCTTTATACATAAAAAAAAAGAAACCAAAGTAATAAAAAAACATTGAATTATAATAAAATGATTGCATTGTTTATTTTCATCATTTTGTGTATAAATATACAAATGCAAGTAACTTGATACATACGGTTTAATTTATACGCTTTTAGGTATTCTTTGAGTTGATTCGGGAAGGTTCACATTCCTACTCAACTATCGTCTGCAATAGGCCCTACTATTCAAACGTGCTCACTTGAAAAAAAAAACTTCTAAAGGAATGATGAAATATATTAATCCTCATATCTCTTTTTTGATTTCCATTCCCTCTCTTTCACACCTCCATTTATTCTACATAGTTTTTAGACAATATGTCTCTTAACACAAGGCAATTGTGTTCAACAAGGAATGTTTTCCGTGGGATTATGGGTATCATTGTCCTATTAGTTATTGTATTGATATATCGGTCCTCGACCATCCCTAAAAACAGCTACTGTAATAGCTCGACGGATTGTTACAACCTGATAAGAGAGAAAGCAGCCGAGCGGTTTCTTTTGCACCCGTCTCCTCCCTCGCTTGACCAACAGCGCGAGCAAATACAAGAGCAAGACAATGCATTTAAAGCCATGTATGAAGACAACAGCGAGCAAAAACAGGAGATGGCTATGGGTGTTGATATGGAGCAAGTGATCGAAAAGGACGAGAAAGCGCTAATGGCCGAAAAGCTCACAATGAAACAAAAACAAGAGTACAAGGTATTGACGGATGCCAGTTTACCCAGAGTAAAAGGAGCTTTTGTGGTATTGGCTAGAAACAGTGAGCTGTATGCCTTGCGTTCTTCCATGCGCTACCTGGAAGATCGATTTAATAAAAAGTATAACTATCCTTGGATTTTCCTGAATGAACAGCCGTTCACCGAAGAGTTTAAAAATATGACACGCATGATGACGAATGCAGAAGTTCACTATGGATTGGTGCCACAGGAGCACTGGAGTTATCCTGATTGGATCGATCAAGAATATGCGGCCGAGTGTCGACAGGATTTGGCAGACCGAAACATTCACCCTAAAATAAATCAGCGATCAAAATGTTTTTTTTGATCGATATTGGCGATATCGCTCAAAAAATCGAAAATATCGATATCTCCGATATTTTTGATTTTTTGATCGCTGATCGCAAAGCCAAATTTTTAAATCTCTATAAAAACAACTTATACATAAATAAATAGATGTAGCAATACCATGTTAATAGATAAACGTAATTTTTTAAAGCAAAAAAATGTTTATGGGGATGATAGCCAGGGTAAGAAAAAGACAACTTCAGATTACGTAAGTAAAATGAGAAAACGGGACATGTGACTGTGGGTTTTAATGATTTTATATTTTATTCTCAGCGGAAAACAATGTTTCCAACACTTCCGGCAGTACTACTCATATCGACTTTAAAAGCGTCACCAGTCTTTATAACATATTTGTTATTGGAGCCGTCAACCGCATTCACCAATCCGACAGCAGACAAAAGATCCTCGGCATCAAAGACCACAAATTTTTTTTGCTCAGCCTCATCGTAAGGTTTCACGCGCGGGATAGCCTTTGAGTATGGTGAGACGTCATGATTCTTCATAAGTTCACCAAAAACGAAGTTCGAGCCCGGAGCACCTTCTTGATATGTAAAGTCAAAAAAGAACAAGACTTTACAAACGTACCAGTTTTCGATAGGCCGGAACATCCTAATTACAATAAGTCAGTACACAATAATTTTGATTTGCAAACATCAACTTACCGATTTTTATGAATTGCAGTAAACATAACAAACTCACCACCACGCGAACTTGCTGCGTTCTTCGATTTGCACAAATCAGATATGTATATTTGATTGTTTGTCCAGAGTTTTTGAGAAATGTTGACAAATTGGTGCTGATGGAACGAAGTTATAACAGCCGAAGTATTACCAGTCAGACGAATCAAAAATTGAGAGAGTGCTTTAAGCCAGTCTTTTGCCAGGTAGCCGCCAATGGTATGATTGTGCTTTTCTTTTGCTTGCTTTACAACCTGGCCCAGCTTTACAGTATTTACCCGCCAGTGAAAGGGTGACCACAGCTGAGGCAACAATGGATCGTTGGACGGGTGGGGCAAGAAGTTGTTAACTTTATCCTTCTTCAAATCATAGGCGGAACTATCGATTATACCATCGGATTGCAAAAAAGAGAACATTTCACGAGTTTCCATGACATTACCGGCGTTGACACCAGGATTCAAAGATGAACGGATTCGCTTCTTGTATATGCCAATAGACCTTTCCAATGATCTTGCAGAATAACACCTTAACGGTCTACCAGAGAAATGAAAAATTAGTACAAAAGGGAAGTCTAATAACTATGATGACAATCGATAACTAACCCCATTCGTTTTATCATGTATGGTATATGGTTCAGTTGGTGCATGTTCGATCTGAATACGGTTCTGGAGATAGAGCTGCTATCAAGACAGGTATCGAGGTAATCAAACCAAGTCTTAAAGCATCTATCATAAGCAAATATAATGTTCAAGTAAATATCACTACATAAATTACAACTCAACAATGAATATTTACCTTTCAATTTCCTTCACTTCAGATTCGGATATCGACCATTGCAAACTCAATTGAATACCACGAGACAGGGCAATAAATCCTGTGGTTGCTTCTCTGGCGGGAAAGAGTGGGGCAACAATCGTAGGAATCACATGCACCAACCAGGCGATCCAGTCCACCGAACGATAGATAGATCTAACATTATCCAGATTGACACCAGCAAACGAACCACTGAAATCCGCAGGAATTGCACGAAGGGAGTCATCCATGGCGGTTTTGATGCGAGTAAAATCAGCAGTCTCGAGAGCAAACGGGTACGTGTCTTCGTTACCATCAAACTTGAACCGAGTGTTGAGCTTTGGTGAAAGCATGTCGAAGCAAAGCTTGCTGACATTCGAAAACATATGTAGCTCGTCACACATGAAAAAGTCGATGGAGAGGAAGGTACTCAACTGACCAAAGGGAGAAGCACTTTTAATACCATAGTTGTGGTTGGGACAAGAAGGCTAATAAAGGTAAATCAATTAAAATATGTAAAAAAGGCTACACAAGTTAATACTTACTGCGTCTTTCTCAAGTAATAAAGAAGCTTTGGTTCTGATAGCCGAGTCTCTGCCAAAGAAGTACATACCACCTTTTCCTCCGTCAACTGGGTGACCGCCTTTAACTAAATTTAGAAGGGTCATTTTGTTAGTGTCCACGGTCATAGCTTAGTAAACTGACGACTTACCAATACAAAATCTACATCCCCACCAGTTGGTATGACCACTAAACATCAACAACCGCTGGTTGATCTCTATACCATCTGCAATGACACCCAAATTGAAAATTCTAGCCGACGTGACATGAACACCATTCTTGCGAACAACAACAGGTTCACGACTCAAACGATCAAGGCTTTCAATAATTGGACGCAGATACGAGTCAAAGTCTTTCTTAGTGTCACCAAAAAGAATTGCAACTTGAAAAGTATATTCATCGGTGTATCTGCAAATGGTGTTATTACGACGTAAAAAGATTGGATGTATTGTATATAGAGCCAAAATTTACCTGATAGACGGATCAATGCTAGCAATTATAACGTGTACCATCACCATACTTTTTCTTGATACCTTCGAAGTGAACCCATCAACACATAGAACGATGGCTAAATCGTGCTGACCAGTGAAGAGACCTTTAGATTTCATTTCTTTATACGCGGCTCCAGAAAAAAAATCGGTATATGGATCATCGTCTGTCATGGAATCGATTACGTTTCGGTATTTTTCGACTTCATCACGAAACTCGTCACAAGCTAGCATACGACTTAAATGTTCACCAATATCAATCATTTTTACCACAGATTCTTTATGTCTAACAGCGTTACAGTGAGGACAAGCGGTTTTATCGGCATCATCGACAGGATCAAAGAGATAACACCCCTTTCGGGAACAGATTTCATGGCTTTGACTGAAAGAAAGTGGAAGTTTCTTCTTGATCAACGAACGACACTCCTTCAATGCGAGTACTTTTTTCTTTTTATCAAGGCCTAAAAGGTACACTAAATTAGTAAATAATGATACTTTGTAAATACAAATCATTAACATACTGTTGTTTTGGTTCAAAGTGTTCTCAAAAAATTTCTTCATAACGCGCACAGCTTCTATGGTCATGTTTCTACTAAATGTAAGATAGTTGAACATAATACTACTCAGCTCGCTGGTGCTAAATACGTTAATGGGGACAATGATATCCTTGATGTTGTCCTGTATTGTTACATTATAATCAAGTGACAATGGTTCTAAAAGTGAAAATAGTACATCCGGTAAGTTGTCATGATGTCAACAACCCGAGCATCTTTAGTTACCTTCGAAGTTCTCTTCGTCCGTGGATTCATACAAATCCTCGTCTACTTCACCGTCTACAACAAAACCATCATCAGAGGATTCATCTTCAGCATCTACGTCTTGTATGGACATTTGTCCAATTAAGGGAAGAGCGATTTGGTTATCGAGGTCAGCCATATCAACATCATCGTAAAAATCCATTTCTTCGTCATAGTCAAAAGGTGTACGGTTGGTTATTATAGCAGTTGGGAAGCCAGTAGATACTGAAGAGGATACAGCAAAAACAGAAGTGTCAGTTGGGCCAGGTATAATGGAGGCAGCAGTAACGGCCAAGGGTTCATATGTGCCTCTTAAAAGACGTTGGTTAGCGCCGTTTCGAGAAGCTCTAAGGTTCTTGGGTTTTTGAATTTTGGGGTAAACCATTTTGAAAAGTTTTTAAGAATTTTGTTTTTGGTAAGTCGGGAACCGATTTTTGCGCGTAGTTTTATACATGTTGCTACATCTTATTTACAGCTTATTAATAGTCACTGACCGTTCTTAGAACCAATTGGAATTACTCGTGAATTTATCTTATAATTATTAATAGAGAGGATATAGTAATTCTGTGTAGACTATGGATACCTTTCAAAACCACTAGAAATCGTTGTTTGGGACTTCAAGCTTGATCTATTGTTAGATTTTCGTGTAACGAGGTTATTAAGCGAAATTTTTTTTAATTCTGTACCGTGATTGGTGCAAATAAGTTGAACCACTTACATCAAGGTAAATGACAATGAAAAAAAAATGTATCTTTAAAACATCTATATAAGATCCAATACTTACACCTATTTTCTCATTTACATCGATTTTTCACTCTATTTATCACAATGAACGGTACCCAAAACTCAAATTCTCGAGACGAAGTCATTGAAAAACTCGTTAATGCCATTTACGATATGCAAAGAAAGCTTGATGCAATGCCTGCCACAATGAAAGAATATATCTACCTGCCAGTTGGTCAACACTGTGAATGCTGCAGCAAGGTTAAGAAAGTGGTCAAATCCAATGGTACTTCTGCAATTACTTCTCGATCTGGATATATCACTGGTACATTTTTATTTTATTTTACTTTGTAAGACGAATTAAGTTAATAATTGCCCTATCTTTTCAGCAAGAAATTCCGCTGCTCAACAAATGTACGAATTCGTGGTCAAGGCTGTCGCCTATTACAAGGAGCAAGTTATACCCAATGGTATTCACACCTCTTGCAATTCTCTCGGTGTAAGATCCATCACCGTATGTACTTATACAAAGAAAACCGTCATAGACAAGGTTGCTGCGTACTGGAGATCTTTGGTAGGTACCTATACTGAGGATCAAGCTAAAGAAAGGGCGACAGCAGCTTACAACAATGTCTTCACCATTTGCCAACATTTCTTGAAAGCATTGTACCAAGAACGATTTGGAAAGAATGGTGTCATTTGGAGGGGGATTCCTGCCAACGAGCAGAATGAAGTATTGTATATGTTCGAAAGAATTGTATACTTTTGGAACAAGCGCTCTGGCTTGAACGTTGGTACACCCCTCGAGGCTTATCCTGGGGACCTTATCTCTGTCATTGACGCCGAGAACCCAATGCTACCCATGCACCTCGCGGATAAAAACTGGATATCCAAAAATATGATCCAGATAATGTTGAGGAACTCAGCAAGAGTAAGTAAAGTTTAGATATCAAATTAAGAATTTTTAACATTAACATAAACCTCAACTCTAGCCAGATGACATTGCTCATGATGCCTCGGGTTCATTTTTGACTGGCCTGGAAAACCTTGGTGTCAATTCGGGTACTGAAGAGAGGTACGAAGACTTGGATATGGGCCTGTTTGAAAATTTATTTTCGATCCCTGATAACAGACCTCTTGTACCATCGTCTTCTTCCGCTTCGGTACAAAATCCTGTTTTGACCTCTCTTCCTCCCTCTGAGATGCCTCCTCTCTCTGACTCGCCTCCTCCCACCTCTGACTCTCCTCCTCCCACCTCTGCACCTGCCCTCTCCACCCCAAGTACTACCCGTCCAAAAGGTAAAAGAAAGGCTGATGAAATAGCATCTGGGACCAATAGTCGACCCTCAAGGGCTTTCCAAAAATAGAATTGAGCCTGAATTTTTTTTTTTTTTCTTATTTAAACTCTGATTTTTTTATTATTTTTTTCTTTTTCTTTCTATTTCTTTCAAATAAAAACTAAACTTAAGGTTTGTATATGTGTATAGTTTGTGAATATATGATTTATCATAACCATTTGTTTACAAATGAAGATATAGTTATGTGACTAAACATTAAACGTGCTGACACTCTCCAAACGGATTAAACCAAGACTCTTTGCTTTAAAAGTAAATTTACTTACTCTTTTTATATGTATTAACACATTTGTATAGCTGAAGCCATCTCTACTTTCACCGCTTGTGAAAAGGTAAATATCTCGACTTTGGTTTATGTGTTCATTATTAGTTAACCCAAATTCCTAAAGCTAGCTACTATCGCTGTTTATTTGAGGCTCGTACATCCCACGGTTTTGTAAAGGTACACATTGCTAAACTTGATAATTTATTCTCTTATTAACGTAAACCATCTTTATGCAGGTAAGTCAATACTGCTGCTCTTCCGAGGTCTTCGTATGGTCACTATCGTAGTTCCTCTCATTATGTCTGTCTCTGGTCATATTTTACTGGTCATTTTCTATATTTGAAGAGGTCTATCATGATCAGATTCGACGTTATTTAGTTTTTTTTTAATAAATAAAATTTTTTTTTCCAATATATACAAACGTATCAATTTTAAGCCTGTATCCTGATTTAGCAGGGGTGTAAAAGTAATATTATATCGATTATCGATTACCCCATTTTTTTTACCCCATCCAACGATATTTTTTTGTTTTTTTGATTTATGGATCGATATCGTCAATCGCGATATTTTGGAAAGTTTGATCGATATTGCCAATAACGATATTTTAGAAAGTTTGATCGATATCGCCAATCGCGATATTTTGGAAAATTTGATCGATATTGCCAATCGCGATATTTTGGAAAAATTTATCGATATCGCCAATCGCGATATTTTTAAAAAAAAGATCGTTATTTCCGCTCTAATTTGTTTGCGATATTTTTCAATTTTTGATCGCTGATTTATTTTAGGGTGATTGTGTACGGCGGTAGTGAAAGTTATAGACATATGTGTCGTTATCAATCTGGCTTCTTTATGCTGCATCCACTATTAGATAACCTTGATTATTATTGGTAAGTATGCATTTTTACTAAAGGCTTGTACATATTCCTAATTATGTATTTTTATTAAAAAAAAAAAAAAAAGGCGAGTAGAACCCGGAGTGAAATTTTCTTGTGAAATGGATTATGATCCTTTTAGAGTGATGCAAGAAAGAGATCTTAAATATGGCTTTACAATTGCACTGAGAGAATACCGGGCTACTATACCTTCTTTGTGGAAAAACACGATTGATTTTGCTAAAAGTCACCCACAATATATCTATCCTCGCACACGACCCGATAGCTTACTGGGACTTGTGAGTGATGATAATGGATGGTCCTATAATCTTTGCCATTTCTGGAGTAACTTTGAGGTAAGATAGTTCTTTTGTTTACGTTAACAAAGTTTAATCAAAATGTGTTAAATTTGTTTATGATTATTTAGATTGCATCAGTGAAATTTATGCGATCAGAAGGATATCAATCGTATTTCAAATACCTTGATAAAGCAGGAGGCTTTTTTTATGAAAGGTAGTTTTTTTTTTTTTTTTTTTTTTTTTTTTGGAAACATACATGTTATGTAGTTGACTAAATATGTAAACAAACAATTATTCAGATGGGGAGATGCGCCCGTGCATTCGATTGCTGTTGCATTGATGCTGAAGCGAAGTGACGTGCACTGGTTTTATGACATTGGGTACAAACATGATTTCTTTGAACACTGTCCCACCGAAGAGAAATGGCTTGTCAATAGTAAATGTTATTGTGATCCAGATACCTCGTTTGATTTTAATGCTGGTTCGTGCACGCCCTTATTCTTGGACGTAATGAACAGAACAGCCTCTAGTTTTATCATTACTCGTCCAGATGAAGAAGAAAGTCCATTCTTATAAAAAAAATCAATTTATTAAACATTAAACCTCATTCCCCATAATTTGTCTTTGAGACAAGTCTGTCATTGAAAAAGGTTACACCCTGAATACATTTCTACAGTCAGCAAGAGCGCGCGCGCTCGCGCACCGACCCCCGCGCATTTTAGTCAAATGCAATTTCAGGGGAAAAATAACAATTTAAAAAAATAAATAAATCCTGGACCCACGTGGCCCACATGGAAATCGCACACCCCGCTTATTGTTAAAGGGAACAGGGCCGCGAAATGTGTCGGGACAAAGAGTTTTTTTTTAAAATTGTGTCTACCCGGAACAAACGGAAATGACCTATTTAAGTAGATCGGCCTACTATATTGCAGTCGATCCATCGTCAATTGGGCTTTTTTTTAGTTACTTTTTCCAGATACAGTATATTTGACGATCTTTGTCGGTGTAGCTATTGTACCGAACTGCTCTTTCTTTCTTAATAGGGTTTCTTCATCATGTACAGAGGTATATCTAATACAATGTAAACCTATGTTAATTTATTCATCAATACCACAATCAGCCTTGATTTAACCAAATTAAAGGTGTATCTTTTTACCCAACCCAAGTATTTATATTATACCTTATGCCTTTATCATAATTCACGTAATTGAAATATCAGTGTTCTCAAATGCATGATTAAATAATAGCCAGACTCTTGGTTGGAACTGTTCTTCTGTTTTTTAATATTTTCACTCATAGCACTATGAGGATTATATGTATGCTCTAGATTCTATGGTTGTGCTAACGGGATATGTCAAGATCACGGAATACAATCGGGCCTGAGGAAATTGATCTAGTATGTAAAAGGAATCTCTGTAACGGCAATTGGTACCTGGATAATTTGGCGATAGACTTCAATATTAACAGGTTTAAGAAAGCTTTTTCTCTTCAGTTGTTTAATTTTCAGTAGCTGCGTTTTTTTTTTTTTTTTTTTTTTTTTTTTTTACATAGCAACAGTTTTGAATGTTTATCTCAGTCTGTAATTGATATAATATCATAACCAACAGTTTTACTTTTAACCTTCCTTCCAACTCTTCCTGTGTTTTTTAGCACTTATAACTTTTAATATGTGTATTTAAGTTTCATTAGGAGATGATAATCTCATAAACACATTCCATATATGGTGATATTTTTAGACTTTGATGACGGGACGGTGTGGAACGACTTATAGTATTGTACAAAGGGCAATTCGTCAGTGTAGCGACAAATTTATTTAATTTTTTTTTTTTAAAATTAAAAAAAAAAATGGGAGAGAGAGAGAGAAAGGGAGAGGGTGGAAAATATGTAGTAAAAAAAAATAATTATATATTAATGTAGATAGTACATAAGAGAGAAGAAGAGGCATTTTACATTTGTGAGAGAAGGATTGAGGGTTTTCTTAACGAAGAGGTTGATGAGATCCAGGCTTTTGTTGTTCCACACCAGCAGAAGGAGGACCAGCAGCATTTTGATGGTAGTTATCGTATTGGGCATCGTACTGTGCATCGTATTGACTATCATGATACATTTGATCCTGGTAAACCACTGGTTGACCATGAGGATCATAATGTTGTTGACCTTGAGCATACATTTGAGGATCGTGATACATGGCGTTGGGATCATGATACATTGCGTTAGGGTCTTGATACATTGCATTAGGATCTTGTTGATACATGTGGGGATCATGATACATCTCTTGTCCTCTTGCTCCATAACCATCTTGTTGTGAATCGTAATATAATTCTTCTTGATGACGTTGATGAGGTGATGCATACACTGTGGCTTCTTGTCGATGAGGTGATACAGCTCCTTCGTTGTAATATTGTGCTCCATTGGCAGGTTCTGCTTGAGGTCCAGTAGCATAGGCCATAGCGGGACTAGCAATGTGATTGTAGTCCATTGCAGATTGGGGTTCTGCTACTTGGAATCCTCTTTCAGAAGCATGTGTATTATTCCAATTGGCATTATTGTTATTAGCGGTAGTGGTATTACTACGATAGACATCAAAGTCATTATTTCCACCAGTTGTTCCGTTAGGTGAGAACATTTCTCCCATAGATCGACTTGCGCGTGTGCTTCGTGCTCTGCGTCTACTACGACGGATCATGAAAATGGCAAATGCACCAATAACAACAATAGCACCCACACCACCAGCAATACCAGCGATTAAGCTTGTATTGCTGCCAGATTCTTCTGGTGCAGCTGTGGGCGTAGCAGAAGGTGTCGCGCTAGGTAAAGTAGAGGAAATAAATAAGCTAGAAGATGCTGAGAGTGAAGGCAAGGTTGCCAATGTGGTAGCAGCGACAGTGGGTGCAGCGACGATAACAGGTGTAGTTTGTACTACGGCTGGAGCGGTAATAGAGTCTGCGGGTTTTAATGTGGATAAGGTGGTAGTGGGTGCTACAACCGGAGCCTTTGTTGTGGTAGCAACGGGGGCAGGGGTAGTGGTGGTGGTGGTGGTGATTGGTTTGGGAGCAGCTGTGGTGGTAGGTGCTGGCTTTGGTGTAGTAGTGGTGGTAGGGGCAGGATCAGCATTCTCAAAATCAGGTTCGGCAGGTTCAGCGGCGCCCTTGACAGGTTCTTCAGCAGGCTCAGCAGTGGCCTTGATAGGTTCTGTAGTCTTTTCAGTGGGCTCTGCAGCGGCTTTTAAGACAGGCTCTGAGGCATCTTTCGAGACAGGCTCTGAGGCAGCTTTCAAGACAGGCTCTGAGGCAGCTTTTAATGTAGTGGGTTCTGAAACGAGTGTGGTAGTGGGGGTTACTTCGGGCATGGGGCAGAAGAAGAAAAAAGGAATGAGGAGGGGAGGAAGGTGATCAAGATGGGAAAGGAAGAAAAAGAGAAAACAGAGGAAGGAGACACCAGGAAGATAATAAAAAGCTGGTACGACATTGAACAAAGACTGGGACTGGATCCACCCTATTTTGTGTTCAAATGGATCTTCGTTTCCAAATAGGCAATGCAACACATTATTTTATAATGCGCTTGACGGGAAAAAACAAACACCTTGTGACTGGGTAAGCTTTTGGGAAACCCAAACCCAAAAATAAAAACTTTTTGGCTTTGTACCTCCATCTTTTTTTAAAAATACAAAATGGCTATTTGTAAATTCTTTCAATTAGGCACTTGCCGAAAAGGCAATAGCTGTAATTTCGAACATGTAAAGCCTGCTGCTGCAACTGCTACCAGTAAATACAAGTAAATAAAAAACTCTATTTCTTTTTCTTATCGTGTTTTTCTTCTTTGTCACTCATTTTTCCTTTGCTAGTGAAACCTCCATCAAGACAAACTTGACAGAAGAACGTCCACAATGGAAACTTAGTGTTTATGGACCTGCTAAAGAGGAACCTAATTTAATTGTCGGTACTGATAAAAGTTGCGAAGAGGATCGTTTATTATATTACACCAGTATGCGTACCACAGGAAACGCAAACCAATATGCAAGTATTTTCATACAGATACACACACCAGAACTTTAAACGTATTAACATGCTGTAAGAATAGATGGCTAGTCACGAACAAGCATTCAACATGATGGAAACCCAAGTGAATGCCATTTTAAATAACCCTACCGCTGCCATTCAACATTACGAAAAGGAAAAATCGAGTCGTTCAGGACCTTTTGGTGGAAGTGCGAATAATACACCCTTTGCACCTTTTACAGGCGGTACAGCCGGAGGGGCATTTGGAGGCGGTGGTGGAGGTGGAGGAGCGTTTGGACAACCTTCTGCGTTTGGACAACCCTCTGCATTTGGACAACCTTCAGCGTTTGGAGCAGCAAAACCCGTATCAGCCTTTGGCCAACCATCAGCCTTTGGTCAACCTTCAGCGTTTGGACAGCCTTCTGCATTTGGATCCACAAGCGCTTTAGGTGCTGGCACTTCAGCTTTTGGATCTACAAGCACAATGGGAGGTTCAGCATTTGGATCTACAAGTACAATGGGTAGTTCAGCATTTGGATCTACTAGTACTTTAGGCGGTGGTGGATCTGCATTTGGGTCTACCAGTACTTTGGGTGGTGGATCTGCCTTTGGATCGACAAGTGCATTAGGAGGAGGAGCATCAGCGTTTGGAAAACCCTCAGCGTTTGGAACTAGCACAAGTGCAGCGGCTCCAGCACCTGCGTTTGGTACAGCTACACCGATGGGATCTTCTGCTTTTGGGTCTACAAGTACAATGGGTAATGGGTCTGCTTTTGGTACACCTACTACTAATACATCAGCATTTGGAGCAACATCAAGCATGGGTAATACAACCGGAGCATTTGGAACAAGTACTACCACACCAGGAGGAGCATTTGGCACAAGTACAACACCAGCTTTTGGAACAAGTACTACTACATCAGCAGGAGGAGCATTTGGAGGTAATACAACTGCAAATGGATTTGGTGCTACACAGAATAATGTGCCTGCTACCATGAATACAGGAGGAGGAGGAGAAGGAGGAGTTGAAGTGAAGGAGGGATCACCCGAATGGGCTGCTTTTGCGGCTAGCGAGTTTACATATCGTGCTATACCAGAAGTTGAACCACCTATTCAGCTTCGCTAACATTTTTAAATAATAATAAAAAAGTTTATTTCTAATTTTAGCTCTGGAGCAGTACAAAAAAGGGATTTTTAATAAGTTGTTTATATATTTATAAAGAAAAAGGAAAAGGGAAAGAAAAGAAAATATCAATAAGAAAGGTGTGTGTGTGTGTGTGTGTGTGTTTGTGGTTTTTTTTAAGAGTGGTGTGTGTTTGTGTGTTTGTGGATTACATGTACAATCTGACTGTATTTAGCTGATGTACAAAATAATAATAAAGTCATTTATCTAACAAAAGAAAAATATAAAAAAAAAAAAAGAATAGAGTACAAAATTGAGAAGAAAAGTTTTACCCATCCATGATTTTCGTGTTTTTTTGGTTTTTTTTTTTTTTTTTCGGTGGGTTGTCAAAAAGTTGTTGGGATTAAGATATATAATTTTTTTTTTTTTTTTGGCGTTTTTAAATAGGATGGGATGTGTTGTTTTCTCAAGTGATGGAAACTCTCTTGTCTCCTGCAGTATTTACAGTGAATAAAAAGTCAAAAAAAGGTGAGTTTAGATGGAAGGATCCAAAACAGGATCATCAAGCTGCTGCATGTGTTCTTCGTCTTCAAGACTGACTTGACCATTATTAATAAGAGGCAACAATTTTTCTACTTCTATAATCATGAAGGTATATTAGTACTATCTTTTTTTGCATCGATGCAGCAAATACTTACTTTGAATTAAATGTTTGCCATAGGTATACTTTTTTAAAGATTGAAGGTGAGGTTTGATCTTGTTTACTAATAACTCACGTTGGTCATCGTCCACAACATCCAACATTTTCTGAATCACATAGTTTGCATATTGATCCTTCATCATCGTGACAAGAGGCAAAGTTCCATCTGGTCTAGGTTGAAGCACCTCTTCAATCAATAATTGTCGATCGCGTTTCGATCCATAATCAACACACTTTTCAACAACGTTACTTGCGAATTTGTGTTTACTCAATTGGAGTACTTGGCCACGAATCTTGTCAATCACAAGCGATTTATCTGCAGCTCTTCCACGTTCCAAAATATGTTGAATTACGTAATTTCCGTATTGATCCTGTACAAGTTGACTAGTGCATCGGTGCAATTCATCAAGCAAAGGGCCCTTTTTAAGATAGTTTAGTGATTTGTTACTCTACCTCCAAACAAAAATAATAATACTTACAATGCGCACGGTTTGATCTTCTGTACAGTGCTCAAACATACGTTGAATGACCCTGCAACCATAGGGATGTGTAGCAAGGTTATAGACTTGACCATGGAAAGCATCAATGATGAACTGGATATGTTGAGCAGGTACGCGTTCAATTGCCTTTTGAATGACATGATTACCATTTTGGTCCTTGATACATTTGAGGACACAGCCATCTAACTCCTTAACCAAGGTAGCCTGTTGTTCAGTCAAGACATGTTCCAAGGCCTTTTGAACAACACGACAACCGTACATTTGCAATGAAAGTGATAAAACATGTCCCTCCATTTGTTTAGCCAAAATTGTTTTCTGCATTTGATTTCCGTGCTCAAAGAACTTTTGCAAGACATAATTACCAAAGACGTCCGTCATCAATTGCAAAGCGTTAGGCAAGACTTCCTCAAATACCATTTGCTTTTCATCGCTATTGGCTGTTTCTAACTTTTGTTGGATAAATCGAGATCCGTGTTGATCACCACTAAACTCAACAATATGTCCCTCGATATCTTTAAGCTCGTATTTCTTGTTCTTGGAGTTACGGAATTCTTCAAGTAATGCACTACGGATACTAAGTGCCATGTCTTGGCTCGATTGTTGTTGCTGTTGTTGTTGCTGCTGTTGTTGTTGCATCTGTTGTTGTTGTTGATGGTGATGATGACGATTATCATGTCGAGAAGATCTACCACTTCCATTATTATAATTATGTTGTTGATGTTGTTGTTGTTGTTGCTGCTGTTGCTGTTGTTGTTGTTGTTGCTGTTGTTGTTGCATTTGTTGTTGTAACAATAATTGTTGTCTGGCTGCCAACAATTGTTGTTGCTGTTGTTGGATCAATAATTGTTGCTGTTGTAACTGTAAAGCACGCAATTTTTTATCCGTGGCACCAGGGAGACTATTTTCAGGGAAACTGGTATCCATGCCAGCAGGGGCAGTAAGAGGTCCATTCATGCCATGACCCAAAGCAGCCGCAGCTGTATTAAAAGATAGGTTAGCAACCACGTGTCATTCACGCTCGCGTATTTTTTTTCTAAGATGCTTACCCTGTTGTTGTTGTCTGCGGTAGGCGGTATCACCTTGACTCCAACGTCCATACATGGATGCATCTGGGCTCAAAAGATGGTCCGAAGTATTGTCGTCCATTCCATTCGATAAATCTAAAGCGGGGTTATAAGCTTGTTGTCCGTTATAACCATTGTTGTAATAAGGGCTCGATTGCTGTTGCTGTTGTTGTTGTTGTTGTTGGAATCTACCTTGTTGTTGCTGTTGTTGCTGTTGTTGTTGCTGCTGCTGTTGCAACTGTTGCAAATAATGAGTGTTTGATAACATACCGTAATCATCCTAAATATGTACCATAAGATAAATAACTGGGCCCCCGAAAAAATAAAAAAAATAAAAAAATAAGGTTTACCTCTTCATTCAAGCCAAACCCACCAAATTGATTCATCATCATTTCAGTTTGACGATCCAGATCGCTATACATGTTTCTACCGGGAGGAGTTGAATTTGAGCGTGCAGGTGGAGTGCTACTAGTGGGAGCAAATTTATTTCGCAGGGGTGGCGAGATGGAAGAACGGGGATCTTCCATATGCAAACCATAATCCTCATGCTGTTGTTGTTGTCTATTTCTACCGTTATTGTTGTTTAAAATCATTTCATCATAATCCAAAGCGTTCAATTGATCTCTGTATTGCTTTTGCATCGCATCCAAATCACCAGTGGACATGGCTGGATCGTTATCGAATGTAAATCCACCATTAGCAGTAGCTACACCAGCTCCACCAGCGGAAGAAGCGGCAGCGGCGGCGGCAGCAGCAGCAGCGGCAGCATGTCTTTGTCTCGCTTGCTGTTGTAATGCAAATAAAGGTGATGGTGTACGAGGGAAATCCTACAAAAGAAAAGAGGGTCAGAAATTTAAGTTTGAATCTTGTTTTAGATGATGATTTTTTTGACATACATTTACCTGTTGAATCAGATCCACCAAGTTACGTTGACGACGACTGGCTAATGTTTCTTCCCCACCTTTATTCTGTTGCTGCTTACCCGAATAAAAACCTCTTGGGTCCTGTTGCGCCTGTGCATATTCTACAGTGATGTTAGTAGATGAACAGTGATTCAAAGAAAAACAAGTAAAAATATACCATCTTCACCGTTTTGCCATAATTGCCAAGGTTGTTGTTGCTGCTGTTGATGTTGTTGTTGCTGGGCATCTTGGTAATATCTTGCATGGTCGGGATCATTCATGGGTTCTTGATGACCACGTCTCGAATTTAATAATTGCGTGGGTGGAGCGCTATTTGAACGATGGTCATCTGGAAAGAGAGAAGAACTACCAGGTTGCGAGACAAACAAGTCATCATAGTCAAGTTTACCATGCAAAAGAGCAGCCAACTTGTAGAAAGGCGTTAGTTTTTTTTTTTTTTTTTTTTTCATCAACTTTTTTTTCGAGATGGTCACATTAAAAAAAAAGTGAAACGTAGGGTCTTACCTGGCCTTGAGGTTGATTCTTTGCTTTCGGCTGATGTAGGTCAGACTTTTGAATATTGGGTGACATTGGCCGACGTGGTAACATCTGACTTTTTTTTTTTTTTTGTGAGATTCTGTTGTGAAAGGAACAAATAAGAAAAAGAAGAAGAAAAAAAAATGTAAACAAAAAAAAAATATATTTTTAAAAGTCAGGGAAAACATCTTTTGTTTCGGATCGTGTCACATATCTGGGGGGTAGGGGATACGTGATGACAACACTGGAAGAAAGAACTGTCATTAACACACCTTAAAAATGCTTTTTTTTCTTCTTCCCATCGTCTTAACCGAGCACATTCACAATGCGGACGATCATACATATCTTGTCGCGCATTAATACCCTGAGTATTCACATAATACATGAAGACCTGTCGCCCCTATTCTGTATTTCTTGCAACTATTGCAAGCACACTTTGATAACACAGTTTTATCTACGGGATCAACTTGGAAAATGCCGTTGAGAAACCTACCAGTGCAGCCATAACACGCCGTTGGGATACTCCACCCACCGTGCAAACGCTACGCCAGAATAAGTTGGCAATTCACGTAACAAGAGGATAAATATATTCAGGAACTGAATAGAATTTTATTATAAATACTACTATGGTACTGTAAAATAGTTTACTCGACATAAGACGAAGGACCTTATGCACATACATTAACGGCTCTGATACGTCAATTACGAATATGTATTGTATAAATGATTATATATTTTTATATAATGTCATATTTCTTTTATTAACAACTAAATGACATACTCCCAACCTTGTTAATTCTCAGCAGATTGACCTATATGAGTGTACTAAAATTAAAAACGCGTATTTTAACACATTTTTCTGACTTATTTAGAGCTCTAGATGATTTAAGACTGATCAGTTTAGGCAGACTCATGAGTAAATATTGGAGGAAAAATGTTCATATCTAATCAAGATATTTACCTGTATAATTTGCTGCACTATAGAGTGGCACGATCACTTATCGTTATAATAGGTTCATTTGAACAAATAATGGTAAGCTAAATACAATGATATCGCCAGAATTTTTTTTTTTACATTTGACCTAAAACATGCGCTGTGTGCATATCTATATCATTCTTTTCTTTCGCAGCTTCGCCTAGTATTCTCCCACAAATGGTAAGGGAGGTTTTCAAGATATAAAACTGATTTTGAACTTGTCTTTTACGTACAGTAGCCTTATGTCGGAAGGACTACCTGGGCCCTTTTTTTTTTAATTTTAGGGTGTTGTCTTTCAACAGCTTGCATTTTTCTGAACACAGAAATTACTAACAACCCATCCTTTTTGAGTGATTTTTCCATGATCAATGACTTCTTTTAGACTCTCTCCTGATCAAAGAAATATTCACATTCCCAACCTGGATGGTGATGAATTATTAGATCCGAGGACACGTTATCCTTAGCTACGCGTGACTAGGCAGTTTTTTTTTTTTTTCACTGATGGGTTTTTTCGCGTAACATACAAGATATCCATCTTTACTTGAGCTTTTTATGTATAGCTATTACTGAGTCAGATGTTAAACAATGCCTTTAACTATATAGTCTAAATAACAAGTTAGTCATGGACCAGCAAAAATATGTACAATAGGTCTTACTAAAAAAAAATCATTTCGTGTATGAACTGACGTTTTCTGCTAGTTTTTATTAGATCCCACCTTGTATTGAAATCCTGTACGGTCGTTTCATTAAAAATACTAGGTGTCTCCAAAGCTGAGAGCCTAACTTGGGAGGTCTTTATCGTATAGAAAAGATGTTAAACGTGTTTATATCCTTCTTCTGCAAAACAAATGGCCTCACGTAAAAAAGGTAACTTGAAATGTTTTCAAGTCACTTTTCTGTTTTGTCTTTACATAAGAACTCAAAAAGATTTGATTATATTACGCTGACGTTACGCTTATATGCTACCAAAAAGTACTTGATTAAAACTTAATGAATTGCTTTTCGGCTTGTAGCAATATTAATGTCAATTAGCAGAACGTCTATATTACAGCATATCAACATCGTTTTGATTATGCCGAGAAGCTTTAATGGATTATTTATTACTAAATCACATTGTGATGATTGTCTCTTTCCCAGTGACTAAGTTAATAAAGAAAGTTTCAAGAATTTTCTAGAGAATCATATTTCCGAATTTGTCAAACCGTTTGTCGAATCAGAGAAGAAAGTAGTGCCAGAAATAGCAATACATGTATCCAGATCGTATGATTTTAAGTCCCTAAAACATTATCTAGCTATTTTGCGCATTACTAATGAACCAAAGATAAAAGAAGCATAAACAAAGTATTTTCTGATTAATCGTATTCTAGAAAGCAAATCAAGTCAATGTTCAAATTTATAAAAAGAAAAGTAGCTTACAAATGCAATTATTATATAGTGTATAAGTAGATACAAATAGTTTCCAACAGTTTTTTTGTTATCACTAATGGCTATTTTGCAAGTGCCAGCGTTGACCACCATAAGAAACTCCATCACGCTTCAGACTCAAGATTGCATGACCTTTACTGTCGATATCCAAGACTAGATTAGGATGAGCCAGACAGAAGATATAACCATCATCATCTATACCCCATTATTGTTTCTCAGATTCACTTTGTAAATTCCAATCATATTGAATAACTTCTGCCCCGGGTTCTAAAATACCATCTCTAATATCAAGCGCATTACCGGAATTTTTATTGATAAAATAGCTATTATAGTAATATTTCCATAATTGGTTTGTGTTATAATATTCTTTTGGAGTATAAGAAATAACATTTGCACCGTCCTAATACACGATGAGTCAGCTGCCTCGGCAGCTCCAACTTCATTCTCGACGTTGTGTCTCTGTTTTATACTGTTATGTATAATACGAAGATTGACTTTGAGCAATATATCGCCAATCGTGTCATGTATAGTTAAATGTGTATTCCCTCATTTCAGGCGTAAACCACTGAAGTAGAATAATCGTTGTGTAATCGGGCCTCAAAACTTCACAATGTAATCCTAAAGTGGTTTTTTTTCGAGGGTACATAGACAGAAACAATATCATCGGCAAGTGCTGATACCTAGTGCACCACACTGAACACATGAAGAACAGAACTTCATATCCTCAAACATCGGTCAATGCAATCAGATAATGATATTGCCATGTCTATACCACACTGTTGAGGATATCGTAGATATAATAATAAAGTTAATTGTCACATCACCTTAAGGATGGATAATAAATATAAAAGTTAATCATGAATCACACATTACCCCGCTTGTTCTCATCCTACCGTTGGAGTCTGTACACAGGGCACATCCCTGTGGCGAGTAAATATTTATTCTGCAAAAGCAATACAATCGAATGGGCCTGGACTATAGAATATTAATAGATCCTGAGCACAAATATTACTCTTATCATCTGATGTTATAACTGTTGATCCCTCTGACTAATATTTATATACTCAGTATGGAAGGGCTAAAAATTAAAGACATGTTGATTATTTACTATCACCAGATTATTACATCATGATCTAATAAGGCGCTTACTATTCTCCCTAGAACTAGCCCAGTTCTTTATATAAATATCCATAGTTTTTTCTCATAGACCATCGATACATTTTTGAATACGTTTTTGAATACATTTTTAATACATTTTTATACGTTTTTAATTATATTTTTTCGTCCATAATAAAGTGGTATCCAAGTTCTAACAGTATCACTTTTGGTTTATTTTTTTATTTTGTTCTCCATGCAAAACACACACAACCCAAATGAATAAGATTACTTTTTGCTGTCATTACTGCCCGCTTAGTCAACTTCTAAAGCACTCGTAAGCAGACTCAGTTGTTCTGTTCAACCGGAAGTAGACCACACTACAACATAGTCAGTTTCATACTACATATCTTTTTATTTCCTATAGCTTACCAATATACGAATTTTTATTGTTCTTGAGAACAAAGGTTACTTGGTTCTGGTGGCGGTGGGGTTTTTGTTGTACGAGGAGGGTTCCATGTACCACGAATCCAAGTTTGCTTGGAAGAGATATCATCATCAATAGGTCGAGGAGCTGAACGTTTCGCCGACTTTTGTTGACCACGGCATGATGCTAGATGATTTTCATAAATATTGTGGATTTGGATACATCTATCTCTAAAACACAATAGATTCATTGCAAGATCCATATATTTATCAAGTGAGTTTAATGAAGCATCGACCACTGAATGGTAATGTTGTGTTCCAGTATAAAGACCATGGTCTCGAAGTTCAAGTTTAATAAAATAAATTTCCATACCACATATTTGCAGGGAATCAACATTGTCAATGTTGCAGCCATCCAAAATAAATCTATCGACAATGGCTTTGCTTTCAATCAATACCTTGCATCGATCGGAATGAAATTTGACTTTTCCTGGATTCTCTTCAGCTGCCTCAGCAACTCCAACTTCATTCTCGACGTTGTATCTCTGTTTTATACTTTCATGTATAATACGAAGATCAACTTTGAGCACTATATCGCCAATCGTGTCATGCATGGTCAAATGTGTATCCCCCCATTTCAGGCGTAAACCACTGAAGTAAAATAGTCGTTGTGTAATCGGACCCCAAAACTTCACAATATAATCCCATTCTGAAGAGTCCACAGTATCCGAAAATAAACCTGATTCATGCTTAATTACCATCAGAATCTGCAACATAACATGTATACAAAAAGAAATATCTTTCTTGCTAATGTCGATTTCGGGATCATTTTGTTCAGCCAACTTTTTAGCCTGAATGTAAATAGCTGTCCAATTTTGATCAGAAGTCTTGGCTGGGTTATACGCTTTAAATATGGGCTGTATTATGTTGCTAATATATGCGTATTCTTCTGAGACGTATTTCTTTGGCCTGTTCGTACGTTGAAGATGCAACCATTGCCTATTGTTGAAAAGAGTGGACTGTGCGTCGGGATATGTATGGCTAAGGTCGAGAATCGAATTCAAACCAAGTGATACGATTGCTTTTTCGTTGGAATCCAGGTGATGATAGTCTTTACGTAATGTGCAAGCTTTTGTTTTTATTATAGAACCGACCGATTCTTCTTTTTCTGGTACATAAAGCTTGTCATGTTCAACTATTCTAACTTCACTTGATCCCCCTTGGTGCTGTTTGATCTTCAATTTTTTTTTTCATTGAATTCAGCTCCTTTGTTCCTTCATGTTGAACACTAACGAAAAAATATTCCTTGGCTAGATCTTTGCACTTTCCTTTTTCACTATCAGACGCGTTTGTGTTGGTATTATTCTTATCGTTGTTCATTTTGTGTTGATAAAGTTGTAACAAAATAAACTACATCAAGAATCTTTTTGGCTGTAGAGCTGACTGGGAATCAAAAAAATCTGAAAAATTAAGTGAGGTCCGCAATCAAATCAGTCTGGAGGAGCCGAGGGACTGACCGAAAGTCGCCTATTTACAGTGCACTCACAGCCATTCACGGTTCGTGAGTTCCAAAAACTCAAGAACTCTGCCCTCCTATAGCAAAGACTAGCCGCAGCTGCAATATACCGCAATAATAACTTTTTCGATTTAGCTTCTTTTCAAAGAAACAAGAGTCACCACTAAACAAACCTTTTTACGTGATCGGTTACTTTCATACGATAAAAGAAGTATGTTAAGGGAAAAGAGAAGGAGAAGAATAAAGTGTGTGAACCAGCTTTATTTATAGATAAACAAGCTTATGTCAGGATGATTTCATTTGTCTATTTTATCATCCATAATGTTTGAGCCTTTACCTAAAATAGAAACACTTGCAAACAACTCCCAAGCAAGTCAGAGCTTAGTAATTGTCTATCTGCATTTCAGTAGTAGCTTGTAATGACAGCGAAGCAGATTTTATGGAAAACAGAAAACGATCATCCTATGAAGTTTAGATGATATGGCATGTCAATCGACGTGTAGACCAACGCGTAATTCTAAAAAATACGTTTATTTGAAAAAAATACGTTTGAAAAAAATACGTAGTCCTAGACATTTCCGTTGTTTTGTATAAAAAAATAAATAAAAAAGGGCTTAAAATAATGATCCTAAATGAGATATTTTAGTTTTTTTTTTTTTTTTTTTTTTTATAGTCCTCTTTTTCGTTTCGTAAAACAAGCAGTCTTATATGATCTGATAACAGGAGGAATAATTTAACGTTCCCATACCAAACGCGTGTTTCAAGAATTTTCTAGAGCATTAAAGTTTTGTTATATGATTTCGGGAATAAAGACCAATTTTGGACAAAATTGACAATCTTAACTAAACAGGTTTTTGGTCCCTACACAGAACGTGTGCAATCTATAGCAGCAAATAAATAATGCACCACTGCTTCCTTCTCAAGAAAATTCAACAATAGTGAGTCATTATTGACATTCACACTAGATACAACCCCATTAGTCTTTTCATCCGTTCAGCCAAAATTCTATATATCCTGTAGCTCACATAATCAAGATTATGTCATAAATCTCATATGATTTACAAATTAGAGGCTAATTCCCAATTTTGATTTTTATTTTTTCGTTCTAGAAGCCCAAGAACAGTAAGTTAAAAAATTCAGTTAATTTTTGGAAGGAAGACGGTTATATACTTTAGTCACTATGTACATATTCAATGTCCCAATGTGTAGATACACAAACATGTCATGACAGAAATTTGGATGTACAATTCTATTGGTTGGGTGGGAAATAAAGCATTTATTTTTAAATGACGTAATGAAGGGTTTTTTAATTGATTCTTTTGTCTAGTGCCTTTAACATTTGATCTCTTCTTTCTTCAGCAGAAAGTGAATTGAGTTGATCTACAGACATTTCATCCAATGCGGGTTTTTCATCTACCTTTTTCACCTTTTCTGCTGCTGCTGCTGCTACTGCCTCTTCCTGTTTCTTTTGTTGTTGTTCCATCAATTTCCTATTTTATTTCCCCCCATGATGTCAGTTTATTTTCTGGTCTCTCTCCCTTGTGTGTACACTTACTTTCTAGCTTGAAGAACCATGAATTCTTTACGCTTCCTTAACATTTCTTGTCTTTTATCAGGGCTCGCTTCCCATACCTTGGGAGGCTCTTCTTCGGTGGATCGTTGTTGATCGGCAACATCCAGCTTGTATCGTTGGACTAAATTCTGATGACTGGGTGATTTACGACTACCTGTGCCTGAACTACTGCTGGTGCTTGAAGGTGACCCACTTGCACTCACAATAGGAGCTGGCTAAAAAAAAAAAAAAAAAAAAAAAAAAAGGTGTGAATACAAAATAAGTTTTTTTTTTTTTGCTATTACTCATTTACCAAAGGAAGACCTCCATCACGAAGAGCGTTATCTACTGTTGTTTCGACAGACCCTGTTCTTTGAAGATCGGCTTGAATGGCAGCAGTAGGTACGTCAGGGAACATGGCACGTACCATTTCAATCTAGATGAGAGTGTTTGTATCCATGTCTACAGTGTGTGTGTGTGTGTGTGTGCGGTTGCTTACCATTTGAGGAGTCACACGGTGAGTTCTTCTCGCTGGTGGACGTCGTTGCGCTTGTTGTCCATTTGATTGATTGCCGCCTTTATTGGGTCATTGTAAGTATACTTTTTTTTTTTAAAAAAAAAAGATGAGTTTCTTTTTTTTTTCTTACCTAGCATCCAGCGCAAGGCGATGAGAATAAAAAACACGGCTACTAATATCGATACGCTATCGTTCATCTTTTTTTTAAAAAAGAAAGTATTTAAAAAAGGAGGAAAAAGAAAAAGTTAAAAAAAAAAAATGTTTATGGTTGGGACAAAAACAACAACAAAAAAATCAGGCGCTGTTTTAATGTTAATCAGGCGTGTGTGTGTATGGTAAGTGAGATAATTGACATAAGAATGAATTAAACTAAAAAGAAGTGAAATTTATTTGAATATATAATTCGCGTTGTCATGGTAAAATAATAAAATAGTCTTTAGGAGGACCTGAGTTAAATTTTTTTATAATTTGATTATAGTCTGGCCAAACGTTAATGGTATATGCAGAAGAAGGGGAGGGAAAACCCAGGGGAAAAAAAAAAAAAAAAAAAGGCTAAATCATTGATTTTTAAGGACAGACTGACTGGAACAAGACAGATGGGATAGAAATGACAAATCAGACTTTTTCCCCAGGGAAAGAAAGTGTCTGCATTTTGTATGCTATTTTCCCATTTTTGATTCGTCAGCATAATCATTGACATGTGAATCTCAGAAGTGAGTGTGGAGAATTCAGTCACGTATTATTGCTTACTCCACATTAATACCGGCATTAGAAAATACAAAGATATAAAGTTTTTTTTTTTTTTCTATTTTTTCTTTTCCGTTTTTCTTTTTAATACATATCATATATATATATATAAAAATGGCTTCTCGTCTTCAACAAGTTTCTGGTCACTTGGCCCCTACCGACGGTGTCGCCAACAAGATTGGTGTGAAATCACCCGAAGACATTGTCATTGTATGTGCTGTTCGTTCTGCCATTACCAGAGCTAGAAAGGGAGGATTCGCCAACACCATGCCTGAAGAAATCCTTGCTGGTGTCTTCAAGGCCTTGATTGCCAAGTCCGGTATTGACCCTGCCATTGTGAATGATATTGCTGTTGGTAACGTCTTGGCTCCTGCCGGTGGTGCCACCAACGCCAGAATGGCTGCTCTTTATGCTGGTTTCTCTGAAGCCTCCGCTGTTTATACCGTTAACCGTCAATGTTCTTCCGGTCTTCAAGCTGTTGTTCAAATCGCCACTGCTATCCAATCCGGTCTTATTGAAGTCGGTATTGGTGCTGGTGTCGAATCTATGACCAAGAACTATGGTGCTGCTTCTCTTGCCAACACCTCTGAAAAGATTGCCGATGCTTGTCAATCTGCTGCTGACTGTCTCATTCCCATGGGGTAAGTAATCATTAGAGTGTGGGAATGTTTTTTTATTTTACGTGCGTCTACTTATTATTTATGAACAATTTAGTCTCACTTCCGAGAATGTCGCTAACGAATTCCACGTCACCCGTGCTAAGCAAGATGCCTTTGCTGCTATTTCTCACACCAAGGCCGTCAATGCCCAAAAGAACGGTTGGTTCAAGGAAGAAATCTGTCCTCTTGAAGGTACAGTCATTGACAAGGAAGGCAATGAGACCACTGTCATTGTTGACCGTGATGATGGTGTCCGTCCTGGTACCAGCCCCGAATCTTTGGCCAAGATTCGTCCTGCTTTCAGCGAGACCGGTACTACCACTGCTGGTAACGCCTCTCAAGTTTCTGATGGTGCTGCTGCTGTCCTTTTGATGAAGCGTAAGACTGCTGAAAAGTACGGTCTTGCCATCCAAGGTAAATACATTACTTCTGCTGTGGTGGGTGTCCCCCCTAAGATCATGGGTGTTGGACCTGCTTATGCTATCCCCGTTGCTGTTGAGCGTGCTGGATTAAAGTTATCTGATGTTGATATCTATGAGATCAATGAGGCCTTTGCTTCTCAAGCTGTTTACTCTGTTGAGAAGCTCCAAATTCCTATTGAAAAGGTCAACCCCAAGGGTGGTGCTATTGCCTTTGGTCATCCTTTGGGTTGTACTGGTGCTCGTCAAATTGCTACTCTTCTTCCTGAATTAAAGCGTCAAAACAAGAAGATTGGTGTCACCTCCATGTGTATCGGTTCTGGTATGGGTATGGCTGCTGTCTTTGAAAGCGAGTAAAAAAAAAAAAATTATAAAGAGAAAGAATATTATATACCTGTTTAAGGCAAAAAATAAATAAAATAAAAAATGTTGTACATGTCCACCCCTTAATCGAGAGTTATCATGTGGGTAGTTGAGGAGTTTTGTAGCTTGATCATTGTGTTGACGAATATAAAATGAATTAATTATTGGTTGTAGTGGCTCGAGTGAAGACTCTCTTATAAATTATGAGAGTCAAGCACCCAATGACACAAAACTTGTTATTTGGGTCAATCTATTCGCATTAAATTTTATATTCGATCAGCCACTACCTTTGTATATAAACAAAGACCAGATATCAAGAAGGACTCACTTAGGTAAATTAAAGACCATACAAACACACAGAGAGAGAGAAGGAAACGTGGCAAGTGTGACTCCAGTACAACGATCATTTTTTTAAAAGAAAGATAAAAAGTAATTAATGAGATAACCACCTATTAGAGATATCTTATCTCTTTTTAAAAGTAGTGAATTTTTTTTTACAGCCCCTTATTTATGCCTGATTATCCATGACAATCAAAATTCTGATAGATTTTCTATAAATGAAAGCATTTCCCCTTTATGGTAGCTTTGTATGTCTGTACAACCGGCTATGGAATCTATTTCTTGCTTGCTTAGTTAAGCAGAGTTGAGAAATATTCAGCGCAATATGAAAAAGCGATGGATAGTTACCAGGATACGGAGAGTGAGAGAAGCTGGTTGTTATTGTAAGGGGTTGAAATGGAGATTCCCCCCCCCACTACCACCACTCATTCGCTTATTTTCGTTTAACTCTCTACCATGAACGAAACACACACAATTAAAAAAAAAAAAAAAAGTTTATTTACCGACAAAATTGAATTAAAAGGGAAGAAAAGTTTCCATGAGGGAAAAAGCGGGTTTAACAATATATAGCTAATTTGTTAAGTGAAGATCATTTATTATAACTTTTAGGAGGAGAAGGGGTGGGTAAATACTAACAAAAAGAAAAAAAAAATAGATATATTATATATTAACTGCACTATAGAACTCTGGCAAGCTTCTTTGCGCGTTTGTCACGTTTTACAATTAAAGCTGGTGTAACATTTTGTGGTTGGGCAAGATTTTGTTGATTAGTGATTAAATCCTTCTTGAGACCATCCAGAAGCGACGAGGCAAAATCACATTGTTGTAGTGGTAAAAGCTGAGATTTGATAACTGTGGAGCGTAGTACTTGCACATCAATCTGCAGGTATTTCTGATCTTGATCTTTGCAATTCTCTGTGACGTTATACGGCGAGATAAGTGATAAGGTGGGTAAGTCCTGTGTGGAAGTACTGATGGGATGGGTAGGGTTTGTGGGTGCAATCTGTGAGAACTCTGGCGAGTACAAATAGACATGACGTTGACCCTCATTTTCTGACCAGGTTTGAATGTCATTTACATCTGTTTTATGATTGATCCACGTCTGTAAATCACGAGGGCGTACAGCATCAATGAGAACAAGATCGGTGCTATTATTAACCACGGAATAATCAACATGATGACTATACATCACATATAAAAAAATTAATCAGTCTGCATATAATATATAATATCAGCTATTGTGGGTAGTTTTACCTGGAGCCAATAGCCGGAAACTGTTTCCTCCCTTCTAGCACGGATCCACCTCCTACCGTCAAACGGTCAGCTGTGCGCGAGGGTAACGTAAACAATGCAAAAGAAAATAGCATAATCTAAAAAAAAAAAGTGTGTGTGCGTGAGTAAAAAAAAAAAGGTTGTATAAACAGGGGTTGTATTACCATAAATACTACGCCAGTTGCTTTGGATGATACTTTGTTGGCAGTGTTGATTAATGGTCTTTTATTACTGCCAATGTTAATGATGGTGTTAGGGTTATGATGATGTTGTTTAAGAGCGGCATTTTCTTTTTCAAGAGCATCTACGCGGTTGGATAGTTCTACAACTTTATTGGTTAATGCTTCATTTTCTTGTACCAGCAATTGTTTCTCCTCTTCCAAACAAGTCAAATGTTCCCTTTTTCGTTTACGAGAAAGTAAAGCGGCAGCTCTATTTTTAATTAGACGCTCTTGACGCTTTTGTATTTGTGCTGCCTTTTGAGCTTCTTGTGTCATGGGAGGTGATGGTGTTTCTTTTGTTGGTGTTGTAGGGGTAGTGATGGATGTGAGAGAGAGATCTGGCTCAATTTTGATGAGTTCTGGTGTGTTTGTGTTGGGTCTGGGAGCCAATGGCTTGGGAGCTAATAAGGAAGGTTGGGCTAAGACGGGTTGTGTTTGTTCACGCTTCTTTCTACCTCGTTTCTTTTTAGGTTGTTCTGAATCTGATACAGAGCCTGTAGAAGAAGAAGATAAAAAAGGTTGGATAAATTGACTTCCAACCATGGGTGGTGGAGACAAGAAGAATGGGAAGGCAGAGAGATCTTGTTGCTGCTGAAGCTGATGTTGCTGTAGTTGCTGTTGTTGTTGCTGTGGGAAACAAGGGTTAAATAAGTTTGTATTTGTGGTCCAATGATCATCTACAAGAAAATCCGAAGTGTTGATGTCCAGCATAAAATCATCTACGGTGTGTTTCTCTGGTGATCCTGTGGTATCTGAGGAAGAAGAGGTGGAAGAAGGTGGTGAAAGTGGTGTGTCTGCAGATAAGTAGTCTGCATTCAAGTAAGACATAATCAAATCATCTTGTTCCTCTTGCATATCTGGGTCTGGCTTAATATATGTCATTTCTGATAATTTTTTTTAAAAAAAGTGTTAAATGGAAAAGAAAAGAAGGTATTAATTATAAAAAGGAGGGGTTATAAATAGGGAATTGCGGCTGTGTATTTTTTAAGGTGCCTAAATGTAATTGTACAGAAAAAATAGGCGGAGTTGTCAGCATAGTCTATCTTTATCTTTTTTTTATTATATTTCTGCGGATGCTTTGTTTCCGTCTTTTTTTTTTCTTTTGATTACATATACGCTCCGCATTGAGAGTATTAATTAAAAAGTTAAAAATAATCTATATTTGTGTTTGATATGTACAGTAAAGGTTACTTTCTTATTTAGTGGCTACACAAAAATATTTTCATCGTCCGGTCAAAATTTCATTTTTTGGATACACCGCTTGAAACAAAAAAAAGTTTCTTTTTCTCTCTCTCTCTCTTTGAAAAAAAAATTTTTATTTAGAAAATATGGAATTTCCAGAGGCACAAGATTTTGAAGCGTCAAAATTAGGCACCAAAACCTAGTAAAGTAAAATAAAACTCCCCCCCCCTATCAAACACACAAACAATGGACCAGTCTCGTTTAACAAACATCATCTAAAATAAGCTGGGATACTGTCTATGACCGTGAAAATAACAACTTTCAGGAAATTGGTGATATTGGTGAAGTCTGGTTCGGTGAAGACAGTGTAGAAAAGATGGTCGATTGGGTCACTGAACATGTCGACGATCCTCAATGCAGCATGATCGATTTAGGTTGTGGCAATGGTCACTTGTTGCTCGAGTTAAGTAATGAAGGCTTCAAGAACCTTTACGGTATTGATTACTCCGAATCAGCCATTACCTTGGCTAAGGCCATTGCCAAGGATCGTGAGTTAGAATGGATCCAGTATGAGGCTGTGGATTTTCTATCGGAGCCCGATTGGTTTGTAGGTAAACACACACCGTTCCGTTTGGTATTGGATAAAGGCACATATGACGCCATCTCATTGCACCCCGATCAAGTGCAGGCCAAGAAAGATGGTGTAGCTGGTCCTAGAGAGAAATACGTGGAATCAGTTCATCGTATGATCGATCCACAAGGTCTCTTTTTAATCACTAGCTGCAACTGGACCAAAGATGAATTAATTGAAAACTTTAAAAATCGTAAGTTTTATTCTGTATTTATTATTTGTGTCTTCTGATTCCCACTTCTCTTTTGCAGATTTCACCTTTCATTCAAGTGTCAAATATCCTACCTTTCAATTCGGTGGTCAAACTGGTTCCACCATTTGTACCATTGCCTTTAGTCCCATTCAATAATAATCATGTACAAAATAAACTTTTTGTTTATTAAATCTCTCTCTCTCTCTCAAAAAAAAAAAAAAAAAAAAAAAAAAAAATGTTTTATTGACGTTCCCAACCTTGGTTCTTGTTGAACATGGGAGGAGGAATACCTATACATATATCACATTAATCATCATTCTCTTTCTTTATACACATAAAGCTTACCATTGGCCATGACGTGGGGTGGCATCATCATGTCGCCGCGTTGTTGCAAAGGAAACCTCTGTTGTTGTCCTTGCATATGAAGCTGCATCTGCTGCTGTTGCAAGTGGAGGGGAGGTGTCATCATGGGTCGTTGTCCACCTGCTAATGGAGGTGGCATCATCATATGAGGTAAAAATTGTTCATTCGCGTTATTACGTTGTCCATTGTTAAAATGAGGTGGGGGAGGAGGCACGCGTTGTAAATCAGGTCCATTGTTAAACTGCACTAATTGTTCATATGCACGATGATCCATCATGGCAGGTGTGTACGACTGCTGTCCATATGGTTGTTGGAAATAAGGTTGAGGTGGCATACCACCATGTTGTTGAAGATGAGGTGGAATATGCTGTTGTTGTTGTTGATGATGTTGCTGTTGTTGTTGTTGTTGCTGTTGTTGTTGCTGTTGTTGCTGTTGCTGTTGCTGTTGCTTTAAACCATTGTAGCCCATGGGAGTTGATTTCGTAGTTTGCATGGAGGGGGATCTTGATTCAGAAGAACGGGCACTCATTTGTCGCAACACTGAAGTGGGTAAATTATTACCGAACCTGTTGGACATGGTGGAGGATTTATCCGATGGTGAACCAGTCATCATGGATGGCGATGCCTTACCTTGCTGTGGTTGTTGTGGTTGTTGTTGTTGTTGTTGCTGGATTGGTGCTTCAATCGTGTTATTAGGAAGCGAAGACTTGGGAAGCGAAGGTTTGGGTTGAGAAAGTATTTGCATGACTCGATTAAAGCCCATGGCATCTTCATTGGTCTCCATAATGTTCTTTTTAGCTCCCAACGTTTTCAAGATGTCTTGTTCTGAGTATACCCTCTGTTGTTGTTGCTGCTGCTGTTGCTGTTGTTGCTGTTGCTGCTGTTGCTGTTGCTGTTGTTGCTGTTGCTGCTGATGCTGTTGTTGCAGTTGCATCATTTGGTGTTGCTGGTTCATAAAATGCTGTTGTTGTGGAGGTAATTGAGCAGGACCTTGAAACAAATCATTCACACTGATAGAACGAGCTTGTTGCTGTTGTGGAGGGGGTTGAGGTGTTTCTACCACGAGTAACTCGGGTTCTTCTCGTTTGGCAAAGAATTTAGCAAAACGAGAACCAGTTTTTGCATTTTCACGACGTTGATCGGATTCATCAAAGAAACCTAATTCTTGGTGTGTTTGCATTGATAAAGAAGCCAGCGCATCTTCCACTGCTACCGTTGTTGTGATCTTTTTCTCTACCACGGCCACAGTTTTAACAGGCTCATTGATACCATCTCTCTTCTTCATGTTGGATTTCCAAGCTTCTAAATCATTGGCAAATTGAGCTTGCAGGTCGTCTTCTTTGGCCTCATTTTCCTCCTCGGGTGTGTAATCCATCCATTCTGGCACTCTTTCAGTATCGTCGTTGTAATTACTATGTCTGTTGTTATTGCGGTTATTATTTGATTGTGCGTCTATAAAACAAAGAAGAATGTTAGAAAGAGAGAGAGAGAGAATAAAAAGAGAAAAAGAAACATACGGTCTCGACGGCCCTTCATATCATTCATACTATATCGATCCGTTCGCTTACCATGTGTTGCCTGTGGTGGTGAACCCATATTATTATTATTATTGTTGTTGTTGTATTTTCTGTTGTCTGCTGATGATGGTTTATCCACTTGTGATGATCTGTGTGAAAATCCTTTTTCGCCCATATATGAAGGACCACGAGGTGTGCGATAATCTTTAATATTATTTGATGATCTTTCATCCATCTATATATATATATATATATATTTAATAAGAGTGTTAGCTTGCAGTTTTAAGAAAGCTTAAATATACATATTTACCTGTCTATTGTGTCTCGTTGATAACTGTTGTTTTGATATATTTAAGCCATCGTCTGTTCGTTTCAAGCCTCCATATAAGGACGAGGCAAAGTTTGTTTTGGTAGGCCCGAGAACTATACTTTTATCTAAGCTTGCTGTTAGAAACCAAAAAAAGAAAACCAGAGTGTGTGTGTGTGTATGTGCATAGTGAATATACCTGTACTGGAGCGGGTTATAATGGCACCGTTTAATATGCTTTTTGATGCTGGTGAATTAGGATCCTCGCTTTATATTGTGCAAGATGTTAACGAAAAAGAAAAAAAAAAGGATGGAAATAATAAGCTTACCCAAACCAAGTCGATAATGAAGGCATGGATTCTGGTTTTTGTACAAGCGGACTGTCATGTAAACTAATCATTGCATCTTTTGTATATCGAATAACTGACATGGTGAAAAGAATAAAAAAAAAGGTATTTTGTTTTGTTTTGATAGGGTTTTTCTTGTAAAAAAAAGATGTTTTCTAAAAAGGGAGGAGAAAAAAAAAGAGAAGAGAAAAAAAAATAGACCGAATAGGGGGGGGGGGCCTACTATAAACGCGCGTACAATTAAAAAAATTGGGGGTGAAAGTAAAATGACTTTTTGTGTGTGTGTGTGTGTGTGTGTGTGTGTGTATGTGTGTGTGTATGTGTATGTTTTTTTGTTTGTGTTGTGTCTGTATATCTATATATATATATATATATATATATAAAATTTCTATGAATACAGAGGGTTTTTAAAAAAGAGAAAAGAAGAAAGGGAAAGAGAAGAAAAGAAAAAAAGAGTGTTCCTTTGGGGGGTTATGCTTTTTTGGCCCTTTTATGTGACGTTCTTAAAACATTTTCAATGGCGCTCCAAAAAAATATATTTAAAAGAAACTTCTCTGGGATATTACTGCTGCTTATTCCTAGGCTGGGACATAGTGTGCGCTATCTCGCCTTCCTCCTCCTCTTATACCTGTATGCATCCTCTGTGACTTGCCTCATCTCCATATTTACACTGAAAAACACATCTGAGTGTCAACAAATAAAAGAGAAGGGCATCATGCTTTTAAATGGGACGGTAAATCCTCATAAATGTCCCTACACTCCCATTCTTTACTGGAACTAACTTTTAACAAATGTCTGCCATTTTATCTTGGCGGCCTTTAAATATTATATGCCTTCTAACCGACGTCTGTCTATTGACATTTGTCAATTAAAAAAAAAAAGCTTTATTTGCTTCCAGCGCTTTAATTCTTTTTCTGCAGTCAAAATTTTTATTTATGATCTGATCGTTTTTGCTTGTTTGGAAAGTGATCCAAACTGACAGGAATAATATCACCAGTGGCATTCTACTGTCACATCTTGCATGCTAGACAATGCAAAGCAAACTGTAGGAATGGCTTCAATAACAATACTGTAGCCTCATTATCGTTAAGATACTTGGCAACCTCAGATGCTACAGATATATGTACAGCTTGCTGTCAATCTGGTTATTTAAACAATGATTCATATGTCTGTCCACATTATGCCACACGTGAGTACATGAAACATGTAAGATTTACAGTATTTACAAATTTCACTGAATTGTCAAAGTTTACGTGCTGAAAAAAAGACAATTATAGTAAATTCATCCAAACACTGCAGCATTCGAGTCAAGCGATATATATTAAATGTAGAGTTCCCTTCACATATCGAAACAATCAAAATATGCAAGGTACTGTCAGATCCTAGATTTCGAACTAATCACTTGTTGATCCAAGTAGTGCGGCCTAAAAATGTTTTTTTTTCTTGAAGATTTAGCATCATAATTAATAAATGATAGTAAGCAACAAAACATACTTGGGATAAATGAGTTTACCAGAAAACAATCGTATTGTCATCTGGTATAGCATCTTCTGAGACAGTCTCGAATTTTCTAGTGCATATGTGACAGCTTAAATTTGTTCTATCCCCACTTGAAGCACCTGTAACCCGTGCTTCTGTTGAAGTACGTGACTTCAGATCTTTTAAGAAGCTTAAACATCTTATTGGAATGATGATTACAAAAAATATCGTATCGTGTCCCCTCATCCTTTCTCTGCGTTGCCTATCCTGTCAAATCTCCAGTATGCCTTAAGCAAGGACCCTATGGACTGTTGGACATTTTTTTTAAAGAAAAGGTTAATTGTAAAGTCTATACATATACCTTTAAGGAACTGCCTACGTATGTGTGGCGTTCGCATTAGAAGCACATTGATCTAATCTACAATTTAGACAATATCTGGATATACGTGATTGCTTGTTAAAACTACGCTAGAGAAAATTATATTGTCAATAACATGCGATTTATTTTCATTTCAGTATGTGGGTTCTCACTGTAAACTAGTGACCAGTCGCAGCCATAAAAGCCATCACCAAGCCCAATAAGGGAACAAAGCAAAAAAGAAAGACCGGTTTTCGGGTAACTTTTGTCATGAAATCATATTTGGCGCATCTTTTTTAACCTTGGATGAATCCTGCGGAAAATTAGAGTACGCCTCTTGTAATTTAATACTCTGTCTGTAAGTCATATCTTTAAAGATTTGGCTGGAAAAATAAAACTCGTGGCTAACTACCTTTTTCAAACTATCTGCTTTTGTATACGTTAATAAAAAGAAAAGAAAAAGAAAGAAGTGGGCGGGATGGCTTATTTATAAAAAAAAAACAATAATAAACAAGGACTAGTTTATGTCAGGATGAGATAATCAGTCGATCCGACTAATATTAGTATACTTTATATGGAAGTGATAACTTCACGACAGTTATTATTAAGCAGAGATTATACCCAGACTCATGCAATGTGCTCTACACTCTTCGTAGACCATCTGATACTTAGTTTAACTATTTGCAGTTTTCTCAAAATGAGCGATCATTTGATACTTTTTTCTCTGTGATATTGTTAAATAAGGTGTTATAAATGTTATTTCGAATGTTACGAGATACTTGCTTTTTCTTTTCTTTCTTTTACAGAATACGTTTCGATTCTGGTTTATGGTACTTTTGATGTGCTGATTAGGGTAAACGGTTTTAAAGTGGAAGCAGTAAATACAAACCTGATTTCGTGGTCTTCGTCTCAAACACAGCCAAACACGCTATGACATAGGGTACCGGAAACCTAGCCTTCCTCCAACTCCAACTGTAACGATAATGGAAAGTCAGATACTGTCAAGGGTTGGATGTCAGATAGGTTAAATCAAGAAGGATTAGAGCCACCTCTTGTTATATGCGGAATACTGTTAAGAATTTGACAACATATTAAAGATGGACTTGCCGTATCCTCATTTTGTTTTCTTCTTTAATATCCTAAAATAAAGTGGTACAGAAGTTTTAACAACGTTTAATCTTTAAAAAAAAATCATCATTGTCATACTCTTGTCTACGTTTACAGCAAATTCATTCAAGCGAATTTATGATTTTAGTATTCATAATTTAGATTTCAGACTTTTACTCAGAATAGATTGTAATTGGAGGAGAAGAGATGATGTAATATGTTATTGAGGTACTACTTTTTGTTATCCGCTAAAATAATAACCGCTAAAAAAAAAAACGGTTGGATGTAGTTCTTTCCGTTTTGAACATCACATAAAATTATCAATCATGAGCCAAACACCTGTCAACATTTTGCCTCGATCTGAAAACGATAAGCCTCAATATTCATTCACACCCTCGAAACCTCAGTGTAGTTTTACTTCCACAGCTGGGAATACCATGTACAAAAAGTACAATCCGACCAGCTGGATACACGATTATGATAAGGATGGAAAATGTTCCAAGGATGTCGTTGTCGAATGGATGCTGGAAGGAAACAATTGGGACTTATATACTGGAAATGTGACTTTGAAACCAGGAGAAGTAATAAACCAATCAGTTATGTCAAGACGATTGCGCCAAGTTCTCATCGACAGAGGTCATGTGCCAAAAAGCGAAAAGAGCATCATAGAAACCATCAGATATTTAAAAAAAACATTCTACGCCACATTTGTCACAGTCAACTCACCTGGTTTTGGGGTCAATCCTGAAGTTGATGGTGATAAAACCATTAGAGGTAAACAAACTAAACTATCAGTTACCACTTATTGTTAAATTAAAATTAAACTTTCAGAGAAAATCATCAAATTGTTTAAATGGTACTATGATCTTCTTCCTTTGCTTGGATCCGAACCGCATGATACCAGAGTTGGATCTCAGACAAATGAAAGTTCAATTCCAGAATTAAATGCTGCTGGGCAGCCTCACCATAATGATTTCCAGTTACCAAGCCCTGATGACGATATTGTGGATGCTGATGACACTGCGCCTATTTCTGAACCTGTTTCGACTAAACAAAATCGAGGCGAGAAAAGAAAGGTATCCCAGATTATCTCTGACTACTTTGAGAAGCAGTCAGACTCGTCAGATAATTATGCATTACTTTTAGCAGCTCAGGGACGTCATTTGAAACAGCAAATGATGATAAAGAAACACGAGCATTTGCTGAAGTTGAGACAAGAACTTCGTCGCGAAGATATAGGTGATGAAGATCGCGAAGAAATTAGAATGTTTATTGAGGAGACCAAAAAAGATTGCTGAATTTAAAGATCTTTCAATAAAATTATTTATCCGTTTGAAGGCTTGCTACTGAACGCATTGTATTTTCAATGACTTTCTTTTATAATTCGAAATATCATCTTTCGTTCATTGACTTTATGTGTACCCGACCTTCCTTGTTGGTAGTTTTCTTGGTAATCCTAAGGATTAGCTGGCAGCAAGTACGAGTTCACCTTCCTGATGCATTATAAACTCCTGCAAGCTTTGAAAAGTATCTTTGGGAATTTCATCACGACACCCAACTGCAACATGAGTTTGAAATACCACCAAATTATACTCTCAGCTTTTTCTTTCGTAACTTGTATTGAGCCAGTTTTATAACAAAAAGGTGGTAGCGCAAGAGGTGTTTAAGGCACTTTTAGCTGAGAGATTTATATACAGCGAGCATACATGTAACGTTACACCAAGAAGAGTTTTATCAGTGATTTAAAATTAAATTTATCAGTGGTGTCAAAGTTATTTTACGAAAACAGACAAAGCATCATGCCAAAGTAGATGCAGATGTGTAGACACTGATATATGTAGCGATTTTGGTTTTCATACCAACTATGCGCTATTCAAAAACCGTTATATTGATCCGTAGCAGTTTTCTCGACTGTCATTCCAATGCACGGTTGTTTTTTGGTGTACCCTCTGTGGTGTTTTGGGATAATAAAAATTCAGACAGAAAGGAAATAAAACAAAAGTAGGAATACTTTGAGACTGTTGATATGTTTTATTTAGTTAAAAGAGAATTAGGGATTATCAAGGTCAAAGAATAAAGGATATATATAAGATGTCTGAATTTAAATTATAAAATTATTGCATAATGGAAGTACACTATTTTAGTACAGTGTCTTCTTGCACTATTTTAGTTAAAGACGTGTAGAGACTAAAGAAGTGTATTTTCTTTATCAAGTATGGATGCTGAGATATTTATATTTTAGTGTAGAATGTATGATGTAAGTGTATCTGATGTTATTTTTATGATGATGATTTTATTAGAAGTAAGCCAGATCATCACATTATCCCCACCCAGGTATTGACTAATACCGGTAAATTTATTTGTAAGATCGTTTGCTCCTTTTATTGTAAGAGTCACTACAATCTGTATTCAATTCTACCGATCTTTTTCTTGTTACTGGTTCATAATTGGGACTGATGTTTTGGTTTTTTACTGTTTTCAATGTTTTCTTATTTGCTTTGTTAATTGCTGTGATACTTTCAGGGATTTCACCTATTCTTCTCCAATATTCAGTGATAAATTTTGGATCAGTGAAGTTATCAGCAGGTTCCCATGTATCATGCGAATCATCATAGTTTAACCATCTGCATCTATACAAGTATTGATTTTCAGGATCTTTCTTATGTCCAATGATTGCCTCCACTTCATAGAAAATGTCATCTTCAGGAACAATGTCAGCAGATGTTACTTTTAATAGTGATGGAGGATAATTTCTGGGTTCTATAAAACCTTTTTCATTTTTAAGCACATATGTACCAGCAGCTGTTTTTCTGACCACTTTATAAAATCCTTTATAATGAGGATCAAGTTTATTTTGTTTGTCAGTTATTAAAATCATTACTGTTGATCCTGCTGGTATGTCGATCATTTTGTGGCTTTTATCAAACATGGCTTTTTGTTTATCAGTGACGCGTTTGACTTGTTCGTATACAGCAGGGTAGACCACTTCAGTCATAAATTTTATTTTATTTTGTAATTCCTTATTAATTTTATCTGAAGTTGGTTTATCCTTTTCTTTGCTAAAATCTTCAAAGTCATTAGGGTTTCTACCAAACATTAAGGAAAATGGTGTGCTTTTTGTACGAACATTATATTTACTATTAAGGAACAATTGGGTAGGTGCAACCTTCATGTCCCATTCCGCGACATTGCCATTTATTTGCTTTTTTATAGTTTTGACGGCAGATTGTACAGCTCTTTCACTTGCTCCATTTCCCCTAGGATGATATTGTGAAATTAAAGCATGGTTGAATCCCAAGTTTTCTTTTATGCTGTTTACAAGGCTATTAATAAACTCGGACCCATGATCACTTTGAAGTTTACGCATTGGTCCGAAAGTGCAAATGACATCAAGGATTTCAGAAGCCACACTTATAGCAGATTTATCAGGTATAGCTCTTAGTATGTAAAATTTGGTGGCTATATCAATCATAACTAATAAATAATGGTTTCCCCTTATAGAAGTTGTAAACGGACCTGCTAAGTCAATACCCCAGCTGTCACCAGGAAGAGTAGCTAAGACAGGTCTTAATGGGTTATATCCTTTTTGTATGATGTTATGGCGTTGACATGGAATACACGCTTGTATTAATTCATTTGCATCTTTCTTTAAATTTAGCCAGTATATACCGTTTCTTTTTAATGCTTGTAACATCGCTTCAACACCAAAGTGTCCTTTACTATGTTCATGTGACAGTAGTTTCATACGTTCTTCTTGTGTTGGAGGTGTAAAGTATTCACCACTATCAATTTTTGGCAGTTCTTCTTGTATTTTACGTGCAACTCTACTTCTCATGATGGATTTATCCCCACCCAGTTCGTTTGACATTTCGTAATCAGTTTCAAATAAGCGAGATAATGCGTCCGGGAGGATGTTGGCAATACCAGGCAAATGAACGATTTTAAAGTCATATTGTAGAATGGTGTCCATCCATGAGATCATCATGAGGTTAGCAACGCGTTGAGTGTGGAGATAAGTTAAAGCTTTATGGTCCGTATACAAGGTAAATGTAGAGCCGTAAACGTATTTATGGAAGCGTTTTAAAGAGAAAACTAGAGCCAGTAATTCTCGTTTTGTGGCAGAATATTTTCGTTCACTTTTAGACAAGCTTTTTGCAATAAAAGATATGTACTTTATTTTACCATCAATTTCTTGATACAATACAGATCCAATTCCGGTGAGGGATGCATCACAACTTATAGAGAAGGGAGCATTCATGTCAGGATATGAGAGAACAGTATCATTTAGGAGAGCTTTTTAAGATTGTCAAAAGCTTGTTGATGTTTATCAGTCCATAAATTGTCAAGTGATTTTTCATGGCGCAATGGATCAAGGGGAGTCATGATAGTAGATACATTCGGAATCAAAGTTCGAAAGTAATTGATCAATCCACAATAGCGCATAATATCTTTGCCATTTTTAGGTTGGGGAAATTCTAAAACATTGGCTAGCTTACGACGATCCATACTGATACCTTTGGGAGAGATATGGAAACCAAGTAGATAAATCTCACTTTGGAAAAATCTACATTTATCAGGATTAATTTGAGGTTTACATCAGTTAGACGTTGAATGACTTGTTTTAGATGTTGTTTATGTTCTTCAACTGTTTGACTTGCACACACAATATCATCCACAAAGAATCGGACAAATGTTAACCCGTCTAGAGCAATGCTCATGGTTCTTTGAAATTGAGAACTGACATGCTTAATACCAAATACAGTACCGATGGGTTGATATTGGACACCTCGCCATGTGAAGCTTAATTTATGTGCGTCTTTTGGATTTAATTTTAAAGAATTAAATGCGGATTTTAAGTCTAATGTTGAATATATAGTGGCACCTTTTAAATCTTCGAACAAATCACTAATTATAGGTAAGGGCATTCGGTCAATTGTTTTTAAAAGACTATTGATATGTCTCGGATCATGACAGACTCTGTACCCTTTTATTTCACCTTTAGCATCAGTTTTCTTGACCACAGTTAAGGGTGTGTTCCATTCTGTATTGGCAGGTGCTTTCTTAATAATACCATTATCCAACCATTCCTTTATTTGTTCATCGACAACTTCCATCATTTTTAAGGGAACAGGATATGGTTTCTTATAGGCTGTCACATTTGGAGGAGTGTCTAGTGATACAACACTTTCTGGAATAGTACAGAATGATCCTTTTGCAATATTCTGATTGGCAGTAATGTATGGTTGTATATAATCCATCGCTGATTTAAATTCATCAGGTTCACATGCAGGACAATTTTCTAATAGTTTGTTCTCTGCTTCAATGGATTCAAGGAGTTCACTGGTGTTATTATAACGTCTTTCTGATTCAATCATTTGCCCAATAGAATCATGATCGTCAAAGTTCACAGGTAAACCATAAATGCCTAAACCCAAGGACGCCATATAGTCAGTGCCAATGCTGATATGATATATATCTTCATCAGTATCGGTTAAATTCATAACTTCAAAAGTGCGTTCGATGGTCTTATTATTACAAGTAATGCTTAGTGTGCATGTTCCAATTCTTTTAATATAACTCTCTTTATCAAATGCCCTTATATAATATTCATATTTATTTGTTTTTGTAATTAGATCTTTATGTATATGTTTGATAAAATTTATATTGATTTTATGAGTTAAACAAAAATTATAGTCCACAGAACTAATGGAGGCACCAGTATCCAATAGTGAATACGTTCTAATAGAGTTATTTATAAGAATGGGAAAGATGATATCATTAGTTTTCTTATTCTTAAAATCCCTTGTTACGGTGTCCTTTTTAGGGTAAGACTTACATGCAAGGGATAAGGCCAGCAACCTTTTTTCATTCTCATCTTCGTCATCGGAATTAAGTTTGTCCTGGGTGTTGTGACCATGGTTTCTTTTTGCCATTCTAGAAATTCTTTGTTTCTTCCTTTGTAGAAATTCTTCACAACGATGACCGCGATACCAAGGCTTATTACAAAATTTACAGTTGTTTATAGTGGAGGGCGCCTTATTAGACTCGTAAGAATCTTTACTGACTGTACCCTGATAATTGGAGCGACGTTTTAAAGAACGTTCATTGTCCTTATTTTCACCAGAGCTATCCATGAGGTAGATGTCGGAATCGTTGGTTGCAGCAATAACAATACCAATTATGGATTCGACATTGTCCGGAAGTTGGGTACCATAACGCGAAGAGAGAGCAACCGAAGACTGTTTTCTCACAGTTTCCAACAGGGAACACCAGAACGAAAGAACCAAAGGAAGACCATCCTCAAGACCTGCTTGTCTTCTCAGTTTTTGAAACTTCGCCGCGTATTCACGAACAGGTTCACCAACGGATTGCTTTAGCTTCCAGACCTTCACCATCATCAGAAACTTTCGGTATGGAGTGTCAAAATGATCCATTAGCTTGTTTTCAGCTTGACTCCAGTTCAATTTCTTGTTTTTCAGGGCTTCGACAAACCAGGATCGATCTTCTTTATTCATTGCCATGGGCAAAAGTCTCTCCCAGCTTTCATCCAAGGACAGACCATGAGCTTCAAGTACCGTTTTGAACTGCATGCAAAAATCGTAGACAGAGTCAAAGACTTCTGCATTCTTTCTCCAGATGACCGTGTCAGTTCTCAGTTGAAGGAAAGGAAGAGTGTCTGGCACAAAAGTATCATTCTTGGACGGTTCTGGTTTGTTCACCGAGAGAAAAACTTTATACGCATCACGAGTGGTAACAAGTTCAATTTCAACCTCCTTGTAAGCGGTTAATGCATCCTTGGTAACATCCGACGTAGCATTCTCATTCTTGCATGTAATCCAGTGAGCGTAGGCAGCATTATACGTTGTTGGACCAACTTAAGATTTTCCTTGGCTGAGTGCAGAAGTTTCTTGCTGTCAATATGCTCAGTTGCATATTTAGACTTCATAGTGTCATGGTGGAGATTTTGAGGACCTTCCTCCATGACTACATCTTCATCTTGCAGGACAACAGGGTCAATTTCGGGAACCGAGAGAGGAGAGGAACCGGGAAGAGATGGAGTGGGTGTAGAGTTGTTATCAGACATGTTCAACAAAATTCAAAGTAAAAAATGTGGTGTTTTGGGATAATAAAAATTCAGACAGAAAGGAAATAAAACAAAAGTAGGAATACTTTGAGACTGTTGATATGTTTTATTTAGTTAAAAGAGAATTAGGGATTATCAAGGTCAAAGAATAAAGGATATATATAAGATGTCTGAATTTAAATTATAAAATTATTGCATAATGGAAGTACACTATTTTAGTACAGTGTCTTCTTGCACTATTTTAGTTAAAGACGTGTAGAGACTAAAGAAGTGTATTTTCTTTATCAAGTATGGATGCTGAGATATTTATATTTTAGTGTAGAATGTATGATGTAAGTGTATCTGATGTTATTTTTATGATGATGATTTTATTAGAAGTAAGCCAGATCATCACACCCTCCAAACATTTACCGAATACTGAGGAAGTGCTAGTGCTATTAACATCAGTAGTTTTGGAAGATCTGGACAGGGTAAAGTTCTCCATCACCGGTAACAAGGTTCTCAGTAACCTAAAGATCAATGGTCTTGCTCCTGAGGTTCCCTGGGATCTTTACCATATTATCAAGAATGCCGTCTCCATCCGAGTAATAAGCATTTGGAACGCAACTAACAGAAAGAATAAGGATTCCAAGTATTGTTTAATTCAGAGGAATATAGATAGGATATGGATATAACACCTATTACCTCTCCTTAATCCCGTAGCATTTATGTCCTAAGTGGTATGGATGAGCACATTGTCTTTCACGAAGTTAAAGGTTTAAATGTGACAATTGATTGTTACACAAATTGCGCATGGCTCGTGTTCAATTTTTATCTTGCAAAAACAGGTGACTATTTTTGCCTCTCTTCTCTTACATAACTTTTTTTTTTAGAAATACTATGTCTCAGAGTGTAGCTATTGTAGGAGGAGGTATCTCTGGGTTATCAGCTGCTTATTATTTAGCTCGGTTAGCACCCACGAGTACTAAAATTACCTTGATTGAAGGCAAGGAACGAGTCGGCGGTTGGATAAAAAGTCAACGTGCCACTACGCCTTCCATTCTGTTTGAAGGTGGAGCTCGTACATTGCGACCTAAAGGCGAAACAGGAACGATCCTATTGGAAATGGTAGTACACTTTTTTCTCTTCTTCTCATAAAATAAACAACAGTGATATTGACTCTATTGTTAAATAGATTCAGCATTTAAAACTGCATGACGAGTTGGTATGCGTACCTCAAACAGACGCGTCTGCGCAGCACCGATATATATATTACAATAATGAAATAAATACACTTCCGAGCAACCTCTCTTCTGCCGTTTTCAATAAACCACCGGTAATGAAATCGGTGCTATTGGCTGGACTTTTAGAACCGTTTCGAAAGAGCCGTTTTGCAAAGGATGGTACAGCCAAAGATGGAAAAGAGGATGAATCCGTGTATGATTTTATGCGACGTAGGTTCAATGAAGATACAGCGTTGAATTTGATGGGAGCATTGACGCACGGTATTTATGCTGGAGATATCAAGACACTTTCTGTGCAATCGACATTTCGTATGCTGTATGAAGCAGAAAAGAATTACGGCAGTGTGGTGGTGGGTATGATGAAGGGAGCAGGCAATACTTCGAGTATGCGAGAACGCGGGATGGCTGTGCGTGCTCGAGCCCATGATCCAGACTGGTTTAGCAAGATGGAAAAGATGAATCTGATTGGCTTTAAAAAGGGGATGGAAAGCTTACCACAGACATTATTGGGTTATTTAAAAGAGTGTAACAATGTAAAGATTGTCACGCAAGATCCTGTGCAATCCATTACTCAGCTGGACAATGAAAGCAAGGTAAAAAAAATATATATTTTATAATAGTGTTACTACGTAATCTAATCTTGGTTAAATAAATTTAAAATAGATTAAAACACGTGGCGGTGAGGAGTTGTATGCAGACCATGTTATCTCCACGATTCCTTCTTTTAGTCTGGATAGACTGATAGAAGGTAAACTACCACACCTTTCACATAACCCAAGTTGTGATGTAGCGGTAGTGAATCTTGCTTATGATGGGAATACCCGATTAGCCCAAGACGGCTTTGGATTCCTTACACCGCATCGTGACACAAACGGGGCCAAAATACCTGTACCGGGCACTTTAGGTGTCATTTTTGACTCAAACGTACTCAAGGAAGAAGAAGCACGGGTGACTGTAATGATGGGAGGTGCAGACTGGAAGGATGCGTTCAAGGTGGGTATTGATCAAGTGACGGAAAAGGAAGCGTATGAGAAAGCCAAGACGGTGATGAGCGCCTTTTTAAATATACAAAATGAGCCTAAAGCATGGATGGTCCATTTACAGAAACAATGTATACCACAGTACTTGGTGGGACATCAAAGCCGTATGAGACAACTTCATCAGGCATTGACAGAGGTATATGGGCATCGATTGAGTGTTACCGGTGCCAGTTACATGGGTGTCAGTGTTCCCGATTGTATCAAAAATAGTCGTATGCTGGTGGAAGAATTACTTGTCTCGGGCGCTTTAGGTTCTCAAGAAAAGATCGTGACAGGTCTTGGTAAAACAATGACGGATGATTTGAAAGATAGTAGAAGATTAAGTAAAGGAAACTCCAGTGTCATTATGATGGCGTAACATTTTTTTATTTTTATTTTTTTATTTATTTTTTCTTTTACATGGGAGAATGAAAATTTTTTTTTTAATAAAAAGTTTTAAGATTGTTCTTGTTTAACATTTTGTCTCTGTACAGTAGGAGAGTTGTTGGTATTTTGTTGTTGTTGGGGTTGTTGAGGCTGTTGTTGCTGTTGTTGTTGTTGATTGTTAGCCCAATAACCTTGAGGGTTGCCAGGATAAGGTTGTCCTTGTCCCTGATAAAATGGTTGTTGGCCATATTGTTGTTGTTGAGGGGGATAAGGTTGGGTTGGTTGAGGTAAGTTACCTTGGAAACCAACGGGATATCTTTGTTGGTTATAAGGTGGCATTGCCATCTGTTGTTGTTGCTGTTGTTGTTGTTGCTGTTGTTGTTGCTGCTGTTGTTGTTGCTGTTGTTGCTGTTGATGCTGTTGATGTTGTTGTTGATGTTGTTGAGTGTAGTTATTAGGAGGAGCAACAGTGGGAAGAGGAGGAGGAGGAGGGGCAATATTGGAAGGTCTAATCATGGTAGGAGAAGGCTTTAATAATGGACTTGTAGTTGTTGATGTGGATTGAGGCGATAAGTGATCATCCAATTTAGTCTCCGGTATCTATAAATGGAGTTCATCATTATGCGAAACGCGTACTCTCTCTTACACTCTTTTTAATTAGGAAAAAGACTACTTACATCTTGAACGGTGGGATCAGGTGTGTTTAAGCATGTTTGAATGAGATTTTTACCTTCTGGCTTGGTGACGATAGGTTGTAATTTAGTGGTGGTAAAAGTGTAAACAAGACCCGTTTCGGAGACGACTAACAATAAAACCTGCGTACCCGTCAAGGTTGATAACTCATAAGCCTTCTTCATGATACCCGCCTTACGCTTAGAAAAGGTGATATGTCTTCTGTTCTTGTCTTCAATATATTCAATCTTTATCTTTCTTCTACCGTTTCTCTTCACTGGTTTAACTTCGGAATCGTCAGAATCATCTGGATCGACTAATCCTTCATTTTGTCTCTTTTGTCTGTTAATAAAAAGTAAATAGAAAAGAAGGTTAATTTAAACAAACGCGCCTTCATTTGGTTTAAAAAAGGAAGGCCTGTCTATTTTGTCTATTTTGGAATTTTTTTTTTTTTTTTTTTTTTTACCCAACTGGCAACATGTGTGTTTGAATAATCAAAAAGGGAGAGAGGGGAGAAACAAAAACAAAGAAATAACCCTTTTTAGCAAAAAAAAAAATAAAACCTGTGGCTTGTTCCTTCTTTTTTTAAAGCTGCGCCTCAGCACAAACACATTTTATAAAAAAAAACATTCAACGCCTTACGCTTTTCCACATATACACAAAAATGACAGACTTGTCAAACGAAATTAACTTGATAACTTCTCGTCTCACCACCAAATTACAGACATTAGAAGCAGACTGTCAACGTTGGACTGATTACAAAACAGACTATGACGCTTTAGAAACACAGTTGAAAACTTTACCCGATACCACCTCTCGTAGCGCCATGGTACAGTGTATACACTAGTATGACAACATGAGAGAGTCTAATGGCTCATTATAAAAAAAAAACAGATTCCTTTAGGAAAATTGGCGTTTATGCCCGGTAAATTAATACACACCAACGAAATACTTGTCTTGTTGGGCGACCAGTATTATGCCGAACGCTCTGCAAAGCAAGCCATTGACATTCTTGGACGTCGTAGAGAAGGTAAATAAGCATATCAAAAGCATGTAGAAAATATCTCACCTCCTTTTCTTTGATTTGACCACAGTTGTACACGAAAACCTTCGACTTGCTGAAGCACAATTAAACAGTTTCAAGCAAAAGACGGGTCCAATTATTGACGCGGGTGTACTTCCTGCCACTTCTGACCCACAAGTAAGAATAAAAAAAAATTCATGCACAGCATTTAAAGATACTTATATATGCTTAGTTGAACGAAGAAGGTTTACCCATCATGGATATTCGTGAAGAGTTACCTTCCGATTACGACGAAAAGGAGAAAGAAAAGAAGCGATTACAAGCAAAAGCCAAGAAGACACCTTCCACTCCCACGAATCAACTTCCTGAATCTGTGCTTCGTGCTAGACAATTAATGAAGGAAGCCGATGAAAAGATCAAGCAACAAAAAAAGGAAAAGGAAGATGAAGAAGATAAAGCTCTCTTTGAGTTGCTGCGCGATTTGGAAGAGGAAGAGGAAGAAGAAGGTGCAGAGGTGCCTATTGTCACTCCCAGTCAAAAGTCGATTGCACAACAAAGTTTAGAGGAAGAAGAAGACGATAGTTCACTCTCTGATGAAGAAGATGATAGATATGATACCGAAATCGCAGAGAACATGTTTGATCGCTTTGCTGATGATGAGGAATATCCGTTGGATGGTGTCGTAGATCAAGAAGATTTCTCTTGTTACGATGAACCAGAACTTCCTCCTCAAATACCAGCTGCTACTATCGAGGAAATTACAGAGGAAGATGAAATTAATGAGAGAAGCACACCCAAATTAATTACCAAACGTAAAACAAAGCCTGTCGAGCAACAACAGGAATCTGTTAAGGAAGAGACACCTGTCAAAGATGAAGCACCCAAGAAAATGTCTAAATTTAAACTTGCTCAATTAGAAAAGAAGAACAGTGTAGAATCTGTTGTAAAGGAGAATGTCACTGTCGAAAGTAGTAAGCAGGCTGTAGAAAAACCAAAGAAATTTTCGAAATTCAAGCTTTTACGTCAACAACAACAAGAACAACCTAGACCTCAAAAGATTGAATCTCCTGTCGAGACCAAAGTAAAAGAAGTGGTGGTCGATACACCTATTGAAATACCACAAGTAGAAGAAGAATATCATCCCGAAGAATCCATAGAGACGATGATGGTCGAACCCAAAAAACCACAGCATTTACCCGTTGAAAACAATGGTATTCCCAAAGTCATTGCCAAACCCAAAAAAATGTCACGATTTAAACTTGCACGACAAAAGAAAGTAGAGCCAGAAAAAGAAGAAGTAATCACACCTGTCAAAGTGGAACGTGTCAAACCAAAGCGAACTGTAACTTGGGATTCCAATACATCTGTGCGTGATCATGATAATACATTGGCTCCCTCAGTCGTCTCTGAAACGGCGAGTTATTCACAACCCATGAAGAGCGATCAAAAGCGACCTCAACAAAAAGTAAGATCTGCCTCAGATATCTTTCGTGTAGTTCAACGTACACAGGATGAAGCTGTGGATGACTATCCTTCGTTGGATGACGACAGTGAGACCAAAGTGGATTTAAATGAATTAATCAAGGTGGCTCGTGAATCTTCAGAAGCCTTCTGGAGACCCAATGATGGTACAGAGGCCCTTATACCTATGGTCAATGGAGAAGAGGATACTGAGGAAGAGGAAGAAGAAGAACCAGAGGGTATCATTGTCGCTAAAAAGAACAAGTTGGATAATAAGATTATGAAGGGTGCTGTCATGGAAAGAGATATGGTGCCTGTGGATTTCGAAGCTGTAGAAGAAGATATGGACATTCGCGAGGTATATATATGCACATTTAGTACACTCCTCGCTACATACTAACATTATATTTATTAGATCACATCGAGCTATCAACAAATGAGACAAAATATGTTGGCTACAACGGGTGGACTTTCCTTTGCTACAAAGCCTGAATTTGAAGTCTTTGATGAAGAATTACCATTGCCAAAGCAAAAGGGTCAAGAGGAAGAAGAGGAAGTGCAACCAGCTCCTAGAAAAATGTCTAGATTTAAAGCTGCTAGATTAGGCATGCAATTAAATGAGGAAGGCGAGTACGAGTAACTCTTGTATTGTCAATAAAGAATAGCATATATTGTTTACAAAAAAGTCCTTTGTAACTTTTAATATTATTACCCAATAAGCAAGTCAAATATTTTGACTGGGAAGCTATTGTACGCGAAATTTGGATCCAGTCCGAAATTTGGGACCACATAGTGTGCGAGAGCTAAAAGAAAATTAAACCTCTTTTTAACTCCTTTTCAGACATGTCAACTAATAATCTGGGAGGTTTACCCTTACCAGCCACAACACTCTCTGGAAAAGGAGGGGGAGGAAGGTATTTTATGAATTCGAGTGGGGTCTTGTTTACAACTATAGCATTATATATAATTGTCTCCATTTCAGCTACATTCATCAACAAATTACTCTTCACCTTTTCTGAATACAAGTTCCCATACCCCTTTTTCACGGTATTTTTCCAGCTAGTTGTCAGTTTTATTTTTTTGACATTCTGGAGCACCTTTCGACCAATGTAAGTTTACACTATATGGAGTAATTCACTTACTAAATATTGGATAACATATAGTCGACGTCCATATGCTCGGATTCCAACCTTCAAATGGGATTCTACAGTTGCGATTCGTGTAGCTCCACTTACGATTGTCTACATGTGTGTCATCATTTTCAATCCTTTATTCTTGCAACATGTCGAAACAACTGCTTATCACTTTTCCCACTCACTCTCTATCGCCTTTTCGATTTTGTTCTCCCAAATCATGCTGAAGGTTGAAACAGCCTCACGTATCAACTCGGCATGTATCATCATTATTTTTGGTGTCTGCATCAGCTCCATGGGCAACCTGAATTTTTCATTGGTCGGAGCATTCTATGCTTTGGCATGGCCATCTGCTGTTGCTATCTATGGTATCTATATCAAGAAGACTTTGGTGTCATTAAGAAACGACTTTTGGTAAGTAGCAAACATGCCATGATAAGAGCTATTTTAACTCAACTGAAACATACAGGGCTGTTATTCAGTACAATACAATCATGTCCATTGCTATTTTTGCGCCGCTTGTTTTGCTATCTGGTGAATTGAACGATATTCTTTCCAATGTGTGGTTTTTAGATGAGTTTGGATTTTGGGTACAAATGGTTCGTGTTCTCATTGTTTGGTTGTCATTGAAATTTGTGTCACTCATTTTATTTTTATATATGAATAGGTTATCACAGCTATGACTGGATTTAGTGTAAATGCAGCCATGGTATTACTACTGATGTATACATCTCCATTATCTGTAGCAGTTGCAAGTACTTCAAAGGTAAGTTCGGGCGATACATTTGTTTGAGAAAGCAGCCCTCTAACGTGATACTTTAGACTATTCTTCAAGCATTTATTGCTGCAGCGTTATTTGGTAATCGATTGACTTTTATGGTAAGTGTCAGAATAAATTAAAAAAATGAACAAACTATTAAAACACACATGAAATAGAACGTGGTCGGTTTGATGATTGCCTTGGCTGGATCTTGTTACTTTACATACTTGAGATCTGCTGATTTAAAACTGTAACTTTTTTATTGAATTTTTTTTTTTAAATTTTTTTTTTTTTTTTACACGCAATACCAAAGGAACGATTTTCATTATGCACTAGATTATTTACTTTTTTTTTTTTATAAGAAAATCCGAAAAAATAAAAAGATATTTTCCTTTTGTGAGTTAGATAGCCAATGAATTGACAATGTTATCCATTTGTTTTTGTCGTGATTCTTGAGTCAGCAATGAATGTTCTGTATTTTCGTCATTATGAAAGCTGTCCTGGATCATTTTTTTCAGGTCGGAGAGGAATTCTTCGTTTTTATCGGGTTCCATAAACAAATGATTCTTTAATGAAAAGATGAGCTTGTCCAATCGGTTGGTTTCGCCATAAGGTAACTTCATGTCAATTTTACTAGTAAATAGAAGCTAGGAGGTTTACTATGTCATGATTTAAGTGTTTCATCATGAATACTTACTGTTCGTATGACTTGTATTCGGAAATAAGGTGTTTGAATATATTTGGAAGTTCCGGTGAGATGGTCTTACATTGAGTGACTTTTTGGTAACATGCAAATGGTAAACCTAAAAAAGATTTGACATGATCAATCTCCGTTTGTTACATCCATGCTCTAAAACTTACGATAACCCTTGTTTGCGCTCCAGCGTTTACTGATGTGAATGAATTGAATCTGAGACTTATCGGGTACCATATTTCTGGAATTATAAGGGGTAATGATGACTCCAATAAATGGCTCCACTCCTGATACATCATCGCGGAATAAATCCTGTGAAAATAAAATGACGAAAATAAAAGTTATGAAACGCGTAATTGATAAACAATTAATATTACCTGATACGAAGTCTGGTTCTCGATGTCTCGAATACTAGGCTCGGGTTCAAAGGTGGGGTGGGAATGGTACCAGCCAACAACCTGCAAACCCTTTTGCTCAAACACATCTCGGGCAGCCATTTCGGAAACAGGGTCCATTTCACACTATTTTTTATCATTATTTTTAGTCAATGATTCAATTGGCTAGATAACCATCAGGTGAATGACCCTACCTGGATGCCGGTACTTGTACTACGACAAGGGAAAACATACTCTACTTTAAGCTGTTGTGATCCATCCTCATTGTGAATTACTCGTCCACCGAGTAAGCCAATAATTTCCGTATATGCAAGATGTGAATGGAATTCCATAACAAGCTGCATCATATGAGTAAGTTTCTTATTTATAAATGAGAAATATATAATTTACCAAGGCATCGCTTGTGACATCGACAGTGAATGGGGCACTTCTTTCATTAGGGTAATATCCGACTGGAACTAATGTAAATGGGTCATTACCATGCCCAGATTCATTTCCGTTCTCATCATAAAACGTTTCAGGTCTTTTTACGACGCGCTTTGGTCGTGATTTGCCATCTACGTGAAGGGCTGTTTAATAAAAACAGAACAAATGCTTCGCCTCTGATCGATTCTCTCCTATTTACCTCCTCTAACCGTGTCATCTCTTCTCTCGAAATCTTCATCTTCATCTACATCGGCCCTAAATCAGGGATAAAAAAAAGTATAAATACATCATAACAAACATACACGGAACTGAAAATAAAAAAGAGATTTGTCTGTGCAACTTACCAAAAGAAGCCTGGCGTTTTCTTGACCTTCTTCTTTCTTGGTGTACTGTAAAAGAAAAAAAAATAAGAATCATCGCGTAGATTGTTTTATCTCTGGAATTTAGATTTACCCGTCATCTCCATATGTGGATGTTCTAGTGTAATTTCTTTTGACGGGACTCGTACAATTGACATTAATAGCATTGATGCTTTCCAAATAAGCATGAATTCGACCTACTGCATTGACATCACCACAGTTAGCCAAGTTTTTTCTTCCTGCTGTCTTTGTCAGATAAGAAGGGCTTGTTTGTTTCCAGCATTGGATAATGTGGTTTCGAATTCGCATATATCTTTCTGGGCTCTTTGCAGATTTTCCTAAAAACCATTCTGTATTTTTGGATCGCTCGTGGTCTGATATCTCCTCTTGATTCAAGTTCTAATATGTTTTTAAGCGTATGAACTCGGGCAAACTTTGGTATATAAAACTTACAAATTCGGTTCCTAAATTCTTGGAGTCTTTGATGTCTGTATCTTGGGCCTCTGTGTTTTCCTCTTTTGTTTCATCAGGTGCATTGTTGGATATTTCGCCAATAACAGGCTCAACAGTGGTAGGCTTAACAGTGACAGGTTCAACAGTGGTAGTCTCGACAGTGGTAGGCTCAACAGTGGTAGGCTCAACAGTGGTAGGCTCAACAGTGACAGGTTCAACAGTGGTGGGTTTAACAATGGGGTTTACAACAATGGCGGGTTCAGCAATGGGAGGAATAACGATCTGAGGAGTCATCAATGCGATTTTTGGGTCGACAGGATTGGTTGCGTTCAATATAGTTTCTGGAAGAACAAGACTAATTTCTTTGATGCTTGGCAAAGTGATATTTGGTGTTGATGTTGTAGATGATAAATCTTCTTTTGTGACGCTATCTACTGCTACTGCCTTCTTGATATTTTTTAGCTTAACAAATATACCCAAAACCCATTTAGAATTACCTTTTGTGTTTGAATCCCGGAATACTTTTGACGAGCACGGTTTTTACATTGTAAAGAATTTCGGGTTTTTACGTGTTCAGAAATAACTTTCCAATGTCCAAATCCATGCAGGCCCTAGGATGAAACATAAAGACATTTTGATCAGTGACAACATTTTTTTTTCTTCTTAAAATTTATCTAATTACTAAAGCAGCTTTCAAGTTAGTGTCTTCCTCTTCAGACCATTTTTGATTGTGAGAAGGGAGACAAGCGGAAGACTCATTTGAAATATGTTCTAGATGAAATTTGTCAAATAAGCATTGTTACACGATATTTTTCCCTTAAACTTTCGAGACACGACTTTTTACCCTTCTTTGACTTTGTTTCTGTGGTACTTTTATGAACAGTCTCGCTAGATTTGGTGGTATTATCTATAATAGAAACATCACCAATGTTAAGTATGGGTAAATTTTGTTGTTGTTGTTGTTGCTCTGTCTGGATACTGTTAATCGCGCCTACGGTGGTAATTTGTGGTACCGCGTCAAAGCCGTAGCAGTACTGCTCTTCCGCGATCATTTGATCAATAAGCTCGTGAGACGAATCTTCCATTTTTTTTTTCTCTCGCAGACTTCTTTTATTCTGATTTAAAAAAGGGATGGATTGCTTTTAATAATAGGGAAAGAAAGGGGGGAGAAAGAAAAAGAACGAGTCGCATTTTTTTTTTTTTTTTTTTTTTTTTTTTTTTTTTTTTTTTTGGCGTAAAAAAAAAAGGAATCGCAGTCAGATATTATTTACTTTAGTACTCTTTTTTCTTTATTTATTTACATTTGTTTTGATATAAATAAACTTTCTATTAGACAATTAAGTAAAAAATAAATATACAGTAGTCCTGATTTACCTTCTTAATCAGACAAGCTTGCAACCGTAATTGTTTAAGCCATTGTATACAATATGCGCCCTTTTTATAAGTGACAAGTTTCCCGTTTTATCTGCAGCATTTTATACGAATCACATGCCGTGCTTATTCTCTGTGGAACGTCATAAACCAGGTTAGACGTGGCTTAACTCTGTACAAACAAACATTGCTCTCACATGAAGTTCAAGTTTGATATAATAGTTTTTTGTCAAGCTATTCCTACTGTATCATAAATCAACTTTCAACTTCATGCAATGCTTTTTTGTTGTTATATTTTGCTTTAGAGTGGGTGATACCTCAAGGGGAGCAATAAACATGATATTCATCTGTTTGTTACACTTGTTTTATGGATGATAACTCGTTATGCGATACAAGGTCTCGTTTGACTTAGCCGTAAATTTCTCGAATAGATTTGCTTTTGTTTGTTCTATTTTCAAAGCCTTAAGTAAATTGGCTGCTACAAATTAGTTTATAAATAAGATGCGTTCTTTCTTTTATTAGTCAATGCTTTTCAGAAATTTAGGACAATGCTCATACATCATTGCTTTTTGGTTTTGTTACTTTGGATATATAGTCCCGTCTCTGCATATTATGGCGACCCATCGAATTCTAATAACGCTCTTCCTCCCATCTCACTCAATGCTTTTGTCTCTTTGGGAAATTCGATTTACAGCTTAGGTGGATCAGTTGTTAATGATAGTGGGACAGAAACAATGGTTGACGTTATGGAGTACACCTTTGATTCAAGTCAGAATGTACAACAGAGAAGGATTCTTTCTAAAAACGCTACGGCATATCGCGACTGTACTAACTGCCAAGGTTATGCTCTTCCTGACAATAAAACGATTGTTGTCGTTGGAGTAAAGTATCCTATTCCTAACTCAGACAATACAAAATTGGGATTGGGATTTTATGATACCCAAACTAACAGTTGGACATATCCTGACATAGGCTATACTGATGCTGTCCCATTTACTCGATACTACTTCTCTTCGGCGATCTCTCCTGAAGGCGATGCCTTATATGTTATCGGGGGTGAAGTTAATGAAACGTACAACACCACTTACAATTTTGGAATTATCAAGTATGATCTCTTGAACAGAACTTCCGTAATTGATATGAGCATTGAGGATCCAGATATGAGGTTAGATGTTGATGGATCTTGTGCAATTATGCTACCGTAAGTAGATATATATTTGGTGAATTGTGGCATTAACTAAATGATACCAATCTATAGTAATGGAAACATAGTTATTGGCCTAGGTATTCATTGGGATGGTGAAGCATATTATAAGCCACATCATATAACTTTGTTTGACACGAAGACCAATAAGATCTATATACAGCCTGTTAGTGGAGCAAAACTCCCTGGTAGAGTAGATTCTTCCTGTGTTTTAGGTAATTTTTTAAATAAACTCATAATCTCCATGTATTAATTGTTGGGAACATACAGGGCCTGATAAAAGTACAATATACTTTTTTGGAGGTATCACAACAATCAACGATTCGGTCTTTGCGTTTTACTAAATAGTTTCCTTTATCTTCAAGGAGGTGATAGAGACAACCACTATAACCCACTGACTGGAAAACTTTACAACGACCTGTTAATTCTGGATACTAAAACCTGGTCATGGATTGATGCACCACCAGCTGGAAAACTACCGTCGTCTTCAAAAAGACCTGGTATGACCAACTTTGGTTCAAATAAAATCATCATATCGCCAGGTAACCACGAACATTTCGATTGCTCTTGGGATAATAACTAATTTATAGTTTTATAGCTAATGCGTTTACATTTACAAGCACGTCTTTATCGGTTGTAATAAATGTCCCTGGTATTGGGGACGATATAAAATCAAGCAACTTACGTTGGTTCACTAATTTTGAGCCTTATGATAATCCCCAGCATAAATCATATCTTTCGGATGGTGGTAAAGCTGGTATAATTGTGGCCGTTTTGGTAGTTGTTACTTTATTATTTACTTTGCTGTGGAAATATGTTCCTGCAACAAGAAGAATAGCGACATATGTGCAGCAAGACATGATTTGGAGTCCGAGGCAATATATTAATGGAAAGTGTAAAATTTGCAGGTCTTAATCTTGTTAACCTTTTTTTTTTTTTAGATCTGGGGAGCCATTATGGGCGGAGACTACACGTCTACTTGTCCGATTCATTTTATTAGTTCTCTTTCTTGCGTTTGTCTCCTATGTTATTTATAGATCAGTGGAAAGCCCTATATCTTCTCAGCGTATCGAAGTAAAGGTAGATTCAGTTCTTGCTCCAGGTAATAAAATTTATCATTTAAACGTTTAAACGCGATCTCTCACATTAGACAGATATTCGCTTTTGTTTTGATGGGTTCCAATCGAACAAAACAAATCCTAAAACTTTAAACCCGTCAGTATCTTGCAACTTTCGGAATGGTACTAGCTGTTCCGAACACATCTATCCTCTTGATAAAAGCCTATATACGCCCGTATATAACGATAATTTTGGAGAGATTTCGTGTTTTCTGTTCTTGCCCAGTCCAGATTTTCGAATAATGAACGATGTTAATGGTTATCTAGATGCCTTAGGGACTAAAGCTGTCTTTACACTGTTTGCGAATCCTATGTATGATAATAACTTAGACTGGGGTGTTGTATACGTCGATTTTTATGCTCCCGGATACGATTATAATGTACATGTGTTTCAGCTTGGTACCACTAAATTTAGCCGTGATGAAATTATGGCATGGCGAATATCCGAACAAGCATCTAATTTGGTTAAAACTACTATTCTTAAACAAGGTGTTAGATCGGCCACATCATATTCTCTTACAAAAGTACAGAAATTGAGAAAGGATGATGGCTGGAATTATATTGGGTTTTCATCAACATATGATGAGTCAATGACCGTCGTAAATAATTATGTAGATCCGCCACAAAATGCTGAAAATATGAATATATCATACCCTTATACTAAACGAATTGCCGAGTTGACTGTTCTACCAGAAGCCTTTATTGAAACAACTATGAAGGAGCAAAAGGTCTTTACTCTCCTGAACGCATTTGCTCAAGTGGGTGGTGTACTTGGGTTGTTTATTGCTGTACAGACACTTCTTTTTGGTTTCCGACCGCAATCACCTTGGGGAATTGTACACAGATGGTCTTTCGGAAATCTTCGTATCCGACTTACAGATAGACTTGCTTACTACTTTAACAGAACAGGAACGCCAGTACCTCTCGTAAACCCTGTCCATAATGACCCAAATTTACACCAATACTTTAGGAACAATGATACGTATATACCGCATGGGCCTGATGTACCTTCTGCCAGTGACGATCAAATTGAAACCACTGTTGTTCAAGAAAACCGGGTTAAACGTGTCGAAGAACGTTTACAGTTGATGGAGCTTCTACTAAAGTCTTATTATTTAAATGACGAGGTTTTCAGATCTTTGGATCAAGCTGTGAAACGTAAGAATGAAGAAAAACGTCGCAGTAGCATGATACAGGTGAATGATCGAGAAACAGACTCAGTACTTGGAAATGATGCCCTAAATGAAGAGTATGGTGGAGATAATAACGGTGTTTCCAATGTGAAAAGAAGACCATCCTCTACAGTTTTTGAAATGCGACAAAGAGGACAATATGAACCCAACTTGACGCCCGAAGCCCCATTAGAATTATATGATGAAGAAAGTGAAATAGGAAAAAGATAAAATATAGTTTTTAAGATGAATCGATCACCCTTATTTAATAAATAAATAATGCTATAAACCATTACAAATTTTCTGTGATTATCTATATAAAAAACATATCGATCTTTAATTATACTAAGCAGGAATGGCAGTACAATCGTCGTTGACATGCTGGATAACTTGAGCTTTTACATAGGAAAATGTCTTTTTACAATCCTGACAGAACCAATAAGTTTTAATGTTGTTTGGTAGGCTGTCTGCTGATTCTGGAATCTTTGATGCACAAGACGGAATGTTTATACTCTCATAATACATGTTTGTAGTAACTTGAATACCGGACCTAACAACTTTTATAATATTTAAAATTTCATTCTCCAGTATTATAAACAGTGCGTACCTTCTTTGGGTTTCCATTCTCTTGGGTACTTATTTTCGTTTTCTGTCCTACTGTCTTCAATATATTTTGGGTACTACCAGTATCCATAAAAAGTTAATACTATTTAAATAGACAAGTTTAAAATGATTACCATTTTTAACAATTCGGATGCTTTAGCAGCCATCAGTTCAGCTGATATAGATGTTTCCATAAAATCCACCAATTTTCCTAATAAACTTGTCAACTCCAATATTCATCGTATGATAAAAATACATATTACTATTTAAAGACTGCATTTGGGCTTGGTATTGTTCTTCGGCTTGAGATGTCCACATGTCAATTGGCTTGTTATTGTTTATCTCATCTGTCTGATCATCTAAAATCTGCTGTATTGCATATGGAAGGCCCATTTTTGTCGAGGGACTAATAATAGAGTTCTCTAAATGACTTTCAAATGTCTAATTATATAATCATAAGTTTAGTAGTTTTTATCAGTATTTTAATTTTTATGAATTACCTTTCCTAGTCCACGACTAATCCGCAGATTCAGTAGCTTATCCCATGTGCTACGTAGTTTGTAAGTTAAGTATAAAATATACTCTGCTACCTGAGTAGTTCGAAATTTGATCATAAAGTACGAGTCAACCACTAGAACACTGCAATCCGTGTTTGTATCGACTAGAATTGTTTAGCTTGTTGGGATGATAGGTATGTATCATGGGGTGTTACTTACTGACTTTGCCAAATAGCAATAGCACATGAATGCCTAAACAGTGACGTTGAGTACCTTTTAGAAAATAAACAATAAATGCAAGACCTACCAGGTACACGGGTGATATTTACGATAAACGGTTTAGTAGTTTCTAAAAGCTGTAGGTAACATAAAAGCTGATGATATAACGCCGCTTCTACAGTCTTGTCATCTATTGTCAATTTATTCAGTAGCTGTTACATTAGTTATTCCCACCAATTTTATTTTTTTATTTTTTTACCTTTTCTGATATGTTCTTCGAGGCCTTGAACCCACTCTGGGTGGGATGCAATGACACTACTAGGGTGGAGCGATAAAAAGTTTTTGGCTGTAGATGAATTAGTCGCTTTCAAATATATAAGAGTATTGTTCTGCATATTTTACTAGGGGTATTAAACACAATTTCATTGCTCTTTCTATACGCGTTATGCTCATCTCCTATTGCTAATTGCGGATACAATGAAGAGCATATGACCAGTTTGACAAGTTCAATTTCTTTATTAGAAAGCGACGCGGATCTTGATTGGAGAGCTTTCACATTATTCATTAATGTGAACTCCAAATCACGAATATCTTTTTTGTCAGTTTCCTTATCGACTATTAATTTCATTAATACCAATTAAAAATCATATCGGAAGTTCATTACGTTCAAATGTATCCTCCTTGGAGTAATCAATTATCTCTAGAACACGTCTTCTCTTATTAGATTTTTGATCGTATCTTTCTCTGCGTAACTTTTCTTGAGCCGCATAACGTGATTTAGGATCAGCCTGTTTATAATTTAGTATGTTGGTCAAAAAAATAATATTGTTGTAAATTTACCTGTGCCTCTTTATCATAATCGTCTTCATTAAGTGCGGAAAGAGACTGTAATAACCCTGGTTGAAAATCGTTCAATACCTTTTCAAACTGTTTTTTCATCTTGGCGATCTGTTTATTTACAAAAAACTTAATGCACATTCATATCGGTTACTTTGTCTATTACGTTTCCTACCTCGTAAAGCCTCTGTTCTTCGACACCATTTTGTCTACACCATTTCCGAGAAGAAGTCTATTGTGGGGATTATTGATTTGGAACACAATAAGAATATTAACAAAGAGCTTACCTTGCTATCGGCTTTAGCGGTAAGCCAACCCTGCCACAAGTTTAATAATGTGAATGGGTCTCCGTGAATCGAATCAAACTGGCTTCGACTCTAGATGATTTAAATCAATTATATATCAAGCAGTGTTTGTGCCGTGTTAAGTACGTACCTTTAATACCTCTGGATTAGTGTTATATGTAACACGGGTGAAAGGTGATTGTACGCTCATGCCAGCAGCGATGGTAATGACTGGATCCACGATATTAAACACCTACATAAAACGTAAATATATTTTTGTTTAGAAGTTGTAAACGGATACTTTACGACTCCCATAATAAGCATTTTTCCCACTATAGAATCTACAGGAAGCTCTGCTAGAACAGATCCCAACCCAAGTAAATTTTCGTTTGAATCTATAGCTCCAAGATTATGTAAAAAATCCATTGATGCATTAATAAAATCCATTGAAGGCATCTATATCCCGTGTTAGCGTCATACTAACATAATATAAAATAGTATTATAAAACAAAGTACCTCGATATAGTCGAACTGGCGAGGATTTCCCAAATCCATGGATTTGATTTGTAGTAAAAGAGGCTCAAGAGGAGCTCGCTGAATTTCCGGGATCGCGAAATCATGGAAATGATTGAATTCATTTTCAGAGTACAATCTAAAACACTCACCGGGTCCTGTACGTCCTGCACGACCAGTTCTTTGTTTAGCACTAGCTTTTGAGATCCAGAATTCTGATAGGCGACTCATTTTAGATGCTGGATCGTGATTCATTTCCTTGACTTTTCCTAAAAACAAGAATTATGAGTACGACAAAAAAAATATGAGTTATGATGATTACCTGAATCTACGATAAAACGAATGCCGTCGATAGTAAGACTAGTCTCGGCACTTTAAAAGTTGTGATATGTGAGTAGTAAGTAAGAAGGTATTTAATGACCACTTACATATTAGAACTGATAATGCATTTACGAAATCCTTCTGGTGGTGAGTCAAATACTTTTTCTTGATCCTCCACTGCAAGAGATGAATGAAGCATAAGAATGATCCATTTTCTGAAGCAAAACAAATAAGTTATCAGATTAATGCAAACACAAAGTTATACTTTTCTTGTTACTTTGATTCTTGGGCATACACCGCTAGTTCTTCGGCGAGGTTTGAAATCTTGATTTGAATAAATAAATATGCAGCGTTAAAGAGAACAACATTATACTTACCTCATTAATTCCCGACATAAATATGAGTAAATCTCCACGTTCGTCTATCGGAACAGATTGATCTATGTAATTCAGCACCTTGACATAGGGTGCTGAAAGTATAGCCGGTTAATAACATAAGCCATGTGAATTATTTAAAAGTTGATTTACCTGCGTTGAAAGGTTGGGAACGGCTAGGTATAGATTTCTGATAGCAGAGTGGTTAATACTTGACACTCAAAGTTTTAAAAATTAAACTACATTACCTTAATTGCTTCAGACTGTCGTTTTTGGTGGGCAGCTGCATCTACCAAATTTTTATCATCATCGCCTTGAGGCCAATAATGTGTTTTGACACTAAACATTTTTCCGGGTATCTATTACGTTAATGAAGTCAGTACGACATAAAATATAAATTATGGGGGGGGGTCAATATACTATAAGCGTTGGCGCGTCAAAGTATTGCGCAAAAAGTTCTGCATTGATAGTAGCACTCATCAAAACAATATGTAAATCCTTTCTTTCTGCTAACGTCTTTTTTAGCAGTGCCAGAAGAAAATCGCCTAATAATATTCAAAGTTCTGTCAGTCTCTTGTTTTCGAACAACAAAGCAGCACTTTACCCATCATATGACGTTCATGAACTTCATCGACAACTATAACATCGTACATAGATAACATGTTGTCGGAGGAATATTGTCGTAGTAATAATCCCTCTGTCAAAAACAGTACGCGTGTTCGATTTGTTTTATTTCCTTCAAATCTAACTTGGTAAGCAACCTGTGAGCCGTACTCATTTAAAGTTTCATAGCTAAGTTTGCATTAGAATAAGCTTTTCAGGTCAAGATATAAATCTTACCTAACACGCCTTGCGAGAGACGAACATGCAATTCGGCGAGGTTGAGTACATGCTATTTTATTGAATCCTGCCTTCATTAATATTTGGGGCACTTTAAAACAGTCATTTAATTACGTGTAACAGAAAACATAGTATTTAACGTAGCCTACCTTGTGTACTTTTACCACATCCTGTATCTCCTGCAATTAGCAGAACTCTATGCTTGCGTAGCGTGTGTACAATGGTATCAGCAAACGGTGTAACAGGTAATACAGCTCGGTTTTCTTCAATCTTTGTTTTCATGCTCGCTGTTTTTTTTGCCTGAAAATCTTGGAATAATATCAATGCATGTCGTAGCATCTCTCCTTCCTGGGATACTTTATTCATGCGACCAGAATCCCGGCGTTTATCATTTGATTTTTTCTTGTAAATACTGTCCCTTAATTTTGTATAGAACCCTATTATACAATTCAGCATGTATCAGGATTAGATATATATGAAAAGCTACCTTCAAATTCGTAATATATGGGCGATCCTGTCGGGATGAGCCAGGAAGCCATGCCTCTTTTCCTTCGGGAAAAGAATAGGTCGTCGCTTTCTTCAGTCCAAGGCCTGTTTGATTCGTAATCGTAAAAGCTCGAAGCATCACTGTCTTTTTGTGCTTTTATGTATTGCTGTGCGTCCTTCATGGCCTGTTTGTATTTGTCCTGATTGCTGACCTATTAACGTAATGTCAGTATATAAGCAATTGTGGTATGTGCAGACCTACAATTTCCTTTAGATCCCAACGTTTTTTTCTAAACGCCTCTTCGTTCCTGATTAGCGTACCATCAACATCGTACTTTTCCTCTGGTACGTATTGCCTTCGGGTACCTCGATTGGGTTTATGAGAACTCATTATCGTTTCCTTTTACTTCAAAAAGTGGTGGCAATAACCACATAGTAACTATGTCCGGCCCGGACTAGGAACGATATTAGCTATTGTTACCGGAGTTTTTTGCATATTGAAAGAACGAGAGGGAGGAAAGGTATATGGCATCAGCATCAATGGGCACGACATAGAACCTCCTCTCTTTTTTGTACTTTGTACTTGGTGAGTGACATATAAATCATGGAATTGTGTTATGAAATGGATTGGTTTTTAGATAGATGAATGGATATATTTCTGAAAGAGATGGATGAACACCCATTTATTTCTATTTAAAAATTCGACATTTCCCTGCCTACGAATTCAAATGAACTTACACAAATTGCTTTGCTAGGAATTCAACCATGGGTCGTCGTCCCGCTCGTTGTTATCGTTATTGTAAGAACAAGCCTTACCCCAAGTCTAGATACTGTCGTGGTGTTCCCGATGCCAAGCTCAGAATCTACGATTTAGGTCGTAAGAAGGCTTCAGTTGATGATTTCCCTCTCTGTATCCATTTGGTCTCCAACGAATACGAACAACTTTCTGCCGAAGCTCTTGAAGCTGGTCGTATTTGTGCTAACAAGTATATGGCCAAGACCTCCGGTAAGGATTCTTTCCACATGCGTATTCGTGTCCACCCTTACCATGTCACCCGTATCAACAAAATGTTGTCTTGTGCTGGTGCTGATAGATTGCAAACTGGTATGCGTGGTGCTTTCGGTAAGCCTAACGGTCTTGTCGCTCGTGTCAACATTGGTCAAATCATTTTCTCTGTTCGTACCAAGGACTCCAACAAGGCTGTCGTTATTGAAGCCTTGAGACGTTGTAAGTACAAGTTCCCCGGTCAACAAAAGATCATTCTTTCCAAGAAGTGGGGTTTCACTCCTCTTGCCCGTGCTGACTTCGTTGAAGCTCGTGCTGCTGGTTTGATCAGACCTGATGGTTGTTACGTCAAGTTCATCCCTCAAAAGGGTACTCTTAAGAACTACTTCAAGGAAGCCTCTTTGGTCTAAATATCTCTTTTTAAAGTGTATTACAGTGGAATTCCAAATAAAAAGTAATTTATAAAAAATATGTCATGATTTGCATTCGTGTAACAAAGAGTTTATTTATACATATTTCATGTATTTCCAATTACTTTTCCCTTTTTCCTTTTTTATATAAACTAATGGAACAGACTGAAAGATGGTCAAAAAGACCTCAAAGCACAATTTCTCAACGTAACGTCGACAAGGAGCTTCAGCGTATCAAAAGTCTAGCTGTTGTATCTGTTCTCAATAAAAACTTTAATAAAGAAACTGGTGCCCCTTCAAGGAACTCGATACTTGGACCTGTACTTTCCCCTTCATCCTCTATAACAACAGACAGTGATTCACATGGGGATTCATCTACCCGAAATAGATCCTTGTCAAACTCGTATAGCACCCCGACTAATAGCTACCCCTTAAAAAAAAGTAGTAGCGCAAGTCTATGTAATGAATTTCAACAAAATATACCATCATCAAGAAGATCTGATGTTCAGATGTCGGTGACAACTGAGCAAGATTCTCTTAATAACGAAAATGCTATAATGGCGGAGAAAGAATCAAATGAGAGTCCCCTCGTGATGGCCTCGCCAATAGATACCGAAAAGGAAACTTTAAAGAAGCGTGTACATGAGCTGCAAGAGCTTTATGATGCATCGATAGAAGGACTACAGGAAGCAGACGCTCGAAATAGTGCGCAGAGAGAGCTTGTGATTATTCAAGATAAACTGATCCAGAGTATGTCAACTGAACTAAACTGCCTTTCTGAAGAGACAAATGCATCAAAAGCATCTAATACCCAAGCCAGTCTACTTGATACAGAAGAAGAAAAGCAAGCGTTGTATACCGCTCAAGAAGAATTACAATCGGTTAGAAGCGAGCTGGAAGAATTTAAATCATTAAAATCCCACTATGAAGTGATAACATCACAGATGGTGCAGCAAATATCAGCGCATAATACCCGGATGGACGAACTGGAAGCTATAGCAATACAAATACAGAAAGAAAATGCAACACAAGTTGAATACATCGATACTAAAGTCCAGGCACTGGTTAATAAATTACTAGAGGCTAACGGAACCATCAATAAACTTCAAGTAGAGCATATCCAAGAGAAGCAAGCTTTATCAAAGATTGACCATGTCAATAACAACAGTAGCATAAAGAGTTTAAATGATTCATCGAGTGTGATCTGGGAGACTTTCGAAGAAAACGATGAACCTATTTCGGCCCGTTCATCTTACATCTCTACGTCTTCTCGTAATGAAAACGGCAAACACAAATCATTGTTAGCACGCTGGAAAGGAAATTCCATACCACCCGCCTCACCACCCCCATCGCTTCCTCTTCCGCCTATTCCCAGCACCTCATCCCGAAGTAATAGACCGAAATCAACCTTATCAGAAATCTACTCTACTAGCTCCAGTATCACACATCAGAATAAGCATTTGTCATTGGATGCATTTGGAGGTGGTGCAAGAAGACCCTCTGTTCATTCAGAATTAAATGAGCAAATGACAGATGCTGCATATTATAAGGAATTTACTGATCAGTTACAGCAGAGATTATCAATTTCTAAAGAGATTGATGATCTTCGAGTTTGGGAACCCAGTGACTATGACGACATTCAGAAAAAAATTGACTCAAAAGGCTGGTCTGGCAGTGAAGATGGTAATAGTCAAAAGGATCAGAGTGCTTTTTGGAAAGGCATGAAAAAGAAGCTTAGGGTGTAACAGACTTATAATAATAAATATAAAGTTTTTATTCAGATCGGAGTAAGATATAGTAGTAACGGTCATTGGATTGTTAATTTATAAAGCTTGTACTAAAACTCTTCGTATGGCTTTACTTCTTATTTGTGAGTGATAACTAATCCTTCCTCGACAGTATCTATCAAGGCAATTCCGGTTTGTTTTCTTGTTGGGCTAGAAATTGTGATGAAATTAGTGATAAAACGGGTACCAAGACGCCATCTATTCACTGGCGTGATATCAGTTCTCGAGATTGAGAAGATAGCAGAGCAAAGTTCTTCATCTTCACCTTCTATAATTGTCCAAGAAATTGCAGGAATAGTGACGGCGTACTTTGAAAATGATATCTTTAAATTCTTAGCATCACAGCATTTAAATAACCATCTATCCACGCTCTTGTGATAAGTAGCCTTAAGACCTTCATGTATCTTTTGAAAATCTTTCTGGGGCATTTCTATATTCTGAACAGTTGTATCGAACTCGGCTATTGTATTTTTAAATTTAAGATCTACAGCATCATCAATTGTTACACATGTAAGGTCAGTTTTCCAGAAAGGTGAATTGCCGTATTCGCAAGTGGGATACTCAAGCCAAAAAATCTCTTGAGACACGCTATCAGTATCAAAATCGAGAGAAAAGCCGCATGTACCGGAACCAGCGCTTCTTTTCCTAAAAGCGTCATCATTATGATTTGATTGTCGTCTTTGTCCTGGGTTATCGCCCTCCGTAGCTCTATCATTATTATAAGTAGGAAGTTTTTCTTGTCTTTTATTGAGAGTACTGGTAGTTTGATTTACGGAAGAGGCTAAACCGAGTACGCCAGCTATAAAAAAGATGTAAGTAATAGTTTATCAAAACGTTATAATGTTACTGACCGAAATTAGCCATGGGCGGAAACCCTTGAACATCAAAAGCTTTTCCAAACGTTGCGTTTTCGTAGATGACGCTACCAAAATCGATTGTATCCTATGGAAAGAAAATGAGAATTCGAAATGATATTTATATATTATTTCCAGACACCTATGGTATACCTTGTATATATCACCAGTGACGATTTCTCCGTCACCTAGATCGAATGTTCTTCTTTGGTGGAGATTGACAGAAGTGGATGATTGTCCAGCGTTATACAAAGGATCTGACTGATTTTCGCAGAATTCGGAATGGCACTTTATATTGACTGATGTTAATAAATGGGGACCAATTTATAGGTTATTAAATATCGCTTACCATAACACCAGCTACAAAAGTGTTATCGAACGTAGTGTCAAGAAGTAAATTTACGGATTGGCCAGGTGTACCTAAAGAAGAAAGTAATGCAGCTTAATAAACGAGATATCGTATTAAATTGTCTTATTTACCTAGCTCAACCGGAACTACCCACTACATGTTTCAAAAGATATGTAATTAGAGAAATATTATTAACATAAGTATGAGCACTTTATATTTACATTGGGTATACTCTCATTGCAATCAAAAGGTATCATGTTAGAGCTGGTAATACGTCCTGGCTCTGCATAAGCCCTCTTGAAATGAGCTGGTGATGCCTTAGCCAAAGGTAGGAGAGCAGCTAAAATCAAGACGCTGGAAGAAGCAATTGACCTCATCAGAAAAAGTATTTTGAATTTAATTTATGGTGTATAAAAACCCTTTTGACAAAACAATTCTGTCTTTATATAAAAGAAATTGAACCTTTCCGAGTTCGAGAACGGGGTCCATACCCAAGAGGCACCTTGCGCTGGCGAAGTTTTTCTAGACTAAGCCGTTATATTCTATAAACAAACCTAAAATTTATTTTTAATCGATTGGCTTGACAATGTTATTGTATTCATGGGGAGCAGCTGATGGATGACGATTGAGGTATTTTTAACTCCTTTCATGTTTTTAACACAGAGGATTTATATAAATATAGTGGTTTATTTATATTTACAAAAAGCATAATAACAACACTGTTTCTAACGTTAATTTCACCAAATGCTTCAATTGTCAGCTGCACAAAAAAGAAGCGTTTATATTACCAGGAAATTACATCTGTATAGCATTTCTCTTTTTAGTGTGTGTCACACTGTGTGCTTAATTCCGGATATCGCAAAAAAGAAACAAAAACGGCCGATGGTCTTATACTGTGTGCTATGTAGCACATCATCTTTCAACAATACCGGTGTGTACAATAAATATAAAAACAGCATGCATAAAAACTTGTATTCTACACATATTATTTATTTGTAAGGATATGTATGCAATCTAACTTTTTTTTTTTACAATAAGAAAAAAAGAGAGGGACGTCAACAGAATTAGTATTATATGTGTCGTTATACAAGTTAACTGAAAGGAGAGGCCATTTTCTTCTTGCTAATATTATAAAGCTCTTATTATCGGATTTTGCCAAGTGACACATATACAAAAATGACAACAAACAAAGCTTGAGAAGTTTTTACGTCACAAACAAGATTCCATTGTATTACAGAAAGAAATGTTTATTCCAAATAAGATCTTACTTTTTATTCAAATGATACTACATTATTATTTTGAAGAAGGGGTGCAATTGTATACTCCTTGATTACAAGGAAGCACGTACATGTATATATATATAAAAAAAAAAGACAGAGAGCAAGGCAGAGAGATCAAAAATTTCAAAACCTTTATGCACATCATGTATAATTTAAGATATAAAGAAGAAAATATTATATGTATTAAATAAGTAACGATTACATAGTTGTTGGGAAAATGATCAAGAGAAAATGAGTCGTTTTTCATGTTTCGGATCCCTTTTTTGAACAACAAAAAAGAAGAAACAAACCATGTGTAACGAAAGAAAAAAGAAGGAGAAGAATGGGAAGAAAATAAGACTGTAAAGGTGAAAAAGAAAAAGAAAAAAGGACAATAATAATATTATTCAAAAGCTATACTATTACTATTATACTTTTTTTTTTGTCGGTTGAAAATCAAAGAAGAGAGTGAACAAAATAAAATAAAAAAAAGGGTATTATTATCATTAGAAATGTCATTTTTTTGTTGTTGTTGGTATTGTTTGTAAATATTTTTTTTTCCATTCTCTTTTGATATCAATTAGCCAGATGATTAGATTAGAATAGTATATAAGCAGCAAAAGAGCCTACTACAAAGAGAACTCCTTGACTAACTGCCAAAGCAGAAGCAGCCGAGTGTGTATTTGTAGGGGTTGTTGTTGCAGTAGAAGCGGAGGTTGCGACAATGCTGGTTTGAACAATTGGTGTGGAGGTAGAAGCAATAGTACTTGTCCATGGAGCAATTGATCTAATGTAGTCTCTTTAGTATATGTTACACTATCTGTGGATCTGTTATTATTTATTCTTACACGTTGGCACCAGGCATTGAACAAAGGCTTGAAACTAATCCTTCTTGTCTAGGGAAACCTTCATCATTGGGACAGTTATTCCAACAAGTCAATTTCTCCTTATTCCACTATTAAAAGAATTGGGTGAGTTAAATTTAAAAGATATAATTTTTTTTTCTGGGAAAAAAAAGGGGAATACTTTACTCTACATAAACATGCAAAATCTAATAAAGAAAAGCAGTAAATATTGTGTTACATATATATTTTGATCTAGAAAAAAAAAATTATATACCTTGTTCCTGACAGGTCTTAATGTAATTATCTTCATTATGCAAACATAATTCGAAACTATTGTATTCTTGTTAGTAAAGTATAAATCTCGCTATTTCACATTCTCACTTACGTGCTTTGAACAGCACAAGCAGAAACTGCAGATGGAGTAGGAATGACCACAGAAGCAGTAGTGGGAGCAGCAACAGCAACAGGAGGAAGCGAAGAAGCGTTATTAATAACTTGAGCTGATACAGAAGCGACTAAAGCTGCGATGAATCCTAAAACTGCGAATTTCATTTTTTTATTTATTTATTATATATGTAAAGTGTAGAGAAAGAGAGAGTAAAAGGTTAAAGAAAGGGAGCAAAAAAAAGAAAAAAAAGACAACGGTAGTTTATAAGGATTAAATATAATAAAGGGGAAGGAAACAGTGTGCAAGGGGGTTCTGAATTAGAGGGGAAAAGAAGCTCTATTTACTCGTTTGCATGTCAGATCTTCTATTTTGCTTCTACCTGTTATAGAGTAGCAATAGAATATCACTCGTTACTATAATTATAATTGCATAATACATGGATAAAATATAAATCGAATAAAACAAAATTATCATTCAGTAATTTATGATGAACTCCTTTAATTGAAAATGTATATATATATATTTTATTATTAACATCTTGTCTTGAACAATTATCTGTTGATTTAAACTACAATTTAGCTTTCTTGGCTGCCTTTCTCTTAGCTGCTTCCTCTATACTCATTTTATTAGTGGTGATATCATGTTTGTCGTTCTTTTAAACTTACCCACAAAACGCATGATGCTCTCGAGAGAATCACTGCTGCCCATACGCTCTCCCAGCATTCTCATTTCCTCTTGGTTAATCTTTTCGAGCAATTCACGGTCGATGTTTCTGATCAAATCCTTAGTCACCTTTAATGCATCAGTCGAGAGTTTGGCTGCATCTCCAGCTATCTCAAGAATTTGCTCACGGAAAGTTTCTGTAGGAAGTGTTCTACTAACAAACCCACAGTCAACCATCTCACTGGAGCTAAAAGTTCTACCCAATAACTGTTGCACATAAATTTAGAACGCTTCTCTTATTTCGACTCTAAAGTTCACTTACCAGCATCTCATTAGCTCTAGATTGTCCCATGATTCTGTAATAATTTTTTTATTATTATTATTGTTAATTGCGCCATTCCTATACTTGACAACTATTTCAGTGGCTTACCTTGGAAACAAGTACGAAGAACAACCTTCAGCGCAGAAAGCTAAGCATAGTAGACAAGTTAAAATCAGGAACGCAGCTAGTTTAAGTTGCAGTATATATTACCAAGCTTCATAAAAGGAGTATTAAAAGTAGCTTCAGACACACAGTAGACAATGTCACATAATGCGAGAGTGGTGGTGCCGAAACCAATAGCAGGACCTTTTTGTTTTGAATGTATGAGTATGAGAACTGACTCCCCCTTTCAAAATCTATTTTTAAACTCAATTTTTTTTTTTTTTACCGTTGACAGCCGCGATTAAGAGCTTGGGGAAGGCAATCATTGCAGAGACAACATCGCTTTGAGAATAAAATTTAGGCAACGTATCACTTTTGTGCTTTGTATAAACTCACGTTGTTGTCTTTCTTCTGCGTTCCATTTCTTCTTCAACGTTTTCCATGTTCATGTCAGGAAGTTCTAATTCCTGACCTGAACAGTAAAACTTACCTCTTCCTGTCAAGACAACTACCTTTACATCCTCACACTTGGCTGCCCATTGGAAAGCGGATAACCAATCCTGGGAATAAACATTATTAATACGTGTTTTTGGTGATTACCCGATTTGTTTGTATTACTCTGTATGATTGTGGGGAAAGAGCATTGTATCGTTTAGGTCTGTTATGAGAAATTTCAGCAACTCCATTGGGAAAGAGAGTGATTTCGATAGTTTCGAGTTTAGGTACAGAAGACATTTTTTTAGGCGTTGTGATATATGTGGGAAAAGAAAGGAAATAATAAAAACCTGTTTGGTCTTTTATAGACAAAGTTTAATTCACAGTCCCCCCCAACACAATAACGCATTGCACGTGAAAACTCTAAAATAATGACCAAGGTTTAATGTGCCAAACAAATACATAAATTTTTTATTATTGCAAAGCAAAGTGTCATACACTTTAACGGTAACGACGGAGAGAAAGAGTGTTGCGACGCTTCCAAGTGGCACGACGACCGGAACCCTTGGTGTTGTTGAAACGATGACCCTTACCGTGACCACGAGACTTACGACCGATGGCAGTAAGACCACGGGCTTCACGACGCTTGTGGACGGGGTTGGCGATCCAGTTGATGTGAGCATCACGACGGATAGCCTTGTGAGAAGGATCGACGAGGATAACTTCGAAGTACTTGTAGGTAGCATCTTGGTTGACCCAGTAAGAGTTCAAAACACGGAGGTTAGCACACTTACGACCGATACGTTCCTCAGCGGTGGAACGGAGAGAACGTTGGTACTTGAGTTGGTTAACACCCTCATTGACGGGCTTACCGAAGGTAGCACCCTTGTGAACAGGTCTCTTACGACCACCACGACGGACACGGATACGGTAGATAACGAAACCTTGCTTGGCCTTGTAACCTAAACGACGAGCCTTATCGGGACGAGAAGGACGAGAGGCACGGTGAATGACACTCAATTGTCTGAATTCCCAACAACGGACACGGAGCAAGAAACGAGAGACATCAGATTGCTTCTTTCTAGCAAGCTCTTCCAAATATTTGTAGGCACCCATTGTGAATCTATTACACACAAAGTTAGATTTCTGACATGTAAAAAAATCTTGGACCCTCTCTCTCTATGTTCTCTTCTTTTTTTTTTTTCGTCATCATCCATCGTTGATGTTCGTACATTTTTTAATCTAAACCATCCGCCTTTCACTTTTGAAAATAAAAAAAAAATATCCAGTGGATGCACTATAATTACCTTTGAAAGGGAAAAAGGAAGGATGCTTAGTTTACACGGAATTGCATCTAGTGTATGCTTCTCCCACAGCTCACATCCCCGTTGCTGGCCCCGCAAAAATCAAATGGAGACGTTGTCCGGTCCGGACACAGCAAAAGTCGGCTTTTTAAAAATCGCTCGTATATGTTAAAGGTGTTTGCATTGCTGTCCACCAAAAATCATCACCTTGCAAGATAAAGTGATAATTGAGCATGACGCCACCCAGCTGAATTATGCTTAAACTAGTTCCCGTTAAAACGGGTTTTGACTTCATATTTTAAAAGTTCCAGAAAACCAGATTTAATGACAGTAATCACAGCACTCTGTATACCTCTGTGACTTGAAGGTAACGTTGTTAGGCGTTTATTAACTCAATGCATAGTGTTTATTACCTACATATCATATAGATGTATGCAGTAAAGACATACAAGCTTGAAAGAAACGTGTTAATGCGACTTTTTTTAAAAATTTTCGTTTTAGTAGCAAACTTTATATACAACATATATGACAAGTTTGCACACTCGACGCATTAATCTCACAAGTCCAATATATGTGATCAATTGAATAAATCAGTACAGATAGATTAAAAGGTATCAGATGAGTGAGGTACATAAAGATTGATCTTTTTTTAAATTTATCCAAGAAATTTCAAACACTCCTTATTTTTGCAACTTTGTTTCTCATCTCAATCCATATTTTTTCCTCCACTGTAATGTCTAAATTCGAGGAATTACCACGAGAGATCATTTCATTGTTCTGCAGTTTACTAAAGCAACCTGCCAAGTATAACTGTATATTTGTTAATAAAGAGTTTCACGCCGCAGCGATTCCTGAATTATGGCGAGAACCAGTGTTAACATCAACAAGTACCGTAAAGCAACTATTGAAATGTCTAAAATTGTCAAAGCACCAACGAGGAGAATACATTCGAGTGATTAAACTTGGATTCAAAGTAGTCATGAATGATGGGGAACTATTAAGTTTGATGCCCTTGATGCCCAATCTAGAAGTGTTGGAATTAAGAAGAGCTGACGAACTTACAGATAAGAGTATTATGCGCGTTTCTCACTACTGTCCACAATTGAAAAGTTTTGGGCTGAAGGGTGCTATGGTGACGTATCGATCAGCCCATTATTTAGGTCAATGTCAGAAACTAACAAGACTATCGCTGGAATCGTGTCCAAACTTGACACCTTGGGCACTTTTGCCGTTTGCTCAATTGCATATTGAATATCTTGACCTGTCTGGTTGTAAATGGCTAAATGTTACAGAAACAGCTTATGACTTATGCTCTTTCGAACATCTGACAAACCTCAATTTGGTTTGTTGTGACACCATTTCCATGGACTTTATCAATCACTTAACAGCAAATGATCGCCATCATGGTAATCCGTGCCTGACAAAGTTGCAAGATTTCTCGATTACAGGTGGTACGATTATCGAGGATAGTGTGATTATCCCATTTATAAAGACCCATCCCAATATTCGAGGCTTGTTTTTATTGGAGTGTGCTATTACGGATAGAACACTAGATGCAATTTCAAGATATTTGCCATATTTATACAACTTGGACGTTTCTTTTTGTGGAAAGCTTACACAAAGAGGTGTACGAAAGCTTGTGTGTAAATGTCCCAATTTAAGATTGCTTGGTCTGAAGGACTGTGGTATGACCCAAACTGATTTTCCAGAAATTCCCAGTTCTGTGTTCCCCGCCAACACCAAAAATTATCCTCACATAAATACATTGAGTTATGATGCATTAGAACATATTCGGGATCGGTCTCATGATCAACAACAGGAGCAAGAAAATATGGAGGATGCTGAAATGACAGACAGTGTCGGTAGAGCGATAACTGATGACAGTGTAACAGAAAGCTACAATTATATCCAACAATACTTAAATGCTGGTTGAACAGAAAAAAAAAGTACACCTTCTATTTCTTGTACATTATAATGTCTTTTTTTTTTCTTGCATAAATGTTAATAAAAAAATGAATTTTTCACAACTACCTTGATTTCATTTTCGTGGTTAATCTTACTGTCTATTTATGAATACTTACCTGGTCAATTACTTTAGTCCATGGAGTGTATGGAGTAACGATACTGTTCTAAGTGCTGGCAGTTTCATTGGCATTGTAACTCCTCCCCTCTGTAACACTGGGAACAGCTACAATCGTCACACTTGTTGTCTCACTGGTTATTTCATAACTTTACGTAGTAGGCCAGATAATTTGCATTATGTTTTAAGGTGTGCGTTCTTTAGCAATGATAATTACTTACCACCCAATAAGGGTTTTTTTTGCTTCATACACGCTCTTTTTGACGCACATCTAATCCTCCCTATACAAGGCATTATTTGGGAAGATGCAAATTCAACGTCAGTTTATAAATAAGATTTGCCATTTCCAAATATCTGATTAATAACCATAATCATCAAGGAAGAAGGGTATTGCTAGATGTATTGATCAATAATATTAAAATCACGAACTGATATTTTTCTGCTGTTAGACTTCTTTAAAGAATATCTATCGTATCTATAGACCATTTATATAGGATTTCCTTTTATTAGCTCGCCATCTTTAAAGGTGTTACGTTTACGCGTGACCCCCATTGATTTTATTTGCACTGTTAACATCTGTGTAAATTGAGTTTTTAAGGACAGTATTACCTGTTTTTGCAGAGTAAATATCTGATTAAAGAAAGGAAAAAGGGAAAAAAAAACTAGTAAATCATAAATTTGCTTATTTATATAAATAATGACTGGCATTTACCATAATACTTGATGATTCATCTAGTAGATCGAATTTAACTTCTTTTTGAAAAAAAAAAATTAACATGGTTAGAACCAGAGAATGATGCAATATGCTTAATTTTTTCCCGCACCATTAAATCTCTTGAGACTGACACTTTCCTATACCAAAAAAATATTTACCTGATACACCAAAAATTTAAACGCCACTGCTTTGATAATTGTTTTAAGGCCCGTGTCTGTACCTCCTTCCAAACTGAGGTAGTTTCCTTTTTTTTTTATTATTATATTCACGAGATCGCGGCCCCAGCCCACTTCGGTAATTTTTTGACCTTCGCTTCGCTACGGTAAAAATAACCTACGTTCATGCTGGGGGCGATCTCGCGCCTGCAGCGGGCCACCGACGCCACTCAATGTTTATAAATGGGACAAAAATAGATTTTATTGATAATGAATATTTTATGTTTAATTTTGTATTCGAGTTAGTACTTCAGTAAATACAACGTTGTCTGTGAGTCTTGAAAATGACTGCCCTTTCAGTAACATTACTTTGAGATTAGCAGGATTACGGACCCGTGATAAAGCAACATAAAGTTGACCGTGCGTGAAAACGGGTATGATCAGACAATTGGTGCAAAAGAAAGAGTTTGGCCTTGGTCGGAACTTACAGCCCCTCCCAGCTCACTCAATGCTAATCAATTTTTTTCACTCAATGTTTTATGTACTGTGTTGGTCGGGACTTACAGCCCCTCCCAGCTCATTCAATGCTAATCATTATTTTTTTCACTCAATGTTTTATGTACTATGTAGGTTGGGACTTACAGCCCCTCCCAGATCACTCAATGCTAATCAATTTTTTTCATTCAATGTTTTGTGTACTGTGTTGGTCGGGACTTACAGCCCCTCCCAGCTCAGTAGGTGTTTATTATACTCATACATGTCTGTTGCTTCGACCTGCGCTTCGCTTGGCCGCGCAAAAAAAAAAAAAAAAAAAAAAGAACAGTCCGAATTACTAAATATGGTATATACTGCAAAGTCAAAACAATCATTATAATATTGATACATGTCTGTTGCTTCGACCTGCGCTTCGCTTGGCCGCGCAAAAAAAAAAAAAAAAAAAAAAGAACAGTCCGAATTACTAAATATGGTATATACTGCAAAGTCAAAACAATCATTATAATATTGATGTATATGAAGATGAATCGACTAAGCACAACACATGTGAGTTAAAAATGGGCGATATATGAATTATTTGTGAAAAAAAAAAAAAAAAAAAAAAAAAAAAGACATGCAGAAGATTATTATAAAAAGAAAAAAATGATTGGTGTGGTTACTAGAAGAAAAAAAAAAAAGTACCCATTACTGCCATATAAAGTTTTTGTAATCCCATCGCGTTTACGTCTCTTATTTTCTCTCTCTCTCTCTCTTTCTTTTTATTTTTTCCATTTTTAATAAGCTTTATTCTTTTCTTTCTTCTTAAATTAATTCTTTTCGCTACTTTTACTTATTAAAAACCTATAAATAATGGAATGGCAACCAGAACCTCAGGGGTTAAATGAACTTTTAAATTTACTTCGAGATGCCATTAGACCAAACAATCGAGATCAAGCCTTAGTCCACGAAGTAATAAGTTTATTTATATTAAAAAAAAAATTATGTGTATGTGTATTAATAATATTTGGGGGGCTTTGATAGAGACTAGCATCATTCAATGAGATTCCAGAATATAATTCTTATCTGGTTCATGTTCTCGTTACAATGACTGAAGAAGACAATTACACTCGAGCCATAGCAGGCTTGACCTTGAAGAATAATCTCTTGAACAATTTTAATAGAACACCATTGACTGTACTGGATCATGTAAAGCATATCAGTCTCCGATCTTTAAACTCACCTGATCCTGATTTGACTGTAAGGAAAACAATAGGTTCTGTCATTACAGCCATTGTTGTTCGAGGCCAAGTGATCAACTGGCCTCAAGCGCTAAGAGTTCTAGTGGAGACTCTAGATAGCTCTAACCCACTAGCCGTAGAGGTACTGACATATGTTAATTCTAGCGATTGAATGTATATACTAAGTTCAATCCATAATAGATGGCTCTCGATACACTACAAAAGATTTGTGAAGATAACGCAAAAGACCTAAATGAAGCAACACTAGATAATGATAATACACCCGTTTTAGACTTTATTATACCCCGATTAATTCCTTTCAACAGTAACCCGATCTCCCGTTTGCGAGTATTAGCCATATCTGCAACCAATCATTTTGTCCAGTTAAAATCAGCATCGATCCTTACCAATATGACGGCCTACCTCGAATCCTTATTTCTGATTGCAACGGACGAAAATACTGAAGTACGTCAAGAAGTGTGCCGGTCTTTTGTCATGTTACTTGATAATTTCACTGAAAGCCTACTGCCATATCTTGATCAGTTGATCGAATACATGATTTTTTGTAACCAATCCCAAAATACTAAAGTAGCTCTGGAAGCTTGTGATTTCTGGCATCAATTTTCCAGATTAGACTCGATACATTCTCATTTAGTCCCGTTTTTACCAAAAGTCATACCCGTGATTCTGAACTCGTTGATCTATACCGAAGAGGATTTATTGATGTTTGGGGGAGGTGACGAACAAGAAGATTTACACCCTCGTTTCAATAGTAGGTTTAGATCCTCAAGACACCATAGACAATACGAGAGTAGTGATGAAGACAATGACGAGGAGGATGATCAAGAGGACGATGAATTCTTCTCAGAATGGACTCTCCGAAAATTCAGCGCAACTTCTTTGGAAGCTCTCACGTCTACTTTCAAGTCTCAGGTCACGGACATTTTACTTCCGCTTTTGAACCATGCCCTCTTTAGTCAAGATTGGAGAGTGGTGGAAAGTGGTATCTTGGCCTTGGGTGCTGCGGCAGAAGGTAACAAAAAGAATATTAAGTGCATTCATTTCTTCCTTGTATTCATGTCTTTTTTTTAAAGGTGGCATTGATGAAATATCTCCTCATCTTCCTGACATGATACCATTTCTCATCACAAACTTGTCAAATACAAATGTAAAGTAAAACATACAAAAAAGAGAGAGAGGATGTCGTAAGATTAGTATAATAAGGGTATTTATTTATTTTTATACTATAGGCACATGTTCGATACATATCATGTTGGACCGTGAGCCGTTTCTCGGGTTGGATAGTTGGACAATGTGGTAATTCCGAACATGGTCGCACACAATTTTATGAGCCCGTACTTCGTCAATTGTTGAAAAGAATTCTTGACAGAAGCCGACGGGTCCAGGAGGCAGCTTGCTCTGCTTTCTCCACGCTTGAAGAACAAGCGACCGAACAAGAACTGGTGCCTTATTTACCCGTGATCTTGAACCATTTAACAAGAGCGCTTAGGTTATACAGAAACAAAAATTTAAGATTATTATATGACACCATCGGTACCTTGGCTGAATCTGTCGGTTCCTCTTTAAATGAACCAGCCTGTATCGCTGTATTAATGCCTCCATTGATTTCAAGATGGAATGGATTGCAAGATACCGATTCGGATTTATTTCCGTTGTTAGGGGTAAAATAAGTAGTCATCCCCAATACTGAATATCATGCTCAGTCATTCCTTTTTTTTTTTTTTTTTTTTATGTATTAGTGTTTAACAGATATAGCTACTTCTTTGGGAATCGGGTTCTTACCATTTACAGAACCTGTATTTACCAGATGTGTCATGTTAGTCTCGACTACATTACAAAGCACCGTTGCGGATGATGATTATGATGATTTCGATGAATTGGATGATGAGTTTATTGTAGTTCCTTTGGACTTATTATCGGGTATTGTTCAAGGTTTAGGCAACACGGTCGAGCCCTTTGTGAAACAGTCTACCTTATTACCACTATTAGCTGCATGTGCTCATTACGTAAGGCCTATAATTGCCCCCCTTTATTTTAAAAGAAGCTAACCAATATATTAGGACTCACGGTATGAAGTACTTCAGCCCACCTATGCTCTGATTGGTGATTTAGCCAAAGCATGCTTTGGTGCATTAGACCCGTACCTGGAGAACATCATGCCGGAATTAATACGGCAATTAGAGAATGATGACCCTGCTTATAAGTCTGTGCGTAATAATGCAATCTGGGCGATCGGGGAAATTTCAATACGATGGCCCAAAGAAAAGATGGAGGTCTATGTAGAACAAATCTTGAGTTCGTTAATCCCACTTATACACCCACAATCACAATCAATAGAGCTTCAAGAGAATGCAGTGAATACGATTGGTAGATTGGGTATTAACACACCTGAGATTGCAGCACATTTTTTACCTCATTTTAATCGTGCATGGCTGTATCGTTCTCGTGTGATGCGAGAGAATGATGAAAAGGATAGTGCGTTTCAAGGGTTCTGTAAAATTGTGCGACTTTATCCACATGCCCTGAATGAAGTGGTAAAAAATGATTGATTTTTTTTTTAAGGTTCGTGTTCAAAATGACTAATTTCTCATATTTGTTAGGCCATACGTATGTTGCTGGATACCATCGGGCAATGGCAAAATCCATCGGAGGCATTAAAGCTGTTATTTGAACAGGTAAGCCAAAAAAAAAAAAAAAAAAAAAAAAAAAAAAAAAAAAAAAAAAAAGATAATGCAATAGGCAGATGTTTTTATTTATAATTTTTTCTATTCTATAGGTTACTAGTGGATATCGTGGATTATTAACTGAAGCGCAATGGAATCAAGTGGCACCGTATTTGATGAATAATAATAATAATGCACCTGCAGTTCAATAAATTTCTGCAGTTGATTAACAAAAAAAAAAACAAAAATTATTGTGTGTATGCGTGAGAGTGAGTGCGTGGATGAGCGAGTGGGTAGTGGATATGGGGAGGAAGTGGGGTTTATTAACTTAATAATAAAGAATATGTACATTGTTTTTTTTTATCCTTAAACCCTCTTGACGCTTAAGAAAAGTTAGAATAAATTTTTGAACTCGGTACAAATTCGAGACTGTTGATATAGTGACTAGGGGAGACAGATGCAATATCATCCACATAGACGAAATACTGATGTGTTTGGTAGTTGTTATGTGCTACTCTGTCCATAAAATGAATGTGATTAAAATCGCCATCTTCCGCACACCATAACTTAACGATTTGAACTGAATCATTACTAAGACCAATGGAAATCGCTACAATAGCCTCCTTGACACTTTTTCAACTCATCAATATACAGTTTAAATCATGTTATTTCTCTTTTGTTTTACCGTTGGCCTGATTCATGGTCAAGAACCATCATTTTGAGGCAATAAAGCCAATTATGAGGCAGAATAAAGGACCATTGTCCGTGTACAGTTGGCATGGCATTGAGCTTAATCATGGAATGATAAAAAAAAAATTAAAAGTGCACATAAATTAAGTGTGATGAGACAATACCTTTTTAATTTCAGAGTGGATTGTTTGTATGATGAGAGGGTTTGAAGAGAGATTTGACATATCGGTTGTCACAAATCCACCGGAATTTTTAGGAAAAATTTCCTTTGCAGGAATCATGTCGCCATATGAGAAATCAGGCACACCAAATTCCCACATACGAGTTGCCGCTTCCTTCTTATGTTTTGATAAATTACGATTGAAATACATCTCACCAAAGCGATCAAACTAGAAAATATGTTGGTTTTTTTTTTTTATAGATAACTTTTTTCACCTACCATCATGACATATGAGGAAGCTCCATGTTGTGAAGTTTTTAAAGCTCCGCTTGCCCTGATCAACATTTGACTTGATTCGGATGATCCATAAATGACAAATTTTGCCTTGTTTTTCAACTGATTCAGCTATTTCAAGGAAGAAATTAAGTAAAAAAAAAAAGTTCACAGTAAATGTATTTTTTTATGGTTGGTACCTCCTCCGGGAATTTTAAATATTCAGCCACCAGATTCCAAGTATATGGAGTAGTATAATCCTTACTATCGGTGTCATATACAATTTCTTTGGATAAACATTTGGGTCTTTCAACTAAATCGTCAATGAATATTGCGCATAAACGGTTGTAAGCGATACCGAGACCAGTGTCTGTTGGCAAGTTGGATAATTTTTTAAGATCGTCTTCTGCCAACAGAACAATTGCTTGATTCATGTCGGGATGATGGACAACGCCAGCCTGAAGCAAACAATGATAAGCATGATTGAAGGGTTATAAAAAAAAAGATAAGATAAAAGCATACCATTTCATTCACTTGATAGTAACTCTTTAATTTACTAACATAAATCAAGTTGTCTTTAGGTATAATATTCATGAAACTGATAGGTCGACCGCATAAAATGGTATTTAGTGCCTTTAAAGGTACAGTGAACATGGCTCGAATCTCATTCTTATCTCCTTGACTAATAAGTTTCCTATGAAATTGGGTTAATATTTAACTGCATTACACGCGCGTATAGAATTTTTACATGATTTGAGCTTCGTGATAACAAGTCTGTTTTCCCTCCACTTTGACAGATGCAATGAATTTATTTCCATTATAAAGCAAAGTATCCAGTTCAAACGGAGTAGCTAATGCTGTTGAATTTGAAAGCTTGATTTTTTTGAAATTGTCAGCATTCATTCGGGGATCCTTTGAGTTAGAGAATTGTCGCTTAATGGTGATGGGTTCATAAACTGTGGGTTGTTGCTGCTGTTCCGGTTGATTTTCTCGTTGTCTTCTAGGATCCAATCTTTCCATCGTCGTAACTAATATACAAAGATAAATAACATACAAAGGAGAATTTCATCAAACTCGATTTTACCTGGAGGATTTCTGGTTGGAGGTGCTGGAGGAGTAGGTACGGGTGTTGGTGGTGGTTGTGCAGGTGGAGTTGGCTTGGGTAATGGTGGTTTTGGTGGAAGTTGCTTGGGCGGTACTAATTTAGATGGTGAGTGGTGAGATGGAGGTGGGTAATTGAACGGAGGTCGGACTGTACTAGTGGGTCTTTGTTGTGGGTATTTGGATATAGCCAACGGCTGTTTTATGGACTCTACTAACTTGAGAATGTCAACACCACCTAGAAAAAAATAAAAAGAATGATGAGATTAGTATGTATATATGGAAATGGGTTTGTGGTTAGTGTACCCGTAGAAGGAGGCTTGGCATTGACAGTTCGCTTAATAGCAGTAAAAGATTCATCTGTTTTGTTTCTTTGATTGTTTGGAATAAAAGGTTCATCTGACTTAATTCTTTGATTGTTTGAAATAAAAGGTTTTGTTGAGACTACTTTGGCAGGTTCATCTCCTTCCTCTGCTTTTCTTTGAGCAGCTGCTTTCTGATACTCCATTTCAGCTTTCCTTAAGGCATTTGCTTTCTTGATCTCATCCACTTGTCTTTTTTCGGCCAGCCGTCTCTTTTCTTCTTCTTCCTCAATTTGTTGATCAGATGGACCAATTCCGCTCAATTGTCTTGCTTTTTCAATAAGATCAGTTCCTTGTGCGATTGTTAATCTTCTTTGTTTATTATCTTCTTTAGCTTTTTTGTTATCAATAGTTGCTTTTTCCCAGGCTTTTCTTTCCTCTAAAAGTTTATTCAATCTTTTTTCTTCTCTTCGCTTTTGTTTTTTCAATTTTCTCTCTGCCTTTCGCCTACCTGCTTCCTCGGTTTCCCTTTCTTCTTCAGTTAATACTACTGGAGTGTCTGGTTCCACCGAAGGTACTGATTCTGCTGTTGTTGTTGTTGTTGTTGTTGATGATGCTGTTGTTGTTGTTGTTGCTTCTGCTTCTGTTACTTCTACGCTCCGGCTCTTCTTTTTCGTTCTTTTTTTCTTCTGAAATGGCGTTGGGTCTATGCCATGCTTTTCAAAAAAAGCCTTCAATATCGAAGGACAGTTCAAATTATGTTCTGGCTCCCACGTATTGTGTCTATAAAGAGAGAGCGAGAGTTTATATCGTAAAGTGGTTTATTTATTTATTTATTTGACAACTCTATTGATAAAATAAGTACGTGTTTTATTTTACTACGAAAAAAAAAAAAACTTACTACAAAGAATCATAATTTTTCCACTTGATTTCAAACATTCGAACACCATTATCGGTTACGATCATTTGAATGATTTCCTCCACCTCGTAATAGAAGGTGTCGTCATCGTCTTCAATGCCATCTAGACCAGACATTTTAATTGTGGTTGAAAGGAAAGAGAGAAGACCTATTTTTTTTTTTTTTTTTTTTTTTTTTATTTGTTCATTATAGTACGCCGTGACTTTTTTTTTTTTTTTTATTATTTTTATTTTTTTTTTACGCGATGATGTGTGGAAAGGGAGGGGTAAAATAAAATACAACAAAAAAAAAAAAAAAAAAAGGTTTGGAATAGTTAATAAGTAAGGTTTGGGATAATATAATTTTACATGTTTTACAAGATTAAACATTTGCTCTTCTTTTCTTTCTTGCTCTTTCCTTTGGGTCCTCCAGGTTTTAAACCTTCACGTTGAGCTCTGATAGCCTTGACAACTTGATAGAAAGATCTTTCGACATTAACACAGGTCTTTGCTGAAGTCTCAATAAAGTCACAGGCCAATTGCTTTGCCATAGCTGAGCCTTCTTCTCGTGTCACTTCTCTCTCGGTTACTTTATCACACTTGTTGCCGACTAGCATCATTGGTACATTATCAAGATCCTTGACTCTGAAAATCTGGTTACGGAAACGTTCGATACGTTCAAATGTTGAGCGAGAGGCAATCGAGTATACCAATAAAAATCCTTCACCATCTCTAATAACCATTCAGTTAAAAGCGTTCATGTCGGATGGCCATTGTGCTTACCTGATCCATTGATCTCTCAAGGCGGTATATTCTTCTTGTCCAGCTGTATCCAATACTTCGAGTACGCATGGTTGATCATCAATCACTACTTGTTTACGGTAAGAATCTTCAATAGTGGGATCATAAGTCTATTTAAAATACAGCGTTATTCCACCTATTTGTCCAATTTATTTTTCTAAATTACCTCTATAAAATATAAATTAGTATAAAGTTTTTTATTTCTCTGTAAATAATATACATACCAACAAAGTGATTAAGACACAACTATAGCGATACCAATAATAAAAATAAATTAAGGTTAACACCCCTCTCTCTCAGCTTTTTTTTTTTTTTTTTTTTTTTTTTTATAGTTTACCTGGATAGTCAAAGCGGTCTAAAGAAAACAATTCATCAGTACATAATTTAAGCTTTTTTTTTCCCCGGTGTTGTTGTATTTTACCTTTCCTACACCACCATCACCAAGAACAACTAATTTATAAAGCATCATTTTAGGAATATCGATCTTTTTTGATTGGATAGAATTAGAAATTATTGTAGGACAATAAGATAGCACGTTTGTTGCCAGGTCAAATAAAACACGAGGTTTTAAAATAAATAATAAAAAAAAAAAGCCATAAAAAATTTTAAAAAGAGAATGAAAGTAATAATTAAAAGAGTACATGTGATTAGTTAAAGGTCGTCATCTAGAACGTATTTGAGTCTTTACCTTTCTTTTTTTCTTTATTTATATAGTAAAATGAAGGGAGAGTAAAAACAGTAATAGAAGATAAAAAAAAAAAAGAGTTAAAAAGAAAATAAATGTGTGTGTGTGATAAAAAATAGAAAAAGATATACAGTCGTTCCAGCGCCAAAGGACGGGCTTTCAAAAAAAAGCTGCGGCTAATCAATGTTTCCAAAAGGCGGCTTTGTTTCATCCAATAGGCGGTTCGATTTATGGTTTTTATTTTATTTTTCAAAGGGGCAAGAATAAAATACACAATTTATTTGATCGATTGCAAATCTTTGGTCATCAATATTAATATCACAAAACCAACGACAAAACAGTAATTTGTTTTCATACTGACAGTCTCTTAATGCCTAACAAGTTGGTATAATCTCCAAACTCTCATTTGAGTCTAAAAATCGTGGGCATTCTAACTTTGATGTCAGGCATTCTTTTTCTAGTTTCGAAACCTTGTGCAAATCATAAGATTGTTTCACAATGACAAAGACCTTTGTAAATCTGAGCTCTTCTTTTTCTTTAGCGAATCAAGTTGTATTGCAACCTACTTTTTACCTTTTAAATAGCAACCAGCTCTTAAAGCTAATTTCCAAGTCTTCGATCCCTTTTCTGAGGGCCATTACGGACTGTGAAAGGCTGCTTCAAAGGTGTTTAGGACAACTCTAAACCTACAGTTAAACAAAACTACTGTAGCAGGAAATTGTGTAACCTTAAGTGCTATTGTTTTTGGCGTATTAGACGGAGTTGTAATATTTAGTTTAAAGGAGCCGGAACGAGTCAGTAACCTTAACATGAGATCTTCATTTTGAGCACATATTTAAAATTCTAGTATCAGAAATAAAAAGGGAGAAAAAGAGACGGGAAATGTCAGAAATAAAGCTGCGAGTTACAATGTTAGCGGAAACCTGGAAAATATAACGTCAATAAAAAAGAATCGTTAAAGTTATTACTGAAATTTAATCACTGGGAATTATGTCGAGAAAAAATTATGATCTGGATATATAAGAATTAATGCACATTTTAAATTTTTTTTTTTTTTTGCATTAATCATCACTTCCTGATTTCAAGTCCCTGTTACATCAAAGTCCAAATGCCAGCGATTTAGGCACAGGTCAATAAATGAACAAATGAGAATTTGGAGACCATAAACAGGCCTTTATTAACTCATTAGGTACTGGAAAACTCTCAATTTAAAATTGTGGAATAGATCTTTTGTTGTTTTTGTGATACAGCCAAAGATTTACAATCTAAAAAAACCGCCATTTGCGAAAATCAGACCACACAATAGGTAAATATATTACCCGCATTTTTTGTTAAAAACCCGCCCTTTGGCCTTGTAACAACCTTTTAAACCTAAAATTGTGTAAAAGAAAAAGAAAACAAGCGCGCGCAGACAAAAAGGGGGGTAAGAGATTGATATCTGTGGGAAGAGTAAAAAGCAGCAAAAAAAAAAAAAAAAATGAGGAGAATAGTATCCAATGATTATTCTCCCTTTCCTCGTGCAAAATGTCACCTCTAATTTACAGATTAAATTTGTTACTATGGCGACAAAACTTTCTTTTTCATTTCTTACCTTTACCGTGGATTGAGGGATATAAGGATGTCCTTCTTTTATCTGTGTCAAGCCACATTATTTAGAAAAAGAAAAAGAAAATGTGGTCATGTGCTGGCTAAACAACGTCTTGAGGGGGGCAAAAAAGGGCAGGTTTTATTATTGGGAGTGAAAAGGAGGCTATAGTATGAGAGAGGGGGATATTATTATGTTGCCATGACTAGGTTTTTAATTCCTTTGGGAGTAGACTCATCATTAAGGTGTTTCGAATTGTATCTCAGAGCAGAGATCAGATTAGATGTGCTGGATTGTTCTTGTTGGTAGATATTGTTTAATAACTGGATGGTTTTTAACGAGTTTTTTACCTATCAGATATGCTTAGTTATACAATAATGAATACGAATAGGGAAATAGGTTACATTGATGGGAGAGCATTTGGAAAATGCACCATTGGGATCGATATGATCATAGAGAATAATTGAAACAACCATTACTTTTAAATAAAAAGTTACGTTATCATTTGTCGTCTTCTTTTTATTGTTTAAGGTTTGAAAGCAAGCAAACCAAATACTCGCCAACCAGTCACTTACACTCTGAACTAGTCTATTCGTTTGCACATATTTAGTGGTGGTTTCAATGACACATTTCAACATGGGAGTAGGATATGCAATGAATAGTGAAATACGGTTTGCTAAATCGTCCTGATTGATAGCAACACGCAAGTCAGACTCTTTTTCTTTCTTCACTTGTTGTGTTCCTCGTTGTAAGGTTCTTCTGTAAAAAGAAAAATCGTTTTGTATGGTTGGATTTCTTATCTTTAAATAGTCGAATTCGAATACAAAATCCAGAATATCTGCAAACAGCTTGGTTAATCCTGGATGCCTGTCAAGATCTTTTGTGACACCGTCTTTACAAAGAACATTGAGTAACATTGGGATACCTCGTTCTTATGGGAAGAACACAAGTTAATAAAAAAGAAAGGAAGCTAACATGCTTTAGTGCAATTTACCCAATTCGGAAGAATAGCTGTAAAAGGCTGTCAGCATATCAACGGTAGGCAATACAGCGTTCCATGCTATCTCTTCGTTCTCTGGATTGGGTGTTGCAATAGCATTTCGAATACAGTCTGAAGCGGGTTTGTATTCTTTAAGGGATTTTAATAAAGTTGTGTTTGGTTGTACTAACAATGTAAAAAGTTGATTGTAGTCCCCTAACTCTTCCGATAGAGGGGTTGCCTCTATTTCCACATTACTGTTATTATTATATACTGAATCTATCTTTTTATTTTATTTTTTAATTATCTTACTCTCAATATCAAACCCTATTTCAGGTACTATGTCTGAATGGCTGCGGAGATTCAACGATGCTAACAATTGTCCCATTTCTCTTTAATCTCAAAAAGTATTAATGTAGATTAAGCAATTAGCAGAAGAAGAAAAAAAAGAAAATGTTTAACAAAAGAAGGAGAAAGAGAAAAAAAGAAAGAAAAGAAATAAACATATAACATGTTGTGTATCAACTATGAATAGGGTTACTCCGTGCCACAATTTTTTTTTTTTTTTACTAACTATTTTGATGCAGGTTAATCAAAAAGCTGTTGTATTTATTTTTTTGCGTGCAAAACATGATTTGTGCACTCCCGGAAAAAATTCGTTTTAAAGTTAATTTCGATCAGCGACGAAATAGATAGTTGCTCAAAAAATCACTTAATTTTCCATGCATAGTCCACAAACGAAATGAACTAAAGAAAAAAACTGAGTTTACCATTAAGATAATTGTCGAATTTATTGTCAGAATATATATATATATATATTATGTCCCTGGAGGGCATCGATAAGTGCTTTGTTGCATGCATGTCTGATTCTCATTGTCAAAGCCTCTTCATCCAAAAGCTTTTACCCACTTGAGATTGCTCTTACAAACCGAACAAAATTGCTCAGCTGGATTTAAACCAATTAAATAGGAAGGAGGTTTAAGACGAACGTATGTCTTTATTTGTCTGGATAAGAACATTGTCCATCACAAGGTAGTGATTCCTTCTTGATGAGATAGAATAATTTAGTTCTAATTTTTATGTCGATTCCTTACACTCAGGATGTTGGTAATAAAGTTAAAACAGAGGTCTATCACATTGGTCATATATGATGTTGAAGGCCCTTTTCCTTTAATCTTTCTTTTTATGTGTGATATAACCCTTGGATGCTAGATATTCATATGAATAACATCATAACTTGTGATGAGCCCTCAGATTAGTTCTTGTTATGGGAAGAGAAAAAAATGTACAATATCCCTTCAAAATTATGTACTCTTCATACTGATGTAAAATCAGCGTCATTTAGGGACAGTCGCATATACTGTAATAGTCTATGTTGGTGCTCATTAATACAATGACCCATTAATGCCTCTGCTCAATTTTTTTAGATCTTTTCTTTCAATGATGACCTTTATTTTTCGGTAACATAATTTTAACGTAACGCTATAAAGATACATAAGTTACACTTTCTATCATATTTTCTGAAACTAGCCCGACTATTTTCGTCAAAAAGTTTGATTAGAACTGCCTCATGGTCCCCATTTATACAATTCAACCATAGGAACTAGTCTTCCGCAACCAGGCCGTTGCATGATAATATCATGGAGATCTTTTGCATTATGTTAGGCCCAATGTTATAATATCAAAGAGGTGTGTTCGGCCTCTTATGTTACAATAACTCGGGTTGGTGTATCTGTCTTTACGTACAAATTAAAAAAAATAAAAGCCTTTTTTCTTTATACTCGTATATATATGTACCATTCAAAAGTCACAATTTGTAATTTAGCGATTCATGTATTGTTAAGCGTATTTTCTTCGGGGTTCGTAAGCTGCATTTTAATGAAAAAGATTTATCAAAAGCAAGTTTCTACAAAAAAAAAAAGTTTGTGTGGTCAGTGATTGTTTAACTGATGGCCTAAATCTTTTTCGTTTTATCCCTTTTATTTGTACGAACTTTAATTTGTGTTAAATATATGTAGTGCCGTTAAGATATGTATAATGTAATCAGTTATATGTTACACGTAAATTTATGCTATGCATATGTCGGCGATGTTTATGACTTAAGATAAAAATCATTTTCAGAATGAGACACCTGGTTCAAGTCACTTTTAGATGTACCAGAGCAAGACTTAATTATAGTTAAATATACCAGTAGACAATCAATAAGTGTTGAAAACATTTGGTTTTTGTGTACAAAGTCAACGTTACATGCAAAGTTCAATACTTTCCGGCAAGAGTCTAGATTAACTGTATTTATATCAATCAATAACACCTGTAAAAGAAGAGCGGACATTTCTCTTTTATGGTATAAACGATCACCTCGTCCTGACATAAGCCAGTTCTTGTTTATTATTCTCAATAAAACCTCTCCCCCAAATTTTTTATTTTTCCTTATTTAAGTTATTTTATTAAACAAATTCCAGGTTCTATCACCCGTGTAGTCAGTAATGTTTTTTTTGCAAACAAATGCCAATACATGGCCCAGAGTAGTAAGAACTCGTCTTTTTGTACCTAAAAATTTGCATTTACGGCTAGCTACCGCTGTATGATGGGGCCCTGAGAGCGTTTATTTTGAGAAATATCACGTAATTGATAGTAGTTTTACAATCAAGTGTAAACCAAGTTATGACCAGGATCTATATCGTCAACTTGGTGTAAATACCACTTAAAAGAGCAAATTCCCATTCAAAACATACAACAGCTACTCCACCAACATCAGTTAAGGTTTTCGAAGGCTACGCTTTTGACATGTTAGCCGTTTCTGTTCACACTTTGAAGCTAGCTTTATCAAGGGTAAAGAAAGAGCCATTTTGAAAGCTTTATCTTGCGTTTTTTATTGGGATTCGATTGAAAAATCTGATCCACCAGCTAAATACTTGTATGATTATTTTCAGTTGATGTAACTATTAAATTTGTGATGATAAAAGTTAAAGCATTTAGCATTGAATTTTTTACATAGGTATGTATACGTACTTGTTTAGCCTACAAGAAATCCACCAAAGTGGGGCTAATTACAATCGCCAAATTGTTTGGCCGCTTATGACTTTGTCGGTAAAAGCAGCAGCGGTAACACATCCCGCCACCATCTTTTACCCTGGCGAGTTCCTATTGGATTCCGCTAATGAGGATTATAAAGCTGATGGTTATCAAGCATATGGAGATGGCAATAGCTTCATTAAAACCATCAGGAAAGTATGGCCTTGTTTACTTGCCCAGATTTGGTTTTGAACATAACAAAGGCTCTTTCGGTTCTCTTACGTTTCTTCGTAAATTGTTGAAGACTTGCCATTTTGCTGACTTTCGTACTGTTCAAAAGTTGCAAATGGTATTCATCCATGCTCGAGGTTCCATTCTATATCGACTTTATAACATGAGGAGAGACATAGGTTTCATTAGCGCCGGGATCAATGATAACTTGTGATACTTGGCCATTGTATATGACGGGATAGAATGGAAGAGTAGTGGCTATAGCATTGAGATCAGAAGTATGTTGTAAATTATCAATAAAAGATTTTTGAATATAATGGGTAGTGTTTCAATTACCACGTGTGGAGGAGTGCTTGTAATGATGACTTGGGTAGTAATAACTCGCGTGAAAATTGTTTCATTTGATCAAGTGTCAAAAATCAGAAAAGAGGGACCCATTTAAAGATCTTTATATTATTTTTCACTGTCATATATTATAACGAGGATTATTATAAGTACTGTAACTATAATTGGGCTACTGTTATACTGGCGATACAAACTTGGGACAAATCTTTATATATACACATATTGACATCCTGGTACTTTATGGTACTTTATCTATGGTCTCGTGGCTATACTAAGGCTGAAAGTTTTGCGCACTAAACAATCGCGAAATGGGTATCTTCATTTCCGCCTATACGTGGCGGTACCTAGCTCTATCTAGAAGAGCCCAATAAAGTTAGCACATGGCTATTTGTAACCTCAGATACGATATACAATTGACAATAAAAATACTGTAGACTGAGTTTTTATTAAAAAGGAGATTGGGAATGGTTTTTATGTAAAAGGAGGGGGGACATTAGTTGTAGCGTTGTACAATGTTCATCGCTTGAGGTCTATTTTTTTTTTAATTATGTTCTCCAAATACGTCAACACCCCAAAAGTTGAAAGGATCAACCTAATATTTTCTATTAATACCATTTTTTCGAAAAAAAAAAAAAAAATATAAAAGCAATCTTATAATTACCAATCTTTGGGCCTTTTCGGCATGCACGAGCTTGTTTAAAGTCTCGAAGTCCTCATCATCAAGTTCAACAGTCTTGAAGTTAGAGATAATACGAGAAGGTGTGACAGACTTGGGAATAACAGCATACCCGCGCTTAATTCCCCAAGAGATAAGGACAGAAGCGGTTGTGTTGTTGTGCTTTTCAGCAATCTTGGCCTACAAATATAAGACTTAGTTTTTTGTACGGTTGGAAGTATTACTTGAATTGTACTTACGACTGAAGCATCATTCAAAAAGGGAGAGTTGGTACTACCGAGAGGTGAATAGGCAGTGACCAAGATACCATGATCCTTACAATATTTGATCAATTCATCTTGAGGCAAGTAGGGATGTAATTCAACCTGTTAAAAAAAACGAATGACAATGAGACCCCCAAGAAATATATATACATGTATTTTATCTTCTTACTTGATTAGCAGCAGGGACAATCTTTTGTGTCTTTGCTAACTTTTCGAGGTTGGCAATGTTAAAGTTTGAGACACCAATAGCACGAGTCTTTTCCTTGCTCAACTTTTCCATAGCCTAAATTCACCGCATTAGTTGTCTTTTGAAGTGCTTAAATCTACCCTCTTAACTTACAGCATAGGTCTCGGTGATATCAGTGTTATCCAAAAGAAGCTTACCCTCAGCATCCTTGGGGGCATTGTCCTCGCCAGCTTGGAAAGCAACAGGCCAGTGCATCAAGTATAAATCAACATAGTCTAAACCTAAAAGCTCAAGAGACTTTTCAAGGGCAGCTTCGACATCTTCAGGACGATGGCTGGTGTTCCATAACTTGGTAGTAATGAAGAGTTCAGAACGAGGAACACCAGAGTCCTTAATAGCTTGACCAACTTCCTTTTCGTTACCGTCTGTCATATAAACAAAAATTAATTATTTGTTTTTTTATTTTTGCATAAATTTTACTTACAGATATAGGCAGCATCAATGTGCTTATAACTAGATCGACTACATTAGACTATATTTTTTCCTCTTTATTCCCAAACTTACCCGCTCTTCAAAGCAGTCAAAACAGCATCATATACTTCGGAAGGCTTTGATTGCCAAGTACCGAGACCAAGGGCAGGGATATCGGCGTTGGTGTTGCTATATAATTGTAAGTACAAAGAAAAGCATCAGTAACACTAAAACTTACAGCTTAAGGATAACGGAAGACATTTGTTTAATTTTTAAAAAAAAGTTTTTTTTTTTGTTCGTCAGTTCGAAAAGGGAAATCGGATCTCGTATTTATACTGTTAACATAAGACTGTCACAACTTCTTAATAATACAACCAACTTACTCCGTTTAAAAAAAATGGAAAACTATTCCATGACCTCGGTCAAAAGAAGACGCGATTTTAAAGACGTTTTAGGTGATCTTGCCATACCAATGTTGGCAGGTTTGTGCTCCGCAATACTTCTCGTGTATATTAGAAAAGAAGCTTGGTGAACCTGTCTTCAGGCACTAGCATTTTCTTTCTTTATGAACTTCTATATTCCTATGCAGAGAAATCGACACTAAAATAGCTTTGTTTCCTCTTTAAAGACAACCATCAAATATGACATCAAAAACGCTATCTGCGCAACAAATTCGTCTTCCGCTTTAAAAGGATTGCGTTTGCCTCATATACTTGATAACAATAACATTTGGTACTACGTCATGGTGCTACTATCAACTTGCATTTTGGGGTAAACTGATCGTTTTCCCAGGCAACTGATTGTGAATATTAGCATTGGGCATGGTAAACTAAGCAACTATGGAAACTTTTTGTAAGCTTCCCTGACAAAAAGGAAAAGTTTTTCCGTTTAATTAAAGTACTGATTAAAGAAATAGCCTTATCGATTATACGACAGGCGTTTATACAATGTGTACGACCAAAGATTGGGTAACATGGACTGTTTAGGAGAGTTTCTATGGCTTTTCGTGAGTTAATCGTGAGCTCAAGTATGCAATTCTTCTAGTCAAACATACCGTCGTCTGGGATAGATGTATGCAATATCATAAACTTTGCAGTTAAAAATAATGGACTGACAATGATTACAAATCACACTTTAATTGAAGTCTACTTTTTTTTTTTTGCGCGCTCATATATACCTTCTGTAATATTTACTTTAAACTGTGTATATTCAAGCCTTCTTTTTTGTAACTTTTCAGAAACAATGATAAGATTAACCGAGCACAATCCATGAGTCTTATTAACACATTGATTAGCGACGCATAATGTATTACTACTGACTTATAAAAGTATTGACTAGAATTATTACATGGCGCTCAGTATCAGTATAGACTTGGTACCAGGACCAAAGCTTATTGCTGTAACATTCTATCAAGTTCACCCTCTCTGACGTAAGTCACGCATAACTTCTCTTGAACACTTTGATGAATACATTAAAGAATGGAATAAAAATGCATATTTAAGAAAAAACAAGGCAGGTCTTAAGTGTAAGTGTGATTTGGAAAAACTCAAACCTGGCTATTCGTTAAAATCTTTAAAAATCAAAAAAAAAGAAGCGAAAAGAAAAAGCTCTAATGTTTGAAAACAAGATAGCATTTGTCCTGATGCTTCTTCTTAAGGGTAATAACAGGGAACTTCGATTTTTTTCTGTAATGCTGGATTAAAACAGGCTAATTGATTATGTGTGGTTTGTAGGAAGAATTGGGTCTGGCAAGCCGTCTAATTTATCAATCCTGAAATAGGGATCAACACGCTATTACTGGTAACACTAGTCAATAAGACCCCCACTAATGAACGGGAACAGTATTATTTTAACTCTTAGAAAATTTAGCAGAATTCTTAGCCGTAAGCAGCAGAGGGATATAAAAATTTTCAAGCTTAAACCAATGTTTATACAACTTGATCATGCTAAAAAAACCGATTTTACCTCCTAGAAAAAGCGTAGATAATGGGCTGTACATTTTTGGCTTTTTATAAATTCAATCATGTCCACCCAAGAGAGCCTGTCCTATGTATTCAGGCGTCATTAATTGTAATTATGCAGGCTCTTCAGAGGCATCCAACATTTGATAAATAAGATGAGAGTATATGTACGAAACTGACGATGATCTGTTTGAATTATTGGACCATTGTGTTTATTACACTCATACGTAGCTCAATGATTTGTTCAACCGCGTAAAAAAATTAAGCTAGAAGAAAAGTAGCAAATCAAACCAGTGTAAATAGTTATAGCATTTAGAGCACAGTTTAAAAATTTATGATATTCCCAAGCGCACGTATTTATTAATTAATAATACATTGAGAAATTTTGATCCCCTGCTGTAGAAATTTCTTTGATGAAGCTATATGAATAAAATTAATTTTAGTCTTTCTCGATTTAAAAACCTTTTACCCATAAACAACTTGCTGCATTTTAAACATTGAGAAATTCACTGAAAAGTTTATTACTGATGTACCTGTAACATTTATGACTCGCACGTCAAATCGATGACTGACGCTAAAAAACTGGAATACGAGGAACGTGGTGTCACCCAAGATGAGATGCGTGAGTAAAAGTATAAATATTTATCCGAAATATTTTCACCTTGACAGCCAATCAAGTATTCACATCTTTTTCGAAACCTTGGTCACATCCCAAAAGAGAGGAAAAAAAATATGAAAAACCGTGGAAAATAAAACAATTCTCTCTTCTTCCTCTTTTTTTGTAAACAAAAACAAAAAGTCAACATGTCAAGAACTGTCGTAATGAATAATTTTTCGAGATTGCTAAAACCGCTCATGGCCGTACCCTGTCAAAAACGACTTGTGACAAAAGGTAAAAGAAAAGCTTGATAATTTGACAAGTAGTTAATAAGTTATAAGGAATTAAATGCTGCTCGGTGGGTGTAATTCCTTCTATATATCATCAGCAACAGGTAATTGATTACAAAAACTTGAGTTTCGGTAAAAAAAAAAAGATGTTTATGCATGAATATAGAAGAGGAGTTTCCATGCTTCGTCAACGCAATTGGAGCAAAAGAAGGAAGACCCATACAAAGTTCTCGGAGTATCCAAATCGAGCGCCCAGAGCGACATTAAAAAGGCTTACTACAAGGTAATTATTGTTATATGAGTGAGGTATTTGTGTAAATTAATTCCATTCTCCAGCTGGCCAAACAATATCATCCTGATTCAAATAAAGATAAAGATGCCAGAGAAAAATTTGTACAGATCCAGGAAGCATATGAGATTTTATCTGACGAACAAAAACGTAAGCAATACGATCAGTTTGGACATGGATTTGAAGGAGGAAGTCCTTACGGACAAGGCGGATTTTCTGGTGGTTATCCCGGTGGAGATGCTCATGGTTTCCCCGGTGGATTTGATCCCAACGATATATTTAGTCAATTCTTTGGGGGTGGATTCAATGGCAGGGGAGGAGGTTTCGGTGGCGCTGCTGGAACTGGTGGGGCAGATCCATTCCGTCACATGAGTGGTGAGGATATACAAGTACCTCTAACCATCGATTTTATGGAAGCTGTAAAAGGAGCTAAAAAGAAGGTCACTGTAAACCGTGTCACAACATGTCAAACATGTCACGGATCAGGCTTAAAGGAAGGTAAAAAGAAGACAGACTGTAAAGTATGTCATGGATCTGGAACACAAACAGTACAAATGGGTGGATTCCATATGCAAACATCTTGCCAGGCTTGTGGTGGTGCAGGTTCATCGATTCCTCACGATGCTAAGTGCTCTACTTGTGATAGTATTGGAAAAGTAAAGGATCATAAAACTGTGGAGGTTAAAATTCCAGCAGGTGTTGATGATAATTCAAGAATTCGTGTTCCTGGGGCTGGTGATGCGCCACTTAAAGGCGAAGGTCCAAATGGTGATCTGTTTGTATCACTTCGTGTAAGTTTTTTTTTACACATACACAAAAAAAAAGAGATATATGCTTAGTTTTTTATACAATTAGATTCAACCATCCAAAATATTCCGTCGCCAGGAATCGGATGTGTTCTATGATGCAAAGGTGCCATTCTATAAAGCCATACTTGGCGGAAAGATTCGAATTCCTACAATTGACGGTGATGTCGAAGTGAAAGTACCTGCGGGATCCCAACCTAATGATAATATTGCACTTCGAGGAAGAGGTATTCAACGTTTAAGAGGATCTTCTAGAGGTGATCAAATTGTACAATTAAAGATAGAATTACCAAGGTAAGTTTGCCGTATCTTTTTTTTTCTTAATCATTCTTCTCATCTTATTTGTTTAGATCATTACGTGGTAAACAACTTGAAATTATTGAAAAATATGCGGCGCTTGTGGATGATGAATATGCAGACAAAGATAAATAAATAAAAAGTCTCTACCTCATACCCAATCGCTGTATTGTTAACATAATAAAAGTCTTCTTGTTTATTTTTTCCATAAATTAAATTGCAATTCCTGAATGTTATCTTGCAATAAATTTCTAGTGGCATCAATGGTATTCCAAATCTCCTTTTCCACATTTTCTTTGGATTGACTTGCGTCAATAAACTAGATCGACATTTATTAGATCAGGTCATTTTATCACCAAGCCTTTTCTTACCTTCCAACTGTCGTCTTTGAGCTTCATAAATTGATCTCTGACTTTAATCTGTAATTCTCTCTTTTCATAACGTTCATCGCCAAATCCACCTCTCTTTTCAGCATCGTCGATGGATAAATCAAGAAACAAGACAATATCTGGCGTTAATAATCCAATATCAGGATTTCTACACCATTCTAAATCTAAACCCTTTGCAGAAGAGAATGCTACACCAGAGAACGCGTATCTATCGACAACCAAAGTCTTTCCGTTATTCAATTTTTCAGATAAAGTTTTCCTTTGGGCTTTTGGTTAGTCGTCCTTTTTATGATGTGCTGATGTCTCTTATTACATACATGGCCTCCCAACGATTAGCAGAAAATAACAAATGAATGGCATGATCGTCAAGCTCACTTTTTTGTTGAAGGTAGCTGTCGATCATTTTTCCTGTTTGTGTCGTTCGGTCTAATAAACAGGTTTAGGTCAATCACCTTTTGCTCCTTTTCTAAGAAATGAGCTATTTACCAGGAAATTTTACAAGCTCGGTATCAATACCCTTTTGCTGTAAGCTATTGACTAAAATGTCACATTGGGTTGATTTTCCTGAACGATCACAACCTTCAACAACAATTAGTAAACCGCGTTGTGTCATTTTTTTTTATATATTAGAAAGGCAAAAGAAAAAGATTCGCGCGTGATTTCAAAAAAGTTGAACCGGGTTCTGTCAGCAGAAGATAAAAATAAGCAGTTCTCTCATATCATGCTGTGAACAAACAGCTTAAAATGACAGCCATTATTTATTTCTCTTAGTACCCAGAAGAGCGTCCAGGAAGCGATCGCACGGAGAAGTGGATGAGTAGCTTGCATCGTCGGGTGGGGTGCCTTTTTCGTTTGCCATGGTGACGATTACTATAATTAAAATGAAACGAAGACAGAAAATGTGATACATGCTCTCTGAACCACGCTTTATTTTCCTTTTTCCAATAAACAAATACATCTCTTTCTTCCTTATATCTTTCTAGCGAAGCTAAACTTAGTCAATTTTTTCTTTGGGAGATGCTAAACTACTGATCTTTTCCAAGCAAACTTCGATAACAAGAGCGGGTATGTATCACATTTTCTGTCTTCGTTTCATTAACTATAGTACTATTTGTCGTTTCTAATACAAACCCAGTTGATTTCACTCCAATATCCAATGTGATACTGGTTCATAAATCGTAGAATGACACGCCTACTATGGTCGTAATCTGTTCATACAGCTTATAATGAACTTGCAACATTACAATAAAAAAGAGGTTTAGCAGATTATTGCTTTTGGTATCACGAAGGGACAATGTAGTCTGTTCCTATTGGCCGGATTTCAAGTGCATAATGTCATTATGATATCAAGATTTTGCTATTTATTTATTTTTTACCTTTTTCAATTCATACCAAATGGCTTCGGTAAACTGCTAATGCTTATACTAAGCAACGCTATAATAACACCACCGTTTTGTTCCCATAGTTTTTCTTTGATGATTACACTTTTCCCAGTGAGCTCTACGACCGTGAATCAGGCGACTTTACTGCTCCTGTCCGAACTCTAATTGATTTTGCGCCTCATATTCTCCAAGAACTACCAAAGCAAGAAAAAGTGAGTCTGGTTCAACAAATTTAACACTGTAGCTAATGCATTATAAACCTTTCAAAAAAAAAAAAAATAGGATCAAAAACCAATTCATTCAGAGAAACAGGATTCGTGGACAAAGAAGTTTTTATCCTCTACCGGTAAAAGTTATTTTGGCTCACTTTTGACTTCAGAAAGAACACAGGCTTTGACTGAATTTGTAATTCGATGTGGTAACGAGTATGTAAAATCCACAGGAGAAAAAAGACGGGAAGAAGAACGTTTTAAGCAGTATAAGGCTGAAGATCGTAAACGAAGAAAGCGAGAAAATAGGTCGAGATGGTTCAATAAAGAGGAAGTATCATCCTCATCTGAAGACGAAGAAGAAAAGATGGAAGAAAGACTTCGACAAGAAAAAGAAAAGAAACAGGCTGAAAAGGAGAAGAGGGAGAAAGCACAAAAGGAAAAGGCCACTACCTCACAAGATGTAACGCGCAGCGCAACTACAAATAATGCTATCATGACGTCTGCAGTGGCCGCCAGTGTGTTATCACTGTCACTCTATTCAACTTATCAAGCAAGTGTAGCATTTAGTGATATTTCATTCCACAATCAATTGGAATTATTAATTACGCAGATACAATCGATCATTCAAAGTACGGAAGTTTGGATTCAAGAGCATGAAAAGATGAATGATAAAGTGCCAAAACAAGTACGAACAGATCTTATACTGGTTAAACAATTGGTGGATAATTTGATTAGGTAAAGAGGCTGAAGAATTATAAATAGCTTTGTGTGCTAACAATGAAGTATAGACTTGATCCTCGTTCTAATAAAAGAGTCGAGGCAGCCGGATGGGGGTTAAGTGCAGTAGGTGGATTATCTGCATTAGGTGGATTCGCTTTAGGAAGTGCAGCTGTTGCTACAGGAGGAGCTGCCCTTGCAGTAGGTGGAGTAATTGCAATGGTGTCCGCTAAAGCACAGTCTGCCGGTAAAAGCAAATTAGGCGCCAGAGTATTGTTAGAAAGTCAAGTACGTGAAAAGGTGAAGGAGTGTCAGAAGAATGCTAAAGAAAGAGAGAGGATCATCGAAAACGATTTTCATCAACCCAACATACCCGTTAACAAAATAAAAGAAAAGGTAGAAACCAAGACTGGAGAAAAGAGGTAAATACCGCTCTGTTGGGATCCAGCATCAATGTGCATACTAAAGTATTCTTTCTAGGAAATTGACAGAGCCATTGTCTAGTGCAAGTACTGCTGTTCCCAAAAAGAAGGAGAAAACAGCAGTGTTATGTTAAGATACAGTTCCGATTAAGTTTGAGTAAATGTCTGGCTGTTCTTTAAAAAGAGTCATGTCAACCCCCCAGACAGACGGTAAACTTTGCATAAAAATAAACAACTTTTGATTAAACACCCCCGTTTCCCAATAAATCCCCTTCCCGTTCTCCTTTATGATTTGATAATAATTTGCCTTTTACAGTCTCGACTAAGACTATTACGACATGCAAAATGTCTTGAAAAAATCAAAAAGTTAGCGGCGCTTAATATTTATGGATTTCCATTTATGCAGACAGTCTTTACAAAAAACAATATCATACGATTATTATTATTTCTTCTTTGCCAAAGAGTATGAAATAAGCCCCTAATAATATAGTTGTTGGAATCCACTAGAAAGAACTAGCGAATTGAATCAATTGTCTGGCATGTAACATCTGATGAGCGGAGTTCGCCGGTGAGATTTTTCGTGAAGGTTCTACACCCTTCCAGTAAGGGAGCGTCTAAGTTTAAACACCGTTTTTTTTTTTTGCAAGCATATAAAAATGGATTACCCATCCCTCGCATTTTCACCGTTTTTTTATTTTAAATCAAATAATACATAATTTTATATTAATATGAGTGGAATGAATTTTACTGATAAAGTTGAAAAGGCTTTAAGTAGTGCTCAAGCCTTGGCTCGAGAATTTGGAAATTCTCAAATCGCACCTGCACATATCGCTTGTGCATTGCTGGATGAAACTGAAGGAACACCTCTCTTTAAGTCTATCCTTGAAAAGTCTGGCGCTGAAGCTACTACCGTCGAACGTGGATATAAAAAGATGGTAGTGCAATTACCTTCTCAAGATCCTCCCCCACAAGATATCTCTATTGGCTCTCAAACTTCCAAATTATTGCGTGCCGCCGAAAAGTACATGAAGGACCAAAAAGACACTTTTATCTCTATCGATCACATTATTTTGGCATTAGCTGATGATGATGCCACTTTTAAACCCATGAAGGATGCTGGTGTAACCAAGAAAGCTTTACAAGCCGCTGTAACCCAAGTTCGTGGTAATCGTCGTGTTGACTCCAAGAATGCCGAAGAGGTCTACGAAGCGCTTGCAAAGTATGCTATTGATCTTACTCAAATGGCTCAGTCTGGTAAGCTTGATCCTGTTATTGGTCGTGATGACGAAATTCGTCGTGTCATTCGCGTTTTGGCTAGACGTACAAAGAATAATCCGGTTTTGATTGGTGAGCCTGGTGTTGGTAAAACTGCTATTGTTGAAGGTTTAGCTCGTCGTATTATCGAACGTGATGTTCCTCAATCATTACAATGTAAGCTCTTTTCTTTGGACATGGGTGCTTTGATTGCTGGTGCCAAATATCGTGGTGAATTCGAAGAACGTCTTAAGGCTGTATTGAAGGAAGTCAAGGATTCAGAAGAAGGTGTGATTTTATTCATTGATGAAATTCACACTGTGTTGGGTGCTGGTAAGAGTGAGGGTTCAATGGATGCTGCAAACTTACTGAAACCCATGTTGGCTCGTGGTGAATTACGTTGTATTGGTGCTACTACCCTTACTGAATACCGTGAAATCGAAAAAGATCCTGCCTTTGAGCGTCGTTTCCAAAAGGTGGATGTTGGTGAGCCTTCTGTCCCTGCCACCATTTCCATTCTTCGTGGTCTCAAGGAACGTTATGAGAATTTCCATGGTGTCAAGATTACTGATTCTGCTTTGGTTCAAGCGGCTCAACTCTCTGACCGTTATATCACTACTCGTTTCTTACCTGATAAAGCCATTGATCTGATTGATGAGGCCGCTGCCAATACTCGTGTTCAACTTGACTCTAAGCCTGAAGAAATTGATGTACTTGAACGAAAGCACTTCCAACTTGAAATTGAGGCCAAGGCTTTAGGAAAGGAAAAGAACAATAAGGAATCTAACGAACGTCTCAACACTGTCAAGGAAGAAATGGCCAGGATTAATGAAGAGTTGAAACCTTTGAAGCTCAAATATGAATTAACCAAGGGTCGTTTGGATGAAATCCGTGATTTGAAACAAAAATTGGATGATCTCAAGTCTAAGGCTGTTGAAGCTAAGAACCGTTACGATCTTGATACTGCTGCTGATATTGAATATTATGCTATTCCCGATGTTGAACAACGTATTGCTGAACTTCAAGCCGAAAAGCTCCGTAAGGTAAATGAAGAGTTAGCTAATGATCAAGGCACAGATAATACCATTTTGTCTGAGGTTGTTCGCCCCGAACAAATCATGGAGGTTGTTTCTCGTTGGACCGGTATTCCAGTACAAAACTTGGCAAGATCTGATCGTGAAAAGCTCTTGAACATGGAAGCTGAAATTACTAAACATGTAGTTGGACAAGAAGCTGCTGTCAAGTCCGTTTGTAATGCTATTCGTCTCTCTAAGGCTGGTCTTCAAGATCCTCGCAAACCTTTGGCTTCTTTCATGTTCTTGGGTCCCACTGGTGTTGGTAAGACTTTACTCTGTAAAACTTTGGCCGAATTCTTGTTCAATGATGAAAAGGCGATGATCCGTATTGATATGAGTGAGTTGATGGAACAACACAGTGTTGCTAAATTGATTGGTGCACCACCCGGTTATGTTGGTCACGAAGATGGTGGTCTCTTTGAAGCAATTCGTCGTAAGCCTTACTCTGTCGTGTTGCTCGATGAATTAGAAAAGGCTCATAAGGATGTTGCAAATGTCTTGCTTCAAGTGCTTGACGAAGGTTTTATTCATGATTCCAAGGGTCGTAAGATTGATTTCCGTAATACTATTGTTGTAATGACATCTAATTTGGGTGCTGGTCTTCTGGTTGATCAAGTCAAGGGTGATATGATCATGTTAAAGGAAAAGATCTTGGAAGTCGTACGTCAACACTTTAGTCCTGAATTTACCAACCGTATTGATGAACTGGTTATCTTCAATCGTCTTACCCAAAACAACATTACCGGTATTGTTGATGTTCGCCTCAAGGAAATTGGTGAGCGTCTTGCAGATCGTCGTATCACATTACAAGTCTCTACAGCAGCAAAGGAATGGCTTGGTGTCCATGGTTACGAACCTATCTTTGGTGCTCGTCCATTAAATCGTCTTATCCAACAACGTGTATTGAATCCTTTGGCTAGATTAATAATCGATGGTGGTGTTCGTAACGGTGAAATTGCTCATGTTGGACTTTCTGAAGATGGTGAAATTGATGTTATTCGTAACCATGAAAGTGAAGCAGGATATGTTACTGAAGAACCAATGGAGGAAGATGAAGATCATGATATGGATTAAACCCAATTCATTAACTATGTATATAAACACCCTATTGTAAATATCTTGCATGTTAACCAAAAAATATAATAAACATTCATATCAATCCTACTCTATTTTTTTTTTTCATTTGTCTGAATTTAAAGTGAGAATCCGTATAAAAAGTTTTTTTTTTCCTTGCACGGGGGGAGTTATTTTTTTCCTAGTTCTTTCATTTTTTATTTTAAAAAACGACGAATATGGCTGCCGTCAACAAGAGAGAGCTTCCTCCTAAAGAAGCTGCTGTTTTTAGAAATCTCTTGGTAATTTTCTTCTTAAATACTTGACGCGTCTGTATTCTTTAGTTTGACACTTTATTTTCTTTGCAGAAAAACTATGAACTTCGTCAATACAAGAAGGGTTTGAAGTTGGCCGAGGGTATTCTCAAGAAGCATCCTGAACATGGTGGTAATGAACAAGTGAAATATTAATTAAAAGCGAGTTTTAATGACACTTTATTTATTTAGAAACCATGGCCTTGAAAGGTTTGTTCTTGAATAACCTTGAAAAGAAGGAGGAAGGTTACGAATACGTCAAGAAGGGTCTTTTGAAGGATTTGACTTCTCATATCTGTAAGTCAAGGGGATAAAGAATTAACTTGGATGACATCTAATTTGCTTATTTAGGTTGGCATGTTTACGGTCTCTTGTACCGTGCCGATAAAAACTACGAGGAAGCAGCAAAGTGTTATGCCAATGCCTTAAAATTCAACAAGAACGATCTCAACATTCTTCGTGATTTTGCCATCCTTCAAACACAAATGCGTCATTATGATGCTCTTGTTGTATGTATATTTTTTTGCTATTTCCTCCACATTCAGCTACTTATCAGTGTTATTGTAGGATACCCGTACTAGACTTTTAGAATCCAAGCCCCAAAACCCTCCCTTTTGGCTTGGTTTAGCTATTGCTTACCAACTTGTCAATGAGCCTCATAACGGTGTCAAGGTGTTGAACACACACGCCGAATCTAATATTCCTGTAGGTGTCTCTTTTTTTTTTTCTCTTGATAAAAATGTCACTAACAGTTGGTTACAAAATAGGCCGCCTCTACCGATTTTGAAAAGTCTGAATTGCTCATGTATCACAACATGTTGTTGGAAGAGACTGGTGATTTCCAAAGCGCTTTGGACCATCTTTTGGAAATTGAATCCCAAGTCACCGATAAGAGATCATGGAAGGAAAAGAACGCCTTGTATTTGGTCAAGTTGGGTAAAAAGGAAGAAGGAGAGAAGGCTTATAGAATCTTGATCAGTGAGAACCCTCATAATGGTGCTTATATCAAGGCTCTTTTGGCCCTCAAGGAAAAATGTAAGATATATTGATATGTATGAGGTTATTGTTTCACTGACATGGTATGTGTTTTTAGCTGAGATTAACAATGTCTTGACCGATCTTTTCGCTCAGTATCCTCGTTCCAAGGCCATTGAGCATTTGATTCTTGAACATGCTGAAGGTGAATCCTTCAAGGTCAAGGTTGAGGCATCTCTTCAAAACGGTTTAAGAAAGGGTATCCCATCTTTATTTGCTGCCATGAAGAAATACTATGCCGATGCTGAGAAGCAACGTGTGATTGAAGAACTCGTCGTTGGTTACAGTGTTTCTTTAGAAAAGAATGGTACCTTTGGCGCTGACTCTGCCAAGGAACCTCCCACTGCTTTATTATGGACCTTGTATTATCTTGCTAAGCATTACGATTTCCATCATAAGCTCGAAAAGGCACTCGAATTGATCAATAAGGCCATCGCTCATACTCCTACCGTCGTTGAACTTTACATGACCAAGGGCAGAATCTTGAAGCATTCTGGTGACGCCCAACAAGCATCCAAGGTCATGAACGAAGCTCGTGAAATGGATCTTCAAGATCGTTTCATCAACTCCAAGAGTGCCAAGTATATGTTGCGTGCAGGAGAAATTGAAGAGGCTGAACGTGTCTTGGGTTTATTCACTCGTAAGGATGTTAACACTGTTCAAGATTTGACCGATATGCAATGTCAATGGTTCATGACTGAAGAAGGTAATGCCTACCTCAACAAAAAGGAATATGGTAAGGCCTTGAAGCGTTTCCATACTCTTGAAAAGTTCTATGTTGATTACTTTGATGATCAATTCGATTTCCACACCTATTGTCTTCGTAAGTTGACTCTCCGTTCTTATGTCGACACTTTGCGTTGGGAAGATAAGCTCAGAGCTCATCCTTTCTACCTCAAGGCCGCTAAGGGTGCTGTCCAAGCCTATTTGGCTCTTGCTGATAAACCTGCTGGCACTGATGAATTTGATGAAGCCAACATGTCTGAAGCCGATAAGAAGAAGGCTAGAAATAAGGCTCGTAAGGCTGCGTTGAAGGCTCAACAAGATCAAGAAGCAAAGAAGGGTAATTATAAAAAAAAAAAGGAGAGAAAGCAGCATAAAAATGGGAAATTCCTAACTTGTTTAATTAGCTCAAGAAAAGGATGATGCTATTAAGCAAAAGCATGACAAAAAGCCTGTTGATTTAGATCCTGAGGGAGAGAAATATGCCAACACTGAGAAGCCCTTAGAGGATGCGCTCGTATTTGTTAAGCCTTTGGAATTATTGGCTCCTCAAAATGTTGAAGTTCATGCTCTTGGATTCGAGATTTATATTCGTCAACAAAAGTACTTATTAGCTGTCAAGGCTCTTGGCAAGATCGCTAGAATTGACAAGAAGACACCTTCTTTAAAGACTAACTTGGATAGATTGGAAGCCGCTGTTAAGGCTCACAAAGATTTAGACCCCAAGATCAAGCAAGTTGTTGATCTTGAACTCACTGAAATCAGCAAATTATAAAAAAAAAATAAACTTTTTTTTTAATGCAAAAAAAACAACTGAAAACGGAGGTTTAAATTTAGGTTTATCAATCAATGTCCATTGAAGTTGGAGAATAGTAATCCGATGGCTTATTAAGGACCTAAGTAAGAAGGGAGGGATAAAGAGAGGTGAGTTTATGGGGGTATTTTTCTTGATATGATTATTTGCTATGAAAAAAAAACCTCGATTGCTTTGTGTTTGTGTGGTTTATGGTTCAATGCTTTCAAAATATTCTGATATGCTAAAATATCTCTCGGGTCTGTCAACCTATCCATTGAAAAGTTAATAAAACGCTTGATAGATGAGCTAAAATTAAGGATTTACTCTGGGTTCCCCAATACAAAATTGGGAATTCTGGGTTTATTTTCACCTGGCCGTATTTCCATGGGAAGACCATTTTCGTCTACATCAATTATGACTTGTCCATTGGCATCAAGTGACATAAACTCAGGTTCAGAGGAAGGATCCTCGGTGAATTGATAAACTTGTGGATGCACTAATCGAAATGGTAACCAAAAATATAAATCTCAAAACCGTATTTACAAAGAGAGAGAGAGAGAGAAAAAAATGTCTTACTTGGGTCAAGTGTCATTGCAGCCATTTCTTTTGCAAAACTTTCTTCAGATATAAACTTCTTCCTTGGTAAACCATAAGGAGGACCGTCATATTCCAGAGAGTTGTCATGGGCTCTTTTCTTTGGGGAATGAGTGTTCATTAAAGAGATTAAGAGGGAGAAAGGAGTCAAGCTTAAAATTATACGAGACAACCCTTTTTGGGGCATGTCTCCCCATTGGGGTTTTTTTTTTATCTCAGGTTTCTTAGGGGCCGCTGGTGTTTTCTTAAGGATCGCCCAGTCAGGGAACCATTATGGTCGTATCTACTACGGTAAGACTTTCAACTTTAAGGGAGTATTTCTTATGGAGTTCCTTTGCTGCAGTGGTTGGCTTTGTGAGACATGCGTCTACGTCAGGCTCTGTCAACTATAACCATAAGAACTCAGCATTTCCAAGTAAACTCAACAAAGGAGCATACATTGGCAAAGCAGAAGGTTTTTTTTTTTTCGTACAATCTTAATCGTTATCCGCCTAATTAAAATAAATTGGCTGTAGAAACCATGGCATGCAAGGTTTATTCCACAAGGTAAGCTGCCATCGAGAAAAGTTGCTCCATACCGTAAATCGAAATTATATCAACCAAAGCATTGATACAAATACCTTTGGGGAAATTCTATTTCAAGCCTATAGCACAGTGGTTGTTAACCCAATATTTTCACAATAGAAGACGCAATTGAACCAAGTATTGAGATTGATTTAGGCACGTTTGTTTTGTTCTGATCTCTCAATAGCTTTGCTTCTCCCTCCCTAGTTCCGAAAAAGAAACCAGGAAAATTATACATGGAAAGGAAGGTATTAGGAAGAAAGTGAAACATGTTTATTATATTAAAGGAGGTACAATTTGTTACCTTTTGTCATTTTTAAAAGTGGCACGGTTACAATATGACAAATTCATTAGACATACAGCAGTCTACTCCAAACTAAAAATGACATTTTGTTTCTAAAACCTGTGAAAACGAACGGTCATCTCCCTTGAAAGACAATACAAATTATATTATAAGCTAGCATAGAAAAGTATGATAGTACAATGAACATCAGTTTAGATTAGAAGGTTAGCTGTTTTTAACAATTAATGGGCACTTTTATAACTTTTTTTTTTTTTTGATCTACAATTACGATTAAAAGTTTTCTAGTTTGAGGGACTTAATTCTTTAATACGCATTGAGTTGATTTTTATAAAAAAAAAAAAAAAAAATGCTAAATAAGTTATTACTTGATCTATGCTACTACATTTTGTTTCTTGTGTATTTGTAGTATAATTTCCAATGCAATGTTCAGATAATAAGCTTAATAAAATTAAAAATGTCAATTGACACATTTGAAAAGAATGGTCTCTAAATCACACATGTAAATACTGTCGCAACAATAAATTGAGGGCGCTTGTCTACAAAAGTCGATCTGGAAATGTTAATAAACTAAAATACGAGGTAAAATCTGGTGGATTCAGGAATAATTACATCTAAATCTGTATGCCAAATAAACCGAACAAATATGATGAAGGTGTATGAATCAAGGTATTGACTGAAATAGCTAGGGTCAGGAGTATCTATACCCGATTATCTACCACCTATGTATATGCTGCCATCGTTTGTAAAGGTCAATAATCTGTCTTTATATGGACAAACACTACAGAATCTGATATTGACGAGATCTGCATCAATCCTCTTACGGGTATGGTGCATATATACAGAGAAGCAACAAAAAGTTTTTTTTTTCCTATATGTAGAAGCAAACTCTTTTTTATCGTCTACGATAATTTGAAATCAAGATTAAAAACGGTTTTAGAAACCTGCTTATCTTTAAGGCTCGGCTCTTTATAAAGCAGTATCTGATAACTGACTTATTTTTTGCGCTTTAACATGTTTAACCAAATGTAATGCACGCTCATTCGGCTGTATTAACATGGACCAGTCAATAAGTATCATAAGACTTTTGCTACATTGAAAAGTCACACACAAAATGTAGGTCTCTCTTATTAAAAGTCAACCATGCAACTGATTACAAGTGTTTTCAGTACGCGTTTTTGGAGTATTGTTCCTTGTGTGTGTAATTCGTTGATGATGTATTTCTCTCAAGGATATAAACCAGTTGTTTCACGGTAAAGAAAAAAAATCTTGGGCAGCTTTGATAAGCAGACCAAACGAGCATTAAGCAGTACTCTTTCAGATTGGACTAAAATAAATAAATAATACCCGTTTTTTTAAAAAAAAAGTGAGGAATATGTATAAACTCAGGAAGGGAGGGGGGGGGGGTCGATGATCTTTAAATTGATGGATCTCGGTATATCTTTATTTAACAAAATGTGGGGGTGTTTATGACGCTGAATTCACATACATAGTCTGGATTCTAAGAACCCAAAATCAATAATTTTGAAACGGTGACACGTTAAAGAATTTTACAATCGTAATCTTAATCTTTGTTACGACATGACGTATAATTATTCATAAAATGATATAGTACTATATATAAAAAAGAGAGTCCGCTACCTGTTTGCTGTTTATTAGACAGCTTTTTTTTTTATATTATGTGAATATAGGTGTGATATAAGGAACACTACAAATAAGACTACGCCATGCCTAAGCTACATTGTGTAATACCCTTAGTAAGCATTGCTTTATCCGTGGTTAAAACTGGTCCGTTCCCTGTTATTTATTTAATCGTGTACTACCAGGCGTGCCGGATGGTTATCATCCAAACTTTTTAGTCTAGATTTTCTTGGCAAGTCTATTTGCAAAGTCAATTACCTATCAAGTTATATACATGTATTTTTTTTTTCTGGGACAAACAATATGATTGTGGAGAAGAAGGATGCTGCGATAATTAATTGAAGAATCAGGGTCAGTATCAGTTCTCTATCTTTAAAAGATAGGTATAATTTGGACACAATCTAGCAAACTGATCGAGCCAGTAAAGAAAAGGTTGGGAAAATAACGGACTTGTTTTGACTTGAGAAGTGTCAATTTTTAGAATGTTTGGTTGGCCGACACTTTTAGGAAGGATACAATCAGAGCAAATCAGCTCATTTATTGACGTAAACGAGACCATGACGTTCAGACTGGTAGCGTCAGTATGTGTGTGACATAAACCCTGAAGAGTTTTCCATTTATTGCAACTCCATTTTTTTTTTTATGATTAACATAAATTGCGGATGATATGGCAACTGGCAAATGCATTTCCTCGGCATGTCGTCATTTATAGAAAAATAGTTGGGGGGTAAGAAACTGAAACCCCCCCCCCCCCCAAGGAAGGACAAAAAACGTAAAAGATGCTCCCATATGGCGAGCAACTCCGTTGATAGAATAAAGCTTACAGACCACGTTTTGATATTTCAGGCCGATACGCTATCCAATCGAATACGACTAGGTACACTCATCAGTCTCCTGCCCAGAAATTAGAATAGTTTTGATATCGTATCACCTTGATTGGGCGATAAATAGGGTTTACGAAAGGAATGATAAGCTTTTGTACAACGTAGATTCGACATAAATTGTGTTGTCTGATTATTTTTTTCTGTGAGTGAATGTAGAATAAGACGCACAACAACCTTAACCTTAAGGAAAATATTGCATTATCTCGGGGACATTCTCGTACATCAGGTCATCCTTCTTTTTATTACCTTACGATTTTACATAAATTAAAACTGGTATCACACTGTCTAGGGGTAAGTAAAATAGTAAGTAATCGGGAAATTTTTGGCCATTTAAAGTGTACAAAACGGGATAAAATTTAATCATCCGTTTGATAGCCCGCTTAAACGTGTGGTATCATTTTATTTTTATGAGTCTATCCACTTTTGTGAAATAAACTAATGCTCCACACACTTTGAACCAATGGGTTTAGGACTGCAGCATTGGATATTAAGAAAGTATATTTCTTTATAAGCTATAGTCTGTAGTTTTTGTTTATTTTTTTGTGATGCAGTTCAAACTAAATCATCAGCATGTGTCAGAGGGAAGCTCCATTGGGAATATGATACAGAGATGTAAGTGGATAAGATACATTCTTCAAATATGCGTAACATACAAATAATGGGGTAATTATGTAGTGCTGCAGCTATTTCTTGTTTATTAGCTAGACAGCCATCCCTGAATAAAATAGTAGAAGGATAAATGTAGAACCGTATTCTGTTCTTTTACTGCGCACCTAAAATGAGTGATTATGCCGACCTACTAATTCACCTGGCGCTGTCTTAGTTGTGACATTTACTGCAGAAGAAGTAATGAAAAAAAAAGCGCCTAGTTTTACTGTAAATACGGGTTTTCTTTGTTTTCCCAGAAAGCAGTGTATGGGGGGAAAAGACAGTTCCAGGCATGTATGTCATATCTTCTATTTTTGAAATTCAGCGGGGATTTGATCAAAAGCTTTCTAAAGCAAATCGGCAGAAAGCCGTGGAAGCGGAGATCGAATACAACTCCGGGCATTTTTTTTTTTTTTTTTTTGCTGCTTCATGCACGTTTTTGGAATAGCATTGAGAATAAACTGTCAAAAGAAAAAAAAAATCGAGCCACTCAAATCATGAGATTTTAAATAACCAATCAAGGGACAATATGGTGTATTAAGTGTGTTTGAGTGTTTATCAAGGTAGAAACATATGATAAAAACGTAAGATTAAACCACATGATAGTTGGTCAGACAAATATTTCAAATTCAGTGTGTGACAGGACAGGAACAATAGATAGAGTGCCCTTGATCTTGACTAGAGATAACCATGGGGTAAGTTGGTTAAGTAAGTAAGGCGGGGACGAATACGGTATTAAAGTGAAACTAGGCCATTTGATGTACTGCGATTAAGTTATGTAAGTAGCAAGGGTTGTTCCCGTTTTCCAAGGGCTCTTTTGACTCATGTCTGGGGGGAAACTAAGAAAAATCTGATTAGTATGAATCCCCGCTTGCAAATAAAAATGGTGTGGAGAAAATCGAGGGAAAGATACGGATGGAGATTGGGCCATGTGCAAAAAAGAAAAAAAAAAGACCCTGAAACATACTTGACCAATCAAAAGTAATATTTGATAAGCACACCTTTTTTTAAGGGTGGAAAATGAACAACGGGAAAATCTGGGTCACGGCTGAAAATTAGGGTAATGTCGGATTAAGCGGAATATAGATTAAATTATTTTTATTTTAGAAAAAATAGAGTGGGGGGGAGGGTTATATTAAAATGCGTTATATAAATTGCTATACATAATTAATGAATGGGATTTGTGTGTGTGTGTGTGTGTGATTGTGCTTATTATATACATGAAATGCTATGAAAGGGGAGGAGAGAAAAGAAAGAGAAAATATACATATGAAATTTAGAATTGAACAACAGAATGAATGGAGGGTAATGAAGCATCGTTCATAAGGCTGTTTGTTGGCATAGTAGAAACAGAAGGACTGATAGGAGGCAATACACGTGCTTGAGGAGGTCTATCTAACAAATCTAAAAGACTTGGGTGATTGTGCTTTGTCATACGAGTGGACATGGAATCAAATTGGTTACATTCTAACGGAGCCAATTTAAACATTGAGATCCTTGGTGAGCCAATAGGAGACAAGATAGTTGGAGATAATGTGGGTGATTGTTCTGGGGTAAAAATCATTTCGTCGTTATCTTGAGAAAAGTTGGAACTTGTTGAGAGAGCAGGTGAAGGTGGCATTGAGCGAGAAACAAGCACAATGGGTTGATGTTGTTGTTGTTTAATATTCTTGCGAACACGTCTCTTGTTAGGTGAAGTGTGAATACGCACATGGCGAGTTAATTCATCAGAACGTGAAAACTTTTTGGCACAACCGGGAAATGTACATTGATGAGGTTTTTCACCTGTATGAGTACGAATATGACGAGTTTGATGTTCTAAGCGGTAAAATGATTTGGGACACATTGGACACTTGTAAGGTCTGGGAATGTTGGCTTTGTCAAGAGGTGTAATCGCTCTTTTAGTGGCCGGTGTGTTAATATCGTGCAATGTTTGGAATAAGGTAGAATTCATTTTTTTTTTTTTTGGTGTGGGGAAATATAATATGAAAAAAAAATTGTAGAAAGGGTGAGAAAATATGGGAGTCCCTTTATATAAAAAAAAAATTCTTAATTTGGTAAGTGCTCTTTTTTGTGATGATGGCTGAGATAAGACGCCCTGTAAGACATGCTTACAATGGTTTTTTCTCCACAACATCCGAAAAAAGATGAAGGCGATAACCCAAAAAGGAAATCCCTTAAAAAAAACTTATTTCACACGTTGCTTTTTGATTTTATTACCATGGTAACAAATATAGGGTGAAAAAAAAAAATTGTATACATTAAAAAAAAATATATAAAAAAAAAATTAAATACTTATCAATAGATAGCACATAGATAATCAATAAAAAAAAAAAAAAAATAGAAGTGAAGACGACCTTTAAAAAAAGTCTTATCTTAATACCATATCAAATTTAATTCTCCTTTTTTTCCCTATTCTACCCCCCTCTCTCCCTTCTCCCCTCTCTCTTTTTTCTCCTTCCTATGTGTGGGGTAAATCAATACCAGATCGTCGGGCTATTTTCATTATCAATTCCGATTATTAAACAAAAAAAAAAACTCAAATGTTTCTCATTCCGAATAATCATCACGCAATAAGGGTCAGATATCTTTTTTTTTTCATGAAAAACTGCGTGGAAAAAATCACACCACGGGTGTAGACCCTTTTGATTGCATACCAGTCTTTATTAACATGAGATAATCATTCTGGAATGAATCTCCAGTAAAAAAAAAAAAAAAAAAAAATAGATGTCCGTGCTTATTATCCAATCAAGTGGTATCACTCTTTCACACGCTGGATGATATACAGCGATCCTCTATCAAGAAACTCATACTGACATTACACGTGAAGCCTATTCCATCCGGCTTTCATAAATAAGATATGTCGGCTTTTTAAAATTGATCTGTCTACCATTTGTCTTGTGAGCAGTCACAAGATAAGGGCGCTCCCCACCCACCAGTGGGAAACAACAAGAATTACGCATTAATATTCATGCTTCCTCCCCCTTATGACTGGAACAATACTTAAATTCACACCGTTTAATTCTGCAGTAGATGCTTCCTTTTGGCAAGCTCTTGTAAGCAAGAAATTAGACGTATTGAAACTATCTGAAGAACAACAATCTGTTCATGGCGAGTATACATTGGGTCAATCTGTCCTCAATGACCAACAGGAAACTGTGGTTTTGCCCTCTCGGTTTTCTATCCCAGCTAACGGACTTGAAGTAAAAGGGGAAGGCACACTGGTCCTTACTAATACCATTGAAGAGTTCCGCACAATTGATAAGAACGCACTGTTTCAACAAGTAACAGAAAAGGTAATTCAGTCCCTATTTAACACTTTTTTTTGAAATAGCTAAAAGGAAAAACAGATAAAAAAAGGAGTAGATAGTGGTGAAGCGGTTACAAATCCACATGTTTTATCTTCATTTCTGTTAGTTACATTTGCAGATTTGAAGAAATACAAGTTTTATTATTGGTTTGCATTTCCTGCAATCATGCCGCAACCTGATCCATGGACAAGTCAGCCTATCAGCAACTGCCCTGTAAAAAAATAAATAACTCTCCTTATTATTCTTTGTGTTAGCTAAACTTTTTTTTTTTTTAAACACATAGATACTGGAGCATGTTGAATGGCCTTTTTTTTTGCTGAAGGAAACGGCAGGTGAAATGATTGTAACACAACTGTGTGATTTTAATGAATTTTTCAAAGATATCGACCAAGATAATGTAATCTATCTAAATTACTCTTTTTTATATATACATGACTAATAGATAGTAAATTATACAGCGCATTGTTGGTTTTGTCGACCCTTCATCTACAGATACTCCTGGCTGGCCCTTGCGCAATTTATTGTATCTATTAAATACTGCATTTCATGTGACAAAAATTAAAATTTTGAGTTATCGTAAACAAAACTCATTGCTATTTCAAGTATCTTTACCCGCAGGTTCTTCCTATCAAGGTAATCCCCTATTATTTCTTATTATTATTCCTTTTTTAACAAAAAAAAAAAAAAAAAAAAAAATAGAGGTTAAATCTGTGGGGTGGGAAAGAAACGTGCAAGGCAAACTTGGGCCTAGAATGGTAGACCTGGGACCGCTCATGGATCCAACTAGGTAAAATAAATAATAAAATATCATAATAAACAGTGTATGATACATACTAACCTAATTGCCTAGACTTGCCGACACTTCTGTCGACCTCAATTTAAAGTTGATGAGGTGGCGCTTAATGCCTGACCTTGATTTGGAAAAGATTAAGCAAACCAAATGTCTACTACTTGGTGCGGGTACCCTGGGCTGTTATGTGGCTAGGTGTTTAATTGTATGTAAATTCCATGTATTTCACATGATTATTTAATTATGCGTGCGTGTACTTTTTTTTCTTTTTTCTTAGGGTTGGGGTGTACGACATATTTCCTTTGTTGATAACGGTAAAGTTTCCTTTTCTAACCCTGTAAGACAACCATTGTATCAATTTGAGGATTGTTTGCACGGTGGCTCTCCCAAAGCTGAAACTGCCGCTCAAAACCTCAAATTAGTTCAACCCACCATTGTAGGTCATCTCTATTTGTGCTTACTGAACTATGACTAATCTCTAACAGACCTCTGTGGGCTACAATCTGTCGATTCCCATGCCTGGCCATCCGTCAACGTCAGACGAAAAGCTAGCAAAAGACATTGAAAGTTTATCATCACTAATCGAATCGCACGACGTCATTTTCCTTCTCACAGACAGTCGAGAAAGTCGATGGTTTCCAACATTATTAAGCGCCAAATACAACAAGATGGTGATTAATAGCGCGCTTGGATTTGACACGTATCTCGTGATGCGACATGGAACAAGCGTAAACGGACTAGGGTGTTACTTTTGTAATGATATAGTTGCTCCCAATGATGTAAAAGGTCTAGAATATGTTTATTATCTCCACTTTCTTTAATTGTTTTTATTTAGTCTCTTACTGATCGTACGCTGGATCAACAATGTACCGTGACTAGGCCCGGATTGGCTGCAATCGCTGCGGCATTATCTGTTGAATTAATGGTATCACTACTTCAACATGCTGAAGGGTAATCATTTAAACTCCCGTCAAAAATTTTCATCTTTTTTCTAAAAACAAAAAAATTTCTTTGTTTTGATAAGGATCAATGCAAAGGCCGATACGACAAATAACTCTACCATTCTGGGATTATTGCCTCACCAAATACGCGGCTTTTTGGGTCAATTTAGCAATATGTTAATCGCAGGACAGTCTTATGATAGATGCACAGCTTGTTCAGACAAGATTCGGATTGCTTATGATAAGGACAATCTGAGTTTTATGACACAAGCCTTGAAAGACCCTCTTTATTTAGAGGAACTAACTGGGTTAGCAGCCATGAAGGCAGAGAGTGAAGCGTTGTTACTTCAAACTGACTGGGCAGAGGATGAGGAGGATGAGGATGATGAAGGGCTTTTAATTTAAGGGTGGGAATTTTCCCTTGGAGGGGAGGTCTGATCCTATATATTACAAATAAACATACAAATCCCCACACATATGTTTTTGTGTTACCTTACTTCTATCGGAAAAAAGCGTGTTAGAAATATATAAAAAACTTTAAAAGGTCGATCGTGTTAGTTTCCCGTGAAGAACAATATCCGGGGATAAAAAAAAAAAACTGGTGGTAATTTTCCTTCTCCCCATCGTACGAGGGAATGCTTTTTCGCTTGTGTACGGAATACACTTCCGCAAATGTGACAAATATTTTACCGGTATGACACTGAAGCATATGAAATCCAAATTTAAGAATTTTTTTTTCCCCACATTTTTTGTCAAACATGTTTTCTATTTTATTGTGATACTACTTTACAAACCACTTTTTGATTTGTGTTACCTAGCAACCCCGTACCTTTTTTTTTTTTTTTTTTTTTTATCACCCAAATTAAACACATGCAGCTATGCCAACTTTATGTTATTTGTCTGGGAAGAAAACAAAAATAAATGAACCCCAGTCGCCAACCCAATCTTGTTTAAACATGCACGTTTCCCGTAGCTCTAATCTCTTTTTCAAAAATCGCTGGTAATAATTTGTACGGAGCTGGTTTTATTTCCCCCGCAAAAAAGATAAGATGGTCCACAGATAAACAAAAAATCTTTTACTGCTAAGCACATGCAAATTTTCCTTCCCGTTTCATTAAGAGTTTTCCAATTGCTTATGTAACTCCGTAGACTTCTAAAAAAAAAAAATTGTGAGAAAAATATATCCGAAAAGCATAATGAGCTAAATTATTCCCAGGCTCAAGCTAAAAATGGACAAACCGGGTTTATACCGGGAATGACTCAAATTGCCAAGAATTGATTTATCATCAAGTTATAGCACGGTTTTTTCGACCCTTGCATCAAATTACGTAATAGTCTCAGAAAATTCTTTTTTTTTTTTCAGCTTTCAAGAAAAAATTCCCTACCCCAATCAGAAATTTAATATTTCCCCTGGCCAATCAATTTTTTAAAAAACATCCTAACCAATTAAAATTACCATTTACATCATTTACATCATTATACATTTTATTTATTTTATGGATGCTTATACAAGACATCCTATACAATAAAATAGTCAATGTGAATCAACTGCAATGCATTGGATACCATATTTGCTTATGAAAGAATAAACATTGGTAAGGTTTGCTTAAAAAAAGCAAGGCATTTCTACTTGCTTGTTCAACTTGCCAGTGAGTAACATTAAACTTTTTGTATTCGCGGACTTTTCAAAAACCCATTATTGTTGCTCAAGTCGAACATCATAATTCTTGGTGTTTCCATTGGCAGGGATGTTATTTTTTCCCTCACTACTCTTGACACCCGATATGTAGGCTGCATGAGCTAATACCTTATTGTATCATTAAACCCATAATAACATAATTGGTATCCATTAATCTTTTCATTTTATGATGGAGTGTAAGCCTGTTGGCATACTTTTATTGTATACATGTATATCTTAGCTTGATATGTCTTGAACATTTTGAGTGTTTATTCTTTGCGAATATAATAACTCTTTTATCTTCAACTGCGTTTTTTCTTCTTTATACAATACATTAGATCACACCTTCTACGATCAACTAAAACACATTTGTTTGTCTATTGCTTAAGTCGGCTAGATTTAACTCTTCATTATGTAATTGTTTTTGATTAAGCATTTGCAGCGGCGCACTTAAATTTTCACTGAATAAATATGTCATTTTCTAAATGTAGTGTGAGTCCCCAGCAGTTAAAAATAAATTACTAAAGCTATAGATAGTTTCCGTAATGATCATCATCAATTTTCGCTGTCCATTTCAGTTGGAGTGGGGGCTACGATTGGAATTGGCAGTCTGGTTGCTCATTCGGTTTAAAAAGTTTAGGAAAAGAAACGAAACGAAAAAAAAACGAAAAGTTAAATTTTAAAAATTTTACGTTACATTTTAGACATTTAATCTGGTAGCTATTACTTTAGTGTGAGTTTAAATGCAACCGCTGCAGACACATTTCACTAAAAATGATCACTCATTAAATGTAGTGATTATTTTTAGTACACCGTTGCGGATGCTCTAATTCTTTTTTATGACGCTGGTTCTAGTGAATGTTATACCAGTGCTAGTGTTCTGCTTAATATCAAAGATGACAACACCATCTTTTTCGAGTGCTCTTTGGAATTGTAAAGTTTTATCAACCCTCTCATATCAACCACTTGTAATTTCTGGTTATGTCCTCTAATCTTCCAATGTTTCATCAAGACTTCGAGATAACAATGCTCATAAAGAATTTTACAAAACGCTTCGTTATTCAATCAGGATTTTTCATGGTCTCATCTACACTTGATTTTGAGATCGCTGAGAATGGCATGGGAGATATAGCTATACTTACATCATGAATAAAACCAACAGGACTTGGGTTTCCTGTAGCCAAATTCAAAAAAATAATCGTTTTGATATATCGCACGTTGATATAACTTTATAAAAGTTATTGTAGAAGAAAATCATAAACACGGGTTTGGTTGTAGTTACTCGTATCAAAGATAAATATTAGAAAAAAAAAGTGTTACATGATTAAAGTCAGTGATGCAATAGTAAAAATGCAAGGAACGTTTGGAAACAGCGTTAAGTGACAAATCAAGTCAGTGCCAAAGATTCTGTCTCTCGGCAGGAAGCTAAACAAGGACAGCTCCTTACAAACCACCACTACCATAAACATACCCCATTGAAATCTACTGTTTTTAGTTTATAACATTAAATATAAAAGATAGGCATTAAGACATAACATCATAGACAAGGCTGTAATTAGATCATTACGAAAGGTCAAATCCATGATGGATCACTATCTCTCCAAGCTAAAAAAGAAAAGAAATTCATCAATAGTTTAGATTAGGCATCAGATACCAATAAATGCCTTTTTAAAAAAAATACCCCCCTTTTGACTGAGATAAAGACCAAGCTGCAGATGCCTAGCCAGCTTAATTCCAGCTGCTTTACTGATGCTGATAATAATGCTAATAAAACACGCTCAGGGCGTTGAACTGCGTTGGAAATGTCGATAAAGCTGATGGGTACATTGAACTTGATAAAATATTAATATTAAAAAAAACGAGAAATATAACCAGCCTTTGGATAGGTTGGAGCCTACACAACCCAGCATGATCTTCCAAGTCTGTAAATGTTTCATAAGAAAAAAAACGGACTTTAAAACATTAATCTTTGTGCCTGGAATGAAAGGTTATTTTTTTCTAGAAATTTGGAAAGCTTTCTATTTTTTTCAAAGTTACATGTAATAGCAAAATTTAACAGATTCCCTCTAAATAAGTTTGTAGCTTAGAGATAACGATGCTTTATAGCTTAATACAAAAGCACATTGTAAAGTAGTTAGCAATAATATCAGAAGTTGTAAAATAGCTTTGGTGTACCAGTGGTATATACTCATTGAATTTGGTATGATAAGCCGCAGGTCAGTATACATTTCGTCCAAAAAGGGATACACATCATACATTGGAGTACAAATCATAAGGTCGACAATTCAAGGTTTGACAGCGCAGAATCTGCATTAAAAAGAAAAAGTGGTCACATGTGGCTTACCCGCTTGATTTTTTTCGACTCCCTCTGGCTGAAAAAAAAAACTTTAATTTAGGCAAGTTACTTCAAACTCTTTTTTTTTTCTTTCACAAAAAAGAAAATAGATTTATAGATCATGGGTAAAGCAAGAGAGAAGAAGAACTCCAAAGGTAAACCATAAACAAGAAACAATAAGAATGATACAGTCACTAAGTCAGATCTACTATTTAGGACGTTTGGATAAGTACTACCATTTAGCTAAGGAACAGGGCTACCGTGCCCGTTCTGCTTTCAAGCTTATTCAATTGAACAAAAAATACAACTTTTTGGAAAAATCCCGAGTGTTGATTGATTTGTGTGCTGCTCCTGGTGGTTGGTAAGTTTAATAGATTCGTAATTCATCGTGGACAGATCTTAATACTCCTTTTTTGTTGTTGTTAAAAGGCTTCAAGTTGCAACAAAATATATGCCTCAATCAAGTTTGGTTATTGGTAAATAATAGTTAAATGGAACGCAATGTAATTTTTTGTGACTAATGCTCTTCATTGTAGGTGTCGATCTTGTTCCTATTAAACCCATTCCTGGTGTTATCACCTTCACTGACGATATTACAACTGAAAGATGTAGACAAAACTTAAGACAAGAAATGAAGACTTGGAAGGCTGATGTGTATGTATTTTTGTCTTTCAAGGAAAATTGCATAGACAGCTAACATTCTCTTTCTATATAGTGTTCTTCATGATGGTGCTCCCAACGTCGGTAGAGCTTGGGTTCAGGATGCTTTCACTCAATCCGAACTTGTACTTGTTTCATTGAAGCTTGCTACAGAGTTTTTAGCCAAGGGTGGTACCTTTGTCACCAAGGTTTTCAGATCCAAAGATTATAACAAATTACTTTGGGTTTTCCAACAACTTTTCCGTAAAGTCGAAGCAACCAAACCTCCTTCTTCTCGTAACGTCTCTGCAGAAATTTTCGTCGTTTGCCGTGATTTCATTGCACCTAAAAAGATCGATCCCCGTATTTTGGATCCTAAATCTGTTTTCGATGATGTTGGTGCTGAGGAGCAAAAGAAGATGACCGATATTTTCAAGCCCGAAAAGAAGCACAGACACAGAGATGGTTATGAGGATGGTGATTATACTATGCACAAGACAGTCGATATTATGGAATTCGTCCGTACACAAGATCCTATCACTGTTTTGGGTTCTTATAATCAATTTACTTTCAACGAAGATGATTCTAGAGAACTTTACAAGCGTGAGATTACGACTGAAGATGTCAAGATCAATTGTCAAGATTTAAAGGTCCTTGGTAAGGGTGATTTCAAAACTCTTTTGAAATGGAGAGCTACTCTTCGTGAAGAATACAAGTTGGATAAGAAGGAAGAAGAGAAGGCCAAGAACGCTTTGATTGAAGAAGTACCTATTGATGAGGATGAATTACTTGAAGCTGAGCTTCTCAATTTGACCAAAGAGGAAGCTTCCAAGAGAAAGAGAGAAAGAAGAAAGGCTAACGAGAAGAAGATGAAGTTAATTCAACGTATGCAATTGAACATGATTATCCCCACAGATATTGCCTTGGATGAAGGTGGTGTTGCTGACGAAGAAATTTTCAACATCAAGAAGATCAACAAGGATGATTCTCTTGCTAAACTTCATGCTGGTGATATGGCCATGGCCGATGAATTCGAGGATGACGATGATAACAACGATGTCAAGGTCGATAAGAACCTCCGTGGTCGTATTAAGGAAATGGATATGGAATTAGATGAAAACCTTGATTCCGATGAAGAATATGAGCGTGATCTTGAAACACAAATGGATGAAGCATATAGTAGATATAAACAAAGTAGATCTGACAGAGACGCCAAATTCAGAGCCAAGCAAGCTCGTGATGAAGACGATGAATGGAATGGTTTCGATGACAAGAAGAAGACAGATGAAAACAGAGACAAGAAGTTTGATTCTGATTCCGAGTCAGCATCCTCTGAATCTGAATCTGAAGAATCTGATAGCGAAAGTGACTCTGATTCCGACAGTGATGATGATACTGTCAAGGTTAAAAAGGTGAAGGCTCCCAAGACTCCCAAGGTCAAACAACCCAAGAAGATTGCCACAACTACTGTCAATTCTCTCATGAACGATCTCGGTGAAAAGGCTGCTTTATCCAAGAAGACTGCCAGTGGTCTTACTACCGCTGCTTCCATGTTCTTTGACCAAGATATTTTCCAAGACGTTGCTCTCGATGAACTTGTCGATAACGAAGAAGATGAATCTAGCGATGACGAGAAGGTGATTGAAGAATCTCGTAAGAGAAAGAGATCCCAAAAGGATGTCGATGAAGTACCTGCAGCTGAAGAAGACAGTGACTTTGAAATTTTAGCAACTGAAGATGCCGCACCTTCCGACGAAGAAATGTGGGATGGTAGTATTGATGAGAACTCCAAGGCTATGCAATTAGCATTAGGTAAATTGAATATAATTTTACATCATTTGAAATTACTGTATATGCTAAACATTGTTTTAAAATAGAAAACGGTTTGACAACTGGTGAAGCTATCACAATGGCTCGTCAATTAGCCAACAAAGAAAAGACCGTTGAAGATCTTATTGATGCTGGTTTCTCTAAAGAAGCTTTCAGAGATAAGGATGGTCTTCCCGAATGGTTCTTGGATGATGAAAAGCACCACAACAAGCCTAATTTGCCTGTTACTAAAGAAGCTATGAACCAACTCCGTGAGAAGCTCAAGGCACTTGATGCCCGTCCCATTAAGAAGGTCGCAGAAGCCAAGGCTCGTAAGAAGTTCAAGTCTGCTCAAAGAATCGCAAAGGCACAAAAGAAGGCAACTGATATTGCTGATAACGAAGATATGTCTGAAAAGGAAAAGGCAAAGAACATTGGTAAATTATTGGCAAGAGCCACTAAATCAAAGCCAAAGACCGATATCAGAGTTGTTGTGGCTAAGGGTGCTAACCGTGGTGTGAAGGGTCGTCCTAAGGGTGTCAAGGGTCGTTATAAGATGGTGGATGGTGTCATGAAGAAGGAAAGACGTGCCGAAAAGAGAAGAGAGAAGAAGGCAAAGAAGAGTAGTGGTAATGGCCGTCGTTAAAAACAAGGAAAAATATTTTAGATTCCCTTTTCCTCCTGTTTAATTAATTTTTTTTTATCACGATACAACACTACCCACACACACAAACCATTCCATATATATTTGTACTGCAAACACCCCTCTCAATTTTTAAATGTCATTTTAATCAACCCAAAAAAATCATTAAAAGCTATCTGTATATTTTTATTATCACATGTTACAATCCATATTGATTTCCATATATAATTCATGCATAAGTAACTCTCAGTTGATCTTTGAGAAGTACTTTTGGGCCCACAGAACTTTAAAGACATGGTTGTTAAGGATCAGTAACCTGACTACACACTGTGTCTTTATGTCTTAAGAGCTCCTTGGTTTGACTTTTTTGGATTTGACTTTTGATTCGACTTTTGTGATGAACTGACATATCTGTTAATAATTCATCATCATAAATAACATCAAATACACTTATATCATCTCTTCTATACTAAAATAGAAATATCTCAGCACCCACACTTTATAAAGCAAACACATTTCTTTAGCTGATACATCTTCAACTAAAATAGAAGTGCAAGAAGACAATGTACTAAACTCAATTAGCTACTTTAAAAAGTCTTTTCTTGTAGGCAATCTTCATGTGTAAATAAAGTTGTTTTCACTTTGCGAAGATCAAAGATAGAGTGCATTTGATGCGTCCTCAACGCTTTTCGTGATACATCAAAGCATTCATCTGCAAGTAGCACAAACAATACAGACTAAAGCGGAAAATCCTAACTAGAATGAGTAGTGACTGCCTTTGCCAAAAAAACACTTCAGTGCAAAAAAAAAGTCATGATTTTGACCTTCAAAACCCACCAAAATTTGACCCTCATATTTTATTTTACAGCCAAAACCACAGAAACCACAAGAAAACCACAAGAAAATGGTAAACCACAAGAAAAAATTTCAAAAAAAAATTTTAAGAAATTTTTTCTTATTTACGAGAGTGGCTTTGGATTTTGGTTTCTTTATCTTTTCTAATACTATCAACACCTTTTAAACAAGTAGTTATCGTATTTTGTTGCAAGCAGAAGGACGTAAGAATTTCGATCAAACAATTAGTTATAATCGTATTTTGTTGGAAGCAGAAAGACGCAAGAATTTCGATCTTTAAATGTTAATCGAGTGTAAAGAATACGACAAAAACTTTACTTTGGACGACATCAAGACAGCCGTAGGCAAGCATTATGCTCAACCCATTCCTGAGGTTGAATAACCTCGTTCCCTGAGTAAATACAGTCTTCTCCCATTTACAAAAGACTGCGCCTCTTGAACCTAACCATGAGGGCACCGAGGCAGTTACTTTGACGTCCCAATATCTGTCTGAAAAGTATAGAAATCAGACAGAAGCCGAACTCGAGATACTGGAGGCTCATACCCAGGAGTTGGAGAAAGGAAAGGTCCTGGGAACCTGCGTCAAGTCAGGATTGACGAAATCCAAGGTGGAATCAACCCTGGTGTCCTATATGCGTGCGATGAATACTTTTAACAAGTTTGAATTCGCATGTATTTACGGCCAGGGTGGATCTTGGTACGACGTGTGTGCTGGAGGTAAGCATATATTATTCTTTTTTTGGGCAATTGTTAATATTTATCATAAAGAGAATGTCGAGAAATTGGACATGAAGAAATGGAAGAAGGAGGTTATGTCCTTTGCCTCTCTTCCTCCTCCAGTGAAAAAAGGTATTTATATGATACTAGTGAAAGTGACGATAAACATATATTGTATGCTTACATTTATTAAGCTACTCCTGTCTCTGTGGCTGCGCACGTCCAAAGAGTTACTACGGTCAAGAATGCTCTCAAGAGCCTCATCAGTAAGATTAAATCAGAAAAATTCAAACTGTTTGTCTAAATTTATTATGTAGATGACCAATGTAGAACCTCTTATGAAAACGTTCCCTGGAAGGACTTGGTCAGAGGTGAGGATCTTGATGAGCTTCTCCGCGTAGAGGCCATTGACACTAGCAGGCGTATAGTTGTTGATGGCTGGCCGTTAACCGATTTCGAGCTGAGAAACTTCTTGTTGCGAGGAAATTTGACGCGGGTAGAACGTTCTTACAATCAGCTCAGATTTAGAATGATCAACCCGCTTGCTGAGCCAAGCAGCCCAGTTGTCCAACCAAGCGACCTAATCGTCCAGCCAAGCGACATGAAAGTTCCATAATAAATAAAATAATAAAAAATTAAGACAATGCACTTTATACAGATGTTTTTATTGTTTTTGTTGATTGTTATATGATATCAAAAGTCGGATTGATGATGATCTATGTCAGTCAAAAAAAATGGATACTATTTTTGTATTTTGGGCGCACAAGTAATTCCTTTGGTATATTTCCGGTTTCATTCACCTTATCCTCAATCATCTTGATACACATATTATATTCAAGATTAAATAGTATAAATAAACAGTTTCATACAGATTCACTCAATAAAAAGACTGGCTTAAGTTTAATTTGTTGGATCATAAATCACGGCGGTTACAACTGGAGGAAATAACTTTATCTTAGTGATGGTGGATCTATTTTCAAGATTTGTAATGCTAAGTGCACTGCCAGATAAAAAAACTTCGACAGTAGCAAAACAATTAGTACATAATTTCTCTATATTAAGGCATAGTAAAATAATTAGTCATGACCACGAATTAGAATTTGACAATTTACTTATTAAGAGCATAATTAATCAATGTGGAATAGACCACAGATTATCATCGCCGTCCAACCCATGAGGAAATGCTGCAGATGAATCATATAAGTTAGAGATAAGATCATGTAGGTGTCATCATTCATCTCAAAATGAATAACGATACAGTATCTTTTAAATAGAGCTATGCATGGTTTGATTCATGGTATAAGAAATATATCGTTATTGGTGATTAATTGTAGCAGTCCGTAAAAATAAATTTTCACAAATAATAACACCATCAAAAGGAAAGAGTAACCAATAATTAATCCATAAGTTACTTTTCGCCTAAATTCTAATCAACTACGGCTACAAGCAAAACACTGCAAAAGGACCCTTTGGAAAGGAAGAATATTTGGCATTTATGTACTTCTAAATTATTCTTCGTCTGGCATGAAAAGGTCATAGATGAGTAATTTTATAAACGGGATCGTGCTGAAAAAGAAAAGACTGATTACGTGAAAATTGTATATCACTCCTTGAGACGTTACCTTAAATACAAGCATCATTAATAATGGTAATTTAGCCAAAGTCGTATCCAATGACCTGTTTTAGAATGTCAAATGCCACATGATCATTAAGACACATCGATAATCCGGTTAACGAGTGTGTTATATGAAATATACATGCATTTTAAGATATGAATGCTAATAGTAAGCGTAAAGTGAAGCTATATCAATATATAATAATCACTTAGGATTCAAGTAGAATGTATTTGATGTCAGTGTTTGAGTTGCTAGCCATTCTTGAGGTAAACATCTTTAATCTAAAAACCTTGTCCTTTTTACTTAATTATTTTATTCTGTTTTTCAGAATGAATATGACCTCCAAAAGGATATCTTAAGGAAATTGCGACGAGAAAATAACTTTCTCGACAATTGATGAGAAGGAGAATGTGCGATATAATTTCGAGAATACAGATTTTTGGAATAAATGTTTATGCTATTTCTTACTCCTTTATTTTATGCAAGCATTTATACTAAAACTCGTAATATACATGTCTTTATATGCAGTGTACTATTTTCATAAATTATTCGTGCACGCTTAGAATAAAATTTCAATCAGCTACGGAATAAATAATCGCTTAAAAATAACTAGGAAAAGGAATACAATCTGCTTCCACTTTCAAATTGTACATCTTTTAAACTTGATTTGAAATACCTCCCAAACTTCAATCGGAACACATTGTCGGCTTATTTTTCTTTTACCTGAGGACGCTTATGACAAGTTTTAAGAGAGATTGGACTGTTCAGCATAAAAGTAAAGCATAATCAACTTCCGGAGTCTTAAAACGCTGGAGTAAAGTATAATATTAACAAGATGAGATGTTGAGATAGGTCTAAGTATTTGGTTTTAAGCTTCTGTTACTCAACACTAAAAATCATTCTTTATAGTACATAAGAAAAACAAACTATTTATTGGATTGGTGTTTTCTTTTTCGGTAAAGATTTTAACTTTTGGAAAACAACCGCGTAACACCTAGAAGGGATGAGTCGGCTGTGGTGTTTTTTTTCTGTGGCTTTATTAATATACATCTATGCCTTTGTGTCAGTTTCAACAGCAATATCTAAACAACACAAAAATGTTAGTTTAAGTACACATTTTATCAAGTTAAACTTAAATTCTTACTTTCATCTAGACAAGGCAAGAAATAACGGGCGGAAGATCCAGTTCTTTTAGCCCTTAAACAGCGTAACCTTCGATATTTTGACTATCCTACACTGCTTTGGTGTTGCATGAAAATGCCGTAAGCAATTGTTTGGGCACCCTGATGACTTCGCTTGACTGCATAGTACATGAATGAGATAACAGAGAATAACATTAATCCTGGATTCACGGCCAATAGTTTGGTTGTGTAAAGAAGAAACTAAAGGAAGGCTATTGTCAACGGCATAGGAAACAATCCAAGCTTCACAAGATTAAACTGACAGGGGGTATTTATATCCACCAAAGTCCTAAACATATACGCAAGCCTGTTTGTCAACCCATCTTCTACCTGGGTCCAAGTTAGATCAAGATAAGGATAAACCACAGTATAAATGAAGGAGAGCATGGAATCTCCAAAAATCTAAGTTCCTAAGTGGAGATTAATATCATTAAAAAGTGATCGTCAAATTATTGTTATACTCACACATTGTCCGAACCGCTTCGATAAGTACTTCATGTGTCTAAATCTACTTGTAACAAAGCATGTTAGCAAAAATGGGGAAAACAAAAACCAATTAATAATATTACCAGTGATCATATTGTGCTTTGATCAAAAATCAATACAAAATCATTTTCTTTCCAGGGCATGGTTTGTACGAAAACGTCACCAATTACTTTGATGCTTTAATGACATTATTTGGCTCTTTAGACGCAGCTAAGATGGTATAGCTTTGACACAAGTTTGAGAGATTTGCATAGTCTTGAGGGAACGTTTGAAGAGGCTTGATACAAGATGAGAATATTTGACGATGGTTATAGAGTTGCAGAGCCTTTGGATAGCATTTAGAGAGACTTAACAAGATTCATGCGCCTTGACGAAGGTGATAGAGTTGCAGAGTCTTGAGAGGATTTGATAATATTTATAAAGTTAAGAAGATTTGAAGAAGTTTGCAAAGGTTTACATAGTAAGAAGAGTAGTAGTATAAGTTGAAAATAAAGATGAACGAACAAAGTATCAAGACTCTTCAAGTATTTTTAGTCACATGACTCATTTTTTTATTTACCTGCCTGGTAAGTCCATAATTAAACTGTTTTAAGGCTGAAACGCTTGTCAGATGATCTTTTTTTTTTTTTTTTTTTTTTAAAAAAAAAAAAAACGAAACGAGTAATACAGTAAGTTGCGACATCACTTTATACGAAGTAGATTGAAAGATCATATAATATTAATGCAGAGGATAAAGCTTCATGAAAACAAGCATACAGATAAGCATCAACGTACAGGTGAGAATAGAAGTACATAATGTCAATATTTGTCAATAAAACACTTAACATCATATGACAAGAGCAAATATTGATGTGTGGAATTATAATGGATTGTTCCGGCTCAGTAATGTAATATGTAATTCAAATCAGCAGTAGAATTCAGCTCATTTGATAGTTATAGTGTCGTAGTAGAAAGACATTTCCTTTTATCAACGTTATAGCTGAATATTTCAGCACAGCCGACTATACACTCATATTGACGAATTTTAAAGGGAAGGATAATGACACATCCTGTACCATATAATTTAGTCTAATCGGACCTTCCGTTTAGAGTCTTTATCTAAACATCAAACCTGTAAGATTATTTATATGCATGATGTTGGGGTTATTTTATCATTTGATGGAATGAGAGATCTCTAGGCGAGATACATATACTCATATAGGTAGAGGGTTTCCGATAGATTCCCCCTCATCTTAGAGAGGCGCTATTTACTCCAGCTTACCTTTTTTCCTTATCTAAAAACATATATATATATATATATATTGGAAGATGATAGCATAAAGAGTAGCATGAATGCAAAAGTGGGCTCCGAACTCGATCGAAAGACTTAATTTATCACGACGGGCACACGGCCTTAAGGAATCATGTGAAAAATTGTTTAATCTTGCAGATCTTTTTTTTTTTAATCCGTTGCACAAAAAGAACATCTCCCATGAAAAAGCAAAACTTTAATGCTCATTTTCTCAACATCCAATGAAGAAAGTAACCATGGTATGCACACGGATGTGATGAGAATTTGACGGATTATTCAAAGGATAATACATATGTCCAAAAAATAGTAAAAAAAAATTAAGTTTGTAAAAGTAGCCTAGACAAAATCAACAAAATAAACAAAAGAAAAACAAAAAACTCGTATAAAAGGGAGACTGCTGCGAAAAAAGCGCTCTTTATCTTTTTATTCTTTTTTAAACATTAGAACAGAGAAGTTAGCATGGCTTCAGCACAAGGATGACACTCTCGTCTCTGTTCGTTTCCGTTAAATCTATCCACTTTATTACAGATCGGGCAGTGTTCCAAAGGCCGTAGTATTCCCAAACAGGTTTACATTAGAGGAGTCTGTTGGTGTGTCAAAGTCGCTGGGCAATAAGGGTTTTGCGCGCAGCCGTGTGGGATCTTTATTTGTCTGTATCGCTTCATTCGCTTACAATCTGACTTGGGTTAGTAGCCCTAGTTCCAGGAACTTCTTACAAACTAGTACCACAATCCGTTAGGTGGAAGGGTTGGATTTAGGAGCGAGTTAAAAGACGGTGGATGGTCGTAGCTGTTTGAAGCCTGTCAACACGCTCTTAGTCACGGGTCTTGGTTGGGATATAATTTTGGCTTTGTATCAATGGCACGTAAGAATGTTTAGTACCCGAATGTATCTTGTAAGTGCTTTGCCTTGGTTTGTTTACGTCTACGCTAGAGATATTGCAATCCGCATAGGCAGCCAAAGATGGACCTCCTCCTAGACAGTTACCTCATCTACACGGAATGTTCGCCTTAAAGCCAATGCTCGTCCAGGTGCGGCTGCTACGACTCAGCTGTCAGGGTAAAAAGCACCACCCCAACATGGTGTAGGGGGTATTTGGTCCTGGTGATTCTTATGTTTGTGCATTGTGGGCAGGCAGCGTGAGGATAATTAGGTTCTCCGTAATGAAGATGGTTTATCGGAACATATTTAATTTTTTTGGGCTAGGATGTGCTTCCACCTTCTCGTGGTCTGGCCTGTTAACCAGCTATTTTATGTTGGGAACTAGGAGAAGCACTTATTAGTATAGTTTATGTATTTTTATTATCATAAAATAAATAAATATGTTTTTTTTTCTTTGGCTTGATCATAATTAATTTTTTATATGCTCATCATAAATTTTACAACTTTAGCATAGGAGAAATAAATGCAGAGAACAAGGATGAAATATATGCTCTTAGTTATGTTTCGAGCCTCTGCATGAATACTAGTCTTCCAAAACTATTTCCATTTTGGTGTGATATATATTTTGGTTCCCATCAAGTATAGGGTTTTCAGCAGACATAAAGGAGACAGAGGCTGGTTAATTTGCGGTCATCCTGGGGGCATTTGATTTTGTTCTTGGTAGAATGGCTCAATTATTTGAGTGAACTCAAGGACAGTGGACATTATATTAAAAGTTTTGAGTGATGATTATTCTTGATGTTGTTAACTGGAAGAAACATAGAGGTATGTAAATACGGTAGTCTAACTTGCGATAGAACAACGTGGTGAGATTAAATCCTTTAGAAATAATCTTAAGGTATGATTGGTGTGCAAATAGTCAATCCATACCAGGATTTCTTACAAATAGTAAATCAGTATGACTATTAGAAGTCTAGATGTATGATGTAGGAAGTTAAAGACAAGAAGTGTTGTTTAGCTGCAACTATGTTAGGTCGTTTGTAACGGTATCTATCGCTTGTGTCACAATGGGTATTGGATGACGTTTTGACTGAAAGTATATGGATTGATCATTTGGGAATAGAAGATGTGATATAAATTCAGTAGAATTGAATTACGTATTTCAATAAATCAACTAAAACGCCAGGCCAACTAGATAATGTTGTGCCTTAAGGAATTATTGAGAATATCCACCGCTGTATTATGAAAAACCTTTTAGTGGACTTCGATGTCTGACATACCCAGACAACCTTACTCCCGAGAAATATGCAGATATTAAAAAAACATATTAGGCATACTCTTCCCATTATCGGTTTAGTTACAACGTATGTTCTTAATTTTAAAAGGAGCATATTTAACAGATTGATTGTAATTTTAGGGCAACACAAATTTCCAGTAATTTTGCTTCTGGTGTCCGTGTAATCGTTAACTTTTTATTTCCACCAGGTATTGTCAAAGGTAAAAAGATTATACTTCATTTGATGCTGTTCATACATATTTTTTACGCGGATGATATAGTCTGCCGCTAGTACGCCGTTATTCCGTATCAACGGTATATTGTAAACCGTTTTCTTTAACTTATGTGCAACGTCAGGTTCCGAATATGGAAGGTTTTATCCTCCAACTTTAAAACTCAAAATATGTATTTTTGAACTCCAGAAATTCTCGGTGGGCCCAGGTCTGCAGTAAATGAAAGATGATGATGAATACCAAATTGGAATAGTTACACAAAGAATTACGGCACATATTGAGGCTAGTCGAGAAAGACAGAGAAGGCTCTCGGTTACGTGTGCAGTCGGATTTAGAATGTCAAAGGTAAAGTTGAACATACGCTTTTTTACACAAAACGCGCTAACACTTTGAACTAATTTATCTCCTTAATATAAGCAAACAGACATATTACTACATATATTGAGACAAAAAACCACGTCTGACTACTATTGCTACTTTTTCTGAAATTGTCTCATCCAAATATGGGAAACAAACAGTTCAAGAGTAATATCTGGAATTAAAATGTTACAGGAACATGCCTCGTTTTTTGAACTGGCCATTGGACAAACGCCGAGAATCGTTGTATGATCTGGTAAAAATAAAAACCACATGCAAAATGTATCATGAAGGCGCGTGTACATAACTAGGGCGATTTACAGATACACTTGTGGGGATAATGTAAGTACTCCAATGTTGCCACCAACTTACTCAGCGCCATTGGAACAAATAAAAAGTTGCCATTTAACCTTGGCAAAGTATTTTTAGCTTTTACGTGGAAAAATTAGAAACAGATAAAGTTTCATCATATTCATGTAATAATAAAAAAAAGGAGGCAATTAAACAGCCTTTAATGAATGATAAAATACATACATTAGAAGCATATGGAAGTAACTATCCCTCCTTTTGTTTTAGTGTATCCCTAACATCATGTCATCATAATAGCATAACGTATTCATTATGAAATATTTATATGTCATGCGTGAACAAAAGAAGAGAGGCGTACTTCTGGACTTAAAAATTTAAGTTATTCCCTTTCATCATCTCGGGTGAGGCTATTTGTTTTCCGAGTTGAAATTACTATAAAATACGCCCAAAATTTTGCATAGATGCATTTCTTTATATACAACTTTATATTTCTCAAACAACAAAATGACCAACGGACCTTTATACTTCATTAAAAGCCAATTCAACGGACGTGTTCTTGACGTCGACGAGGGTTCTACCGAGGTAAGTTTTGTAATGAATATATACTCAAGTCACATTGATTGACTTTGTGTAAAAGGATGATGCCAAGATTATTGTCTACACTCAAAAAACCGACGATTGCTCAAACCAATTATGGTACTTTGAGGATGGTTACTTCATTAATGCAAAGTCTGCCAAGGCTCTTGATATTCGAGGTGGTGAGATGGAGTCCGAGTCTCAAATTATTCAGTATGCCCAAAAGATGACCGAGGAAGCTGCCAACCAAAAGTGGGGTATCGATGGTGATGGTTATATCTATTGCCAGGCTCGTGACGACTTAGTCTTAGATATTGAGGGTGGCGAGGACGCCGATGGTGTCCCAGTTATTTTATACGAGAAGCGTGTGGGAGAAGTTGCTGCTAACCAACGCTGGTGTTTGGAGATGTACCAAGCTTAAAAAAATCATAGGAGACTTTATACCTAATAAAAATCGTAATCGTTTTTTAACAATGACGTACATAAGAGAATATTTTTAACTTTGATTGAGCGTGGACCTGTGAATACAACGGCCTTGTTGCGTCGGACAGGATTAGATGCATATACAAGCAGCGATAATACGTTATGTTGTGACGACCTGCGTATATCCAAACCACACCCCAAGGTCTACTCTGAGTTGATGAGAATGGCTGTGCACAAGACACAGCGCATCGAGGTAACGGGGGGGGGGGAAAGGGGGGGGGGAATATAAAGAGGTATAGGGATGGTATTTATTTATATTAATCCTACTTTAAAGAATTTTTACATGGTGGGATCCTATGCGTTTGATTTGGCAGGTGCGAAAAACGTATCATTTAGAACAGTTTTCTTGAATACGAGTGAAAAGGTGTATTCGGCAAAAATGTATGATACGGGTGGTCCTGATATTACTGGTGCCAGTCTTGTAGAATGCGTAACAAAAATGATTCAGTTTGAGAAAACAGGGCATTTTATTCAACCCATTCTTACAAGAGATGCTGCCATCACCATTGAGAATGTGTAATATGTATATAAAATTCAAGTGATAGAATATTCCCCTTTAACCAAAATAAAATCTTTCATCATTTGCAAAATAAAAAAGTAGATATCCTCTGTATGATGGGTGCTCACTATATTCATACTTAAAGGGCAAATACTATCTCCATCTTTACATGAGAATTTAAGATCTTTACATGAGAATACAAGATCTTTACATGAGAATACAAGATCTTTACATGAGAATACAAGATCTTTACATGAGAATACAAGATCTTTACATGAGAATACAAGATACTTTACATAAAAAGACACGATTTTACTTTATACTTTATTTTAAACAGCTTTATTTAGTTCAAACGTTGTGCTTCTCTCAGTTCTCAAAAGCAGTCATTTAAGAGCTACAAATGATTAACAGGACAAACCACGAGAAGGTGGAAGCACATCTCGTCCCAAAAAATTAAAAAATAAAAAGATGTTTGCACGCACCTTTTTGAGACAGCAACGGAGGTTATCATCAATAATAGAAGAGAGAAACAAGCTCTTGTGCTCGATTACTTGTTAACTCTTTTTACTACGAACAAGAAACACAGTTGTTGTCTGTGTAGGGATATCCTATCGGTGAGAACTGTCCATACTAACCAGCCTAAAAGAAACCCTCTCCTTTTACGGTTAAAAGTAAGTGAAGGACTAGTCACCCTATTACCCAACACAAGAAAAGGAAGAAAGTCAATGACTTAAAACTACTAAAAGAGATTGGAAAAAGCTTCACTGTTTACGTCGTCCACTTTTTCTCAGTCTCCTCAAACCACAACCGAGGTTGTGTGACTAGTGAGTGCGTAGTTATACATCAGAATGTACAATGACCTTTGGGCACCGAAGTGAGACCATGTAATTCCCATTTAAACCAACCAATGCAGAAAGACCCACAGATAGAATCGCTACTAACTGAGGAGGGAGAAAAAAAGCAAACATGAGGGGATGTTGTATTTATATCCCCGTTTCAGCCACCGCTGACGTAAGCACTTTTTAAGGCCAATCAAATTTCTTCCAGTTGGGCATGTGGGAAAGGGGGGGGGGAAATCCAGCAGCAGCTATCTAAAGTAAAAGACTTTTATTACGTACAATGTATCTGTATGAATATCCATGTATACACCTTTTAGGATTTTTTTGTGATTTTTTTTTTCAGTATGAACTACAGGGTTTCTAGAGGATAAAGATTAAGCTATACGGACAAATGGGCTGCATGAATCTGAATTGATGGTCGGAGATGAATGCTCTAAAAAATGTCACAAGTCTATTTTGTGTGTAATAAGAGTATCTTTTGTAAGCTATGAAAAGGTCTATCTCCCGAGAGAGATTGATATATATTTTGTTTCTGTATTTAACGGATTGGGGACTTATTTAATTACGAAGTCTTTCCGACCCCTTTGCCGCCACGTGGGGTGAGGGGGGGGGGGAGTAGATGGTACCATCCCTCAAGTGTGTCAAAAAAAAAAAAAAGTTCTACTACCCCCTTGGGAGAATAATTAATTTAATTATATAAAAGAAGAAAGGGTGATTTAATTAAAAAATGAATTGCAATATTTCATTATATGAGAACAAATCTTTGTATTTAAATTTTTAATGATAAAATGTCCTTTTGAGAGGGAGGGAGGGAAAGTTTAACAGTTCATTGCAACTTTAAAATAAGACTGTTTGTAAAACCTCTCCCCCTAAGTAAAATGAGCTATTTGGTCTTTTGGAGTTGTTTTTCTAAATATTAAAAGATTCCTTAACCAAGTTGTGCACAGAAAGAAAAAAATTTCACTCCATGATTAACTTGGCGGTTTATGACACCCTTCAATATGAGAAAAACTCTATCACGGAAGTCCTTATAAAGACAGGCTTAATTTTATGACAGATCCCGTTTCTATAGTAACCACACACCCCCTTTTTTTTTTTTAAAAAAAAAAAAAATCGCATGCGAGTTACATGATAAACGCGTGGAGTGAGTGATGCACACCATTTTTTTTTTTTTTTTTGAAATCTCGTTTATTATTATTGTTACGTAATCTGATGCAAGGTACGAAAATCCGTGCTAAGTGATAATAATAACACGTCGAGTTGCTCCTGGTATGATATTTACAAGTTTATAGGGAAGCTTTTGGGTTTCATGCGAAATCCGTATGTGACTTTTACATGCTTCGTAGCAATGAAAAATCAAAGCTGGCTTCTTTTCAAAAACGAGTATAGATTTAGACTTGAACTTAGCTTTAAAGCGACAGATTTTGGAATTATTGTCCTTATGATGAATATCAGATAATTGAGTAGAATGATCATGTTTATTTTAAATATACCAAAAAAATAAAATAGTACGACAATATGAAGAATCAAAGCAAAGCGAGTCTTTTGTTCCGAATTAAAAATTCAGATAAATGTATTACAAAGAAGCAACTTGTTCATTTATTTTCATCTTGGCATTCAAGAGCAAAACTTCCGAGTCAAAAGCTGCTACGTTTTTACTCAAAATTAAATAATGTATTCTTGGTCCTCTTCTTGCTATTCATTGTGGCATTCAGGCTCAGTTTTTCTCTGGCAATTTCGATTAGGCTTAAGATATTTGGTGAGACATTGTCATCCATAATGGTACCGGTAGATGAGCCAGACATCGAAAAACACTATTTCTCTTTCTCAGATTCATGAAGGACTTTGAAAATGATATCTTAAGCTTTGATTACAACATAATGATTGCGCCAAATATAAAGATAATCAAAGGTATCAATTTATGAGGAAAGTTTATCAAGATAAACAGGGTTAGCGAGAGTAAATAGCTTAACTGCGGCAAATGCATCATCAATCGGAACATGTACCTCATAGTTCCAATCCAATTCATATGAACAATCATAACCTTATTCTGTCAGGTCCATGTAGTATCTTAAAATTGCCTTGTTCCTTTGTAAATTTTTTTCTTGTAGCTGTAAACACTGTACAACGGGAGTCTTCCTCTTGTGAATGAACAGTCGATCGTTTACAGAATTTTGCTTCTGTATGATGTAAAGGGTCGACATTTAAGAATAAAAAGATTACATTGCTGATAACGCATGTATGCTCCAAGCCAATAATCCCTATCGGTAGGTAAACGGAGACAACTCGATATTCTTGGTCGCAAGAATTAGATTTATTCTTCGACCAAAGCCATTGCTTAAAGAGATTTTGGCATTGTACACTTTTTTTATATTCATGACGGAAGTCTTAGCAGCCTTGGAGACCTTTTCACTATCCAGAATGTCAAGCATGATATTGTCTAATATTTCATCCAGTATCTTCGCAAATTGATGATAATACGTTAATTTACTAGCATCATCATTGTAGCAAATGCCGCGATTAGCAAGACAGTTATCGGTGTTTGGGTCGAGTATATCCAATATTTGTACGTATTCGACCGGATTGGGATTCAGCATTTCCAGCTTTTTCTCGGCAATAACAATTCGCAAGTCATTTTTCTTGATTTTGTCATTGATAGTGTCTCGTGCAATTGTCTCTTTGTATAGTTGCTTAGCGGTGCCTGCCATCCCTTCATTTATAAGTGATTTTACTAGGTTGACCCTCAAAAAAATTTGATAAGTTTATGCCACATAGTTCTCTTTTTTATTTCTTTTTATAATGATTAAGCTTTTCGGGTTTGGATCAAATGGAAATGGGCAATTGGGTATTGGAAATCTTGAAGATGTTAGTGAGCCAACACCATGCCAAGGCATTCCGGATAGCGAAACAGTTCGAAAAGTAACAGGAGGAGGAAACCACACAGCTCTTATTACCGATTCTGGTCATTTATACATGTCTGGATTCTCTCAATTCGGGGAAGAACACATGAAATTACTTTCAACTCAACCAGAAGAAAAAAATAAGGAATGGATGATATACCAACGGCGATTTGACCACACAAAATGGCAAGACGTGGCTTGCGGATGGGCCTTTACGATTTTGGTTTCTGAATCAGGTAAACTCTATGGATTGGGCACTAGTAAATGGAACGAGCTTGCAGGGAAAAGTAGCAAGGAACTCGTCGAAATTGATCATGCACAACTTCAAGATATCGTGTCTGTTGCATGTGGATGGCGTCATGTAGTCGCGTTAGATAAAACTGGCCAAGTATACGGCTGGGGATGGGGTCGTCATGGTCAGTTGAGGCCTGCTATCGTTGCGTCCACAGATAAGAAAG